GCAATTCATCGGGGAAGGTAGCCGAGGAGGAGGGGAGGGGGGGGGGGGGGGGGGTTCTCAGGGTCCAGGGCTATTTGCGGCTTGTCGGCTCTGGCGTCAAGAGCTTTGCTTAATTAAGCGCAATGCCGAGCTGAGAAACTATTCTAGCTGCTGGAGGAAGACTGTGACCTCGTATCTTTAGATGATGAGACGATTGACTAAGAGACAATGGCTCTCTCATTTCCTGTAGATCAGGAACGCGCTTGATCAGAGCGGGGCCAATGATGAGAGTGGCTGAGATGTTATGCAGTGTAAAACCAGCCAGCCAACCACATTGGCGCTCGCACGGAAGAGTAGCCTATTCAGGACGGCAGGCTGAGGATTCGATAACTGACTCGATATAGCCTCTTGGGGGTCAGTGCTTGCTTGGCTACGAGATGCGCGCTCCGACAGCAAGGATATGCCGCTAGTAATATGCCGCGCTTGGGTGCCAAGGTGCTTTGTTGCTGCTGCCGCCGCCTGTTGACGACATTGGTCACGATTCGGGATCGCCAGTTGACAGGAGATGGTACATGGAGTTGTAGGGAGTACATGCGCTCCGTGCGGTCGGCCCATAGATTTGCTCGGCCGACAGGCGTACCAGAACCTGTCAATGGCCTGCTGCCGATATCCGCGGTGGGCTCTGCATGGACGAAGCAAGAAGTGAGACGAGCGCCAAGATTCTTCCTGGCTTCTCGAAGACCGGGGCCTGGAGTTCAGCTGGCTTCGAGCAGCGCGCCAGCCAAGTCTGGATGTATCTGTCTGTTAGCATGCAAGGTCATACGGCAGTTGCTTGCTAATTGTTACTGTTTATGGACTTGACTTACCTCCTGGCACTGACATGTCGGAGATCCAGACTCTAAGAACCTTCCGGGCCTGGCTAGCCGTTTGATTAGAGAGATAGGCGAGGCCGCTGGATTAATCGCCGTCACTGCGTCTAGCGGCAGATTTTGTGACTGTCGTGACAGCAGTCCTTCCAGGTAGACGCGGTACCTGGCAGCTGGAGATTCGCCATATACCTGGTACGAGCAGTACGAGGGCAATTTGCTGGTAACGTTAACCTCAACCGGGGGGGCCAAGCAAGCAAAACGCCCCCTAGCTGAGCACTGACCGTTGGAGGCGCTTTGAGACGCGCGATGGAGGACTTGCGAGAGCTTCGCCTCAACGCCTCAAAAGCCCAAGGACGAGCCGGCCGTTTGGCTTTAGGCCGAGAGTGGCGCGCCGGTGCGTGGAGAGCGGCACGGAGCACCTGACAGCAAATATCGACGGCATTATTCGTGCATCACATTATGCTAGCACCGACCAGCATTCGCGCAGCATGTGCTGGATGGAGCATCGTCTTTCAGGGCCTCCTGGTTGACGGAGAGCTCACCGGTATTGCCTAACATGGACTTAATATGGGCGACAGGGAAGACGATTTGACGACATGTCGATATGGAGTACCTCAGACCTTTGGCCGCATTTCTGCATAGCGGCAGCCGAGGACTCCGTGGCGGCCAGGGCGCTAGATGCCGTCGCTTGTAAAAAGTACTGCTAGTGCTAGCAGGTGAACCGGCTGCCGACTTTTTTTCTGAAAGCTGCTCCAGTATTTGGTGGGTACGCCCTCGACCTTTTACCATCTTGCTCCAGTATATGGGTAAGGTTTGGCAAGTGTCTCTTGGCTTACAGGTGTTGTTTGCTGTAAGCGAGCAGGGTTTTGAGTGTCTCCTGGTTGATCAGTCTTTGCCCAAACCTCATGTTGTAATCAGTAGTGTAGCAGGCAAATAGGAATCAAGCAGGACTTGAAGAATGGATAAATGGCTGCCTTCTTTGAAATGGCGGCATGGGTCTAGACGATGCTTGCGCTGAGTTGCGCCTGGCAACAGCTCCAAGTACGAGCAGGTCAGTTACCTACTGTAGGTAGGGAAGGAGGCAGGGCTCGGCGTGATGTGATACCAAGTCAGACGGCAAGTGCTGCCAGGCAAGTACCTGGCCGGTCTGTCCTGCGCACTAGACTGACAGGCGCCCGTAGATGTACAGGCGCAGTACAGTTCTGGCGTGCTACTATACTACTAAGCTACAATGGGCTTGCATGTAGATTGGCATTAGGGTTCTGTTGCAAGAGCTAATCGGTGCAATACTAGAGGCTGCATGTGCATGCGTGGTGCAAGGCAGGTGGGCTTTTGGGAAAGCTGCCTGTGACGACAAGGATCCACACCCGCCCAGCGGTGGACAGCTCTGGCCTCTGGTGGGCATCTCTGGTGGGCATCTCTGGTGGGCATCTCATCTCAGGAAGCCACCGAGTTAAGCTCTTGGTTCCCGAAGACTGTTTCGGCTAGGCGGCTTGCACTAGACAATTGGTAGATGACTATGGCGAACTCTGTGCCAGATAGGCTTTTCATTTCATCTTCAGCCTTCTGCTTAGCATTTTGGTTGCCGCATATCGGCATGATGGGGGCGAATTCTCTTGACTCAAATACTCCTATCCTTTACGGAGTGCCCTCGGCCGTAACATGAACCAGTGCGAGCCAAAAGTAGATGCAAGTTGGGGCGTGATAATAATAGCATAACTGAGTGTTCCTTTCTTCTCGTCTCATTTCACAGATACGAAGAGACTGAAAGAAAAGGCTCCAATGGCAGCGTCTCAGCAAGGCTCTGGGGGCCTCACTCCCACGGCGCAGAGGATAATTCCGCAGGCCACAATGTGCTGGCACCATCTGATCCTCGTCTGATGGCGTCGAATCGCGCAGTCTGTTTCACCCTGAGAGAAGGCCGGCCTCAACTAACGCTGTGCCATGGCGTCTGGCCCAAAAAGCCTAAGCCCGCGAGCAGGGTGCGAAAAACAAAACGCAACCAAACGACGTCTGCTGGTTCCATCCCCCACATTGCCCGCACCCTGGTGGCCAAACCAGGCCGACGGCTCGCCCCAGTTGTTACCTATTTATAATTCTGGTGCTGTGGGCATCGTGCCATGTGCGTCATGCCTTTGGACGCTTGCTTGAGGCCAGGGAGCCAAGCCTCATCAGGCCGTCACACCCCTAGCCTGAACTGTCCAGAGCCTTTTCGCGGGCTCGTACGAAGCATCATCGTCCCTCACCCAGCCGTCCATCACCCATCACCCATCACCCGTCTCGCCCCCCTCTCTCCACTGCGGTGCCGACCGGAGGCCCTGCTCTTTTGCGCTGTGCTGCTGCTCTGCCCTGCCCCGTCTGCTCACGGACATTTCCATGTGTTCACATTTGCAGGCAAATGCTGTCCGGTGTTCTTGGCATTGAGAGAATGCCGATGGTCCCTTGCCTGTGATGGTGCCCGCTTATAGATTCTCCGTACTTTGTGTCTCAGATATGTGCCAGTAGGTGTGTGTTTGAATTGAAGCACGGTAGCCTGGCAAGCACACAAAAAATAAAAATAAAAATAAAAAAAAACTTACTGTCCAGCCCTAGGTACGTATTCCATACATGTATCAGATTGCATACATGTACCTCTTGGAGCTGGCTGTTGGCACCACCTCATCAAATGCTTTCATCTGTTCAGCACCGCGTGCGCATTTGTGCCATCAAATGTGCCCTGACACAGCACAATAAACAGCAGACGAGCACCAAAACCCCCCACTAGCCGCGACGACTCACCACCTGAAAACCCCGAGTCGCACAGCGCGTGGCACCCCCTTCCACCCCCCCGTCCGTCCGGGACATGGCCGCTGAGGGGCCTTTTGTCAAAGGCCAAGTACCTGCTGTACCCGTTGTCTCCTGCCAGGCTAAGCCTAATGGGCCCCTACGACGTCGGCGGACGAGCAAAGCTCTCGCTAGCACCAACGCTCAGACTGGAAGGATCTAAGCAGCTAGCAGCAGCGCTACAGCTTCGGCGAGGTCAGGCCGGGGCCAGGGTCAGGGAGGCTGCGCCGGAACCCGTACCTGTACCAGTACCTGTACCTTGGCCAGTACCTGCGCCTGCGCTCGCCTGTACCTGTGCGTACAGTGCCGGCCGGCATGGCTGAGTGGCCGCCTGTAGGGGCTGGCTGCCCACTGTAGCATAGCGCAGTACAGCGTAGCGCCCAGCCTAGCCCAGCGGCGCCGCGCCGCAGCAGCACAGCACAGCACGCTTGGGGCAGAGGCTCGCTGAGCGTCCGGTGGGATTGCTGCCGCCATTATTTAACATTCCCCAGTCCCCCAAGCATCTCCCCTCTCTTTTCCTTTCCCTGGTCCTAACACTCCAAATCTTCTCGATTTCCAACGTTCGCTCTCCCACATTCGCTCACCTTTTCCTCTCGCTCCTAGGAAGTCCTCGTTGACTCCTGTCATTCGCTTTTATCGGTGCTCTCGCTTTTTTGATCCTCCCCACAACCGCCATTTCCGCCGCAGCTTTTTTATCCGCCGACTCCGCCGTATCTTACTCGCAGTCATCGGATCATTATACCACAAAGAAGAGATCTTATCTGAATCGATAAATCAACATCTTTCTTGCCCGGAATACATTTCTCCAGCTACGCCAAGTCACGTCTGAGCTTTTCGAACTGCGCAACATTCGAAACATCCAGACCAGCTGCTAGCCGCGGGTTCTCAAGTCCTCTAGGACCGAATTCGAAATCGCCGTAAATGTCTATCTAAAAGAGCTTCTTTCTTCGCACCACCACAATCGCTTTCCACAATCGCTACCAAACAAATAACGAAAAAAACTTTTTTAAAAATACATTTCTTTTTTACGACTATAACACTTTTACGTTTAATTCAAAGAGTTGGGAGAGAAAAACTTTTTACGCCATATTCAATCGCTACTGTTACTTTTTAAGAGAACGTTGGAGCAAGGATCCAGCAAAATTAATCGACACTAGCTGCTGCACATCACAGCTATAGCTTGATAAACCAAGTATTTGGGACGACAGCCAAGTAACCCAGCCTCACAACTCTCGCTCGCTTTTCAAGCACAGCCGTTTTCAGCTGTGTTTTCTTTTCCGTATGTGCCGTCTGCTCTGCTATTTCGCCCACAGCTCAATGCATTTCTTTATCTCCTACCCTTGGGCGCTCAATATATGACCTCATCTGCTAACCAGCGCTTGTTCTCATAGGTCACCTGTCACAATCTCAACACTTTCCCATTATCAACAATGGCTGGCCCTGGCGGTGGTCCTCCTCGTCGCAGGTGTGTACCCCCCTTCTCTGTGCGTTTTCTGCGCATCAACTGACCTCATTTCGAATAGTCACACCAAGTCTCGCAAAGGCTGTGATACGTGGTACGTATTAATATCTGATGTTGCTTGGACGGCAGCTCTGATGAAACCCGCAAACTCTGGTCTAACTATGGCTTTACAGCAAGCGTCGCCACATCCGTTGTGATGAGAGCTTCCCTCAATGGTGAGTTTGGCCCATTCTGATTTCAGCCGGACGCCTCTCTTTTTTGCTAACACCATGCCCTCAGCCGCAACTGCACCAAGCACAAGATCCGCTGCCCGTACAACGATGTGCAGGTTCCTGATGCAGGTCGCTCAACCACGCCAGACAAACCCGATCTCATGTGGACTCCCGAAATCGAAGTCTGCATTGCCGAATGGCAAAGGACTGGCCAGTTCCCCTTTCCATCGCTCAACATCTATCCAGCTCCCGTGGCGCAAGCGTTTTCCACTGAAGACCTCCGGTTGATTCACCACGTTTCTTCGCTGTACGTTCAGCTGCAGACTTTCGGCGCCAACAACTTCACTTTGTGGACGCGCCACATCCCGACGTAAGTTTTTTAACAGGAACCATCCTCCCCCTGCTTTTCTATCGGTACCATTACTCTGGCGGCACCTTGCCGTTGCCAGTGGTAGCACAATGTTTAAACAGACACTGACTATTGTTTCCAGCCTGATCAAGATCGGAGCCACCACTCCCTATGTGATGCATGCGCTGTTGGCATTTTCCGCCATGCACCTGGCCTTCTTGACCGATTGCCCTCTAGTCGGTAGTATGGCTTTCGAGCATAAGGGTAAAGCCTTGAGCGGTCTACATGCGGCTATTGGCTCATTCTCTCGCGATACGTCTGACGCCATCCTTGCGGCATCTCTGGTGCTGTCGTGGCAGGCCACGGATTGGTAAGTGTCGCTCTTCTGCGACTTTTGTATGAGCAATGCATCGCTAACCAGATTTCCCTCAACAGGCGCAGCTGGACCCAGCTTATGCAGGGTACTTCGACGGTGTGTTTTTTTTACTACTAGCACATTCATATTACGCCATACTGACTTCTTTCCGTTAGGTGATTGATGCTATGGAGCCATGGAAGCATGAGTCTGAGTTCACGGACTTCATTGCTGAGAGCAGCACGTTCCCAACCGCTCCTGCTTCTCCGGACCCTGAGCATAGGCCCACCCAGCCACGTAAGGACGACATTGAGGCCTATCAGCGGACCCTCGAGCAAGTCATCAAGGTGGAAGCTCATCTGAAGCACTACAAGGAAGACACCACTCAGATGCAGCACTTGATCAGCTTTCTCAAGGGTTCTCGTAAGATCAGCCCCACTCTTTCCATTGCCCAACAGTTTGAGCGCCTCCAGCCCCTGAGGACTTGGCTTTTCTGGGTTCCAGTCGGATACCTGCAGTCTCACCAAGCCTCTGCCAACTCCCTGGTCGCCATCGCTCACCTGTACACTGTGGCTTTGTTGATGGAGCGTCTCTTTCCCGAGATTGGTGCGGCCTACTTTGGCAGCCTGTCCATGACCCCCATTGAGGAGATTGCTCGGCGGCTCATGTCCATCAACGTTGCGAGCACTGTCAAGGGCACCTACCAGACCCCGCTCACGCTCATGGAATTTCCCATTGATACCGTCAGTGAGTTCCGGTCTCGCATGGGTTGGATGAGTCCGCAGAGAACCCCTTCGTTCCCCACGTTCCACCCTCCCAACTTCCATCATCTGGAGGAGGTGCCACCAATGATCCCCGCAACGGAGTCCTACATGCCATATGGGAACCCGGCTTTCAGCTACAGCGCTGAGGAGATGCCAATGCTCAATAGCCCTGCCGCACCTGCTCCCCATGGGTCGCTCAGTCCGCTCGTCATCTCGTCTCCCTATCCTCACCAGCAGTATCTGAATGTCCCCTCTCCGTCTTTTGGTGGCGCCTATAGCCCGGCATCTTCAACCTTTGAGGCCTCCATTGCATACAGTGATTCGGAAGAGTATGGTGCGTATGACATGCGAAGCTTTCCTCCTGGCCAATCGCCCGTTTTCGAGGATGCGCACTACAGCAGTAGCTACGGCGTCGGGTTCGTCTCTCCCCAGCAGCCCGTGTGGATCTAGGCACACACACCCGGCTCTCCAACCCCGGCTCGAGGAAGCACAATCGGAATTGACCGTTTGCCACCCAGGAACTCCAGTACTTCAGCGTATCCGCCTTTAGATGGCTCGTCGACAATGGCACCATCCCACTCGCCGCTTCCATCGCCATCACCGTACCAGTATCAGGACCCCCTCGGCATGCTTCCTCTTCCTGAGTCTCCAGTCCAGCTGTCAAGCAAGCCGTACCACCGACACCGCCAAACCGCTTCGGCATCTTCTGCGCCACACCCTCCATCACCGCTGTCACGCGCGCCTCTAATTCCGACTTCTTCGGAGCCGCAAAGCAAAGGCAAGCAGCGAGCGGTTTGATGGAGTAGCACCTGGGCACCATTTCCTCACTCCTCCGCGACGAGCCTCACCAACCTCCTCTCATATGGACAACCAACCCGACGCAGCTGGCATCTGCTTCCTTCTCCTCTTCTCTTGATTTTTAACGCAGACGCAAATGTACAACATTCCTTACGACGCTCGCTACCATACAACAAAACTACGATGAATGGGCCTTGTTTTTATTGCTCCTGTCAGCCACAGCCTGCTTGAGCCCAACGCCCGACGACACTCCTTTACAACCTCGAGTTGATCTCGATAGAACAATCCTTGACGACACGAATAACTACCAACTAACTATTAATGTATTATCTAATACGCGACACTCCTTTTGAAATGATACCCTCCAGCTTAATCGACAATCCTTTAGACGAAAGATACCCCAGATCAAACACACGATCACACACACTCCTTTATGAAATTATTACGTTATGACGAACACCAGGTCGACATAGAGTCACTCCTTTATTGGATAAACAAAATGGTAATTGGGCGAATTGAATATCACACTGCATAGCGACTGTTTATTTTTGTGCTGTCACGCACACTTTATCGGATAGAATATGGCGTTTTCGCGGCGTTCAAATGAACACACGGCGGGGAGAGAAGATTTTGTTTGCATTTTGTATTTTGGACTTTTGTTTTGTTTTCGGAAAAAAGCAGCTTGGATAATAAGGTGGTTATCAGCGGGCATAAAGTGCCAGTGATGATGATCCAGGGGCATGTATGTGACAGATGTGTGTGGATGAATGTTAATAGTTGCTGCAATGCTGTATGGGGGAAGCTGCTGCGAAAATGCTTATGGTCAATTCACGGACTGCCTCTAGTGGCAGCCTGAATTTGGATTAATACTACGTTCAACATTGTCTGAATATCTTTGAGTCCCAAAACTTGATCCACCAAGCGAACGTGCCATGCGAGTTCTGCATCCTTGTGCCTACAGATTCTAATTGGCTAGATACAGGTTGCGATTTATACAGGGTGTTCTATACAAGGTATGATGATATCTCAGCGAGTCTCAATTTGTGGAAACTTACTGACGCCTTTTTTTAAGCTTCTTCTTTATTCGTTTTACTATCCTGCTACCTTTATCTCATGTCTATTCCGGATCGAATTCATTCTATCTTTGGTTGGGGGAGGGGGCAGCATAAACTAACGTCGAAGAGCCCTGTCTGCTCACGTCCCAAAGACCCCAAAAGTGCGAAAGGCCTCCAAGTGGAAATTTGAGTGACCTACTTTGGACAATTGCAATCGGACAATCTCTGATCTACTAGTATCGACGGATAATCTCTGAACCACCTACTACGACTGGTATCGGATAATCTTTGAAGATGAGAGTGGTCTGGAATGGGCTGGGCCGGGTGGTTTGCTCGTTGGTTGGTCGATTCCCCTTGCCTCTGCATTATCTTGCCTCTGGTTCAGCAAGGCCAGCCCCTGTTACCCCAACTAAACTCATATTGCTGGCTCTACAGGTAGGTAATAGTTCCTTCTGGGAGATTTGTTCCCCGTCATACTAAGCGCCCTGTTCTAGATTCTCTTTCACCTGCAGTAGGTCACGGCGGCAAAATAGGGCCCCCCTACCCTTTCTCGCATTATGGCACCACACACATCACACATATCCTTGGCAAAGACGAAACGGTGAGGTGGAGGGTGTGGCAACGGCGTGCCCCGTCACGGCCAAAATCCGTTCAATATTGTTTCTAGGCATCTTTCCCTAGGTCTTGACAGGCCCTGAACGGATGAGACTGGGGGCATCTTGTACATGATACGGAAGCCTTGACTGGAAAACGGGGATGGGGGTCAAGAGAGAGAGGAGACTTGCGAGGGGGAAAAACGGAGAGGACAGGAAACATGAAGAAGAAAAGATACCGGCTTGGCTAGGGATCATTTAGGCGATGGCGGATATCTGCGCCGTTCTAGGTCTAGCCAGTCCACGGGGTGTGGGCTTCTGGACTTGGGGGACGCTTGTGAATACGAGAAATGGGTGGCAGGGGGGGTTGGTTGGTTTGTTTATTGGGGTGGGAAGGGGAAATCTATTTATGTATATATTTGTATGTATACATACGAAGAGGAACAGGAAAAGTAGTTGCAAGCATAAAAACAGAAGCGTGCATGGGGAGCGGGTGGAATCTGGTTTTGTGTTTTGAATCTCTTTTTGGGTAAGGGGAGTGAGTGGGTATTTTTTTTTTGACGATGTTTATTTTGGTGTTTTTACCTCTTTTTTTTTCGTGGTAAGTGGACAAGCCGTACTTGGAAATATTTCGGATATACTTTTTGCATTTTCTTTTCTTTTCTTTTCTTTTTTTTGTTTAATAGTTAGGACACGGCAATTATTGGATCAATTTCTGACGCGGCGGGTTTTTAGCTATTATGAGACGCCAGATGTTTTGGGGGCAGATGTAAATACGAGATTTTGCGGTCTTTTTTTGGAAAGACTTGGCAGAACTATTGGAATAGCTTCGTATAAGTGAGAAACAAGAACAAAAAGGAAATGAGAGCTTTCTATTATTTGTTAACTTATCGTATTGCGAAATTATTTTCAAATTGTTTTTTTGTGAAAGACGTTATAGAGCGCTTTTCTGGTTATGGGCTTGTTTTTGCTAGGGAGATGTTTTAGGAAGAAACGAGACCATAACACTTTGGAAGATGACAATACGAGCTGCTAAAAAATTTTTCAACAGGGAGATGGGAACGAAAAGTCCAATGGGATAGTTTGCTTCTAGGAATCGCGAATATTCCATTTATTTACCCCTTGTTCGATTCCTTTCGTAGTTATTATTAGAAGTTTTCGACTTATGATATTGATCCTTTGCAACTCTATTGGAACACTTGAGCGCTGTACCCTGTGAGAGAACTATAATCAGGAGTCCTTTACAGAATCATACTCTGCTTTGTCCCTTGAATATCTGCAAGCAACGTTGTATTCCTAAACCTAGTTTTGAACTCTGTCAGAGCACGCGATGCTCGTCTAGGCCGGAACACCTTTCGCCTCCTGATCTGCACTGAAAGAACTTTGCCATCATCGTTGCGAGCCAATAGGACCACGAGAGACAGCTCATTATTCACTCATGTATCCTGCAGCTCCGTTAGTTTGATCCACTGAGCGACGCAAACAACTTCCCCCCCTTCCCTAGCAAAAACCTGCACACGCCCTCTGGGACTTGCCGCCGTCAAGAAGTCACTGTCCTCGCCCTTTCAAGGGGATCGAATCATAAGTCCTAAATCTTCCTAGTTTGTCCTCTCATCTCCAGGCACGCAAATTTCATACAGATGCCCGGTACGAGTCATCTTTCACTCCCTCGGCAGTTTCCCTCGTATTCCAGCCGCCCCGGTGAACGCCGTAAAAGGAGGCGGAGTCTAAAAGGAGGGAACAAAACTACTACTACATGCTATAGGTCCTTTCTCTAAGGCATATTCGATTCATGCTAGGCAGAGTGAAAAAAATTGTCGCCCGATGCCTTGCCTTAGCGCTTAGGCTGTTGTATGCCAATCATCTTGCTGTTGGGGCAAGATGGGCCTTCGGAGACTTTCAAGGATGACATGTAGCATGAGAATTAGATGAACGTGCTATTTTGAGAGACAGAGATGCTTTACAGTTGACCAGTTGAAGAACTTTCTACGAAATGTAATTTGTCTTCGTAGGAAGTACAGTGACAAAGCCGAATCATAACTTTCAGGGGGGTAGCGTGGCTGATATACCCATTATGTTATTAGTTTGGGAGATCCTGGGTGAATTGTGTCGGAAGTCCCGGCTCAGTGAAGATTCTTGATCAACGCAAAGATTGGCGATATAGGTATTGTTCATAGCCTAACATGCCGTTTGTATGAACAAAGCAGTGTACAATAGCGGGAAGCTCTTTGGTCGATGTGAGCTTTGAATAGTGCCCCAAGGCCACGTGGTGAGCAGCATATGAATACTAGCATACCATATACACGCTGCCATACTGTATACATTTATGTACTGACATAATGCATAGACAATGATATGCTGTATCTGCACCGTACGGGGGCAAATTAGGCAGATCTTGAGAGCGCCTTACTGTACACCTTACATATACTAGGTACATATAGGTACATGTAATAGAACTAGTTGCCTTGGAGAGGGTTTAAAAATGCTGTGAAATAGGGAAAAAAAACTTGGGTCACGAGGCATGCTTTATGAGACTTTGTAACATTCTCGGCAACGCAGTTCAGGCTCGGAGAAGAAGAATATATCGCTGAGGTATAACTTTGATCTTCCCAGGAAAACCATTGGTACAGCCCTAAGACCTATTTTGTAGAACGAATCATTGTTCCAGTGCTTTCTTCTTCAATGTTTACGCCATCTACATAATACTATATACTCATACATATCGATAACCACCATATGTCTAATAGATCATATTACAAATGTGTCACAATAACAGTTGTTTCTCTCTCATAATTCTAACTTTATTCAAGCTGCCTCCAAACAGCTTTGTGCACTCCAATTAAATGATATACCAACCACGCGCTTCTCCTTTCCTTTCTCTTATGCACTGAGTACCTATCTGAACACTTAGAGAGGGATCTAAAAGAGAAAAAGAGGAGGATAAAAGGCTCACCCGCCATCCTCCTCACCAACCACCAACCACCCCCCCGGCTCTTCATTTAAATACAAAATGCCTCTTCATATATACAAATATCTAACTCCACGCTATACAACGAAATAAGGGGGAATAAATGTAGCCACTGTAATAACAGCGGCAACAGAACTAATACAAAAGGATGTGGTATGTATGCTCATAGCAAATGAATAAGAAGAAAGAAAAACGATATGAATGGTAAAATCGAAAATATACTCGCCCAGCCAATAAAGCAAAGGCAAGCAAACAAAAGCAGGCACCATGGCTTTGAACTATATCTCATAAAATTGTGCTTTAGTCAATCATGTAGTAATGACCTCTTGGTGCACCAGCCGGATCACCCAACTGGCTTCGGCCACGCTGGCAAACTGGAAGCACCACTTCTTGATGTTTCCACCCGTGGTTCCATTCGCTGGAACACCACCGATGACGCCGTCGCCGCTCTTGACTTCCTCCCAGACGCCGCAGACGATACCTCGACTACCCATAGGCGTGAAGCATCCACTTCCAAGAACAGCATCCAGTAGGATAATAGCCTTCTCAGAGCTCTTCTTTGGTATAGTGGTGACCGTGACTCTCTTTTCGAGGCCATGGTCCGCTCGGAGGGCTTGACGCCAACCAGGAGGCGGTCGACGGATTTGCAGAGTGCAGTTGCCATAGTCTTCCCACTTCGCAGACGAGACGAGAAGATGTAGCCGGATGCGAATGTTCTCAGCGTCGATATTCACAGGGCCCGCACTGCTGTGATCAACGCTCACAGATGGAGATCGAGGCGTTCCGTATCCTGATGAAGAGCCAGATCCGTAGAGGCTGTTGCCGCCGCTTCCACCTCGGCCGCCGCGCTTGTCAATTGATGATCGCGCGAGGTTGAAAGACAGATTTCCAACAAGAGTGAGCTTCTTGAGGAAACTGGTTGCAGACTGAGCGGAAGAAGGCGTAGTACTGGCTCCATCTTGATACTGTGAAGGTGCTCTGACTGAGCTGCGGTAGCTGTTCTTCCTACCGAACCAGGTGCGACGGCGGCTGCTCGTGTCTCCATCTTGAGGCGGGGCCGGTCGTTCCCCAAAGCCTCTGAATCTGGCTTCCTGCTCGAGCTGGATATACTTTTGGTTATTGAGACGAGCATGGTGCACGGCTGTGTAAAGAAGATAGCAATCAGGGCCGTTCAAGCAGCGGAAGCGGAAGTTGCCGCCTTGGTAAACTGGTGCTAGTTTGCTGTGGGCCTGCAATGAAGATCGGATTTCCAGATCGACCGCAGTGCTCTGTCGAATTAATACCAGGGGAGTAAGATCCAGTGCGATGATGGGCTTGTCATCCATCTGGGTATAATTGCTATCTCTGAAAGTGAATGCCTCAATGAGACCATCAGAAACGGTAATCGAACAGTGGTCGGGATGAATATCCTTCCAAGCACCCTTGTCAGACCATCTGGAGACGGTGGCCAAGCATCGCCCCGATTTCGCAACACTACCAGCCTCTAACGATGGCTTTCGTCCATGAAGGCCGGCTTGAGAAGCAGAGTTGGACGGCGTCAAGCTGACTTCAGATCCATGGGTATACGAGGGTGCATACGATGGGGTCCATGAGGGAGCGTTGGAGCCTCTTCTCCGACCATCCTCTCTTATACTATAGCCAAGCTCAGTCTGAGGAACATCAATGCTCTCCATTTCTTCGTCAGACGACTCAGATTCGGACTCTGTTCCAGACAGGTCGTCATCTTCTGTTTCCGATTCCTCTCCTTCTTCCACTACCGAGGATACAGCAGAAGACAAACCAGACGCGGTAGAAACCTCGGAAGGTAGGTACTCATGCTTGAGAGGAGAGGAACCTATCCTCTTGAGCCCAGCACTGGCATGGTGGTCGACAGGTGGTTTAAGCAGTGACTGAGACTTTGCTGTCTGCTGGGGCGTGGGGCTAAGAGTTCGGTGAACAGGTGGTCGCGGCGGTGGCGTATCGTTGTGATAAATGACAGGAATTGTCTTGGAAGAGCCAGACCTCTCAACTTCTTGTGCGGATGCCTTTTGTTTTTGACTACCAGGAGCTCCAGGCGCAGCTCGTGTTGGAGTCGGCGGAGCTGATAGCTCGCTGCCAGAATCATCTTCGGTGACTTCGGATCGAGATGCCGCACTTAGCATGCTCTGAACGCCAACTGGAACATCCGACAATCTACCTGGAGAGTCCGATCCAAGCTCGGACTCGTCCAAGATGCTGGGTTCAGGCTTCCTGGGCGGGACGGGAGATGAAGGTAGGATATCCAACCAGTCTAGAATCTGCTCCTCTTCATCTGCCCATAGATTGAGCAGCTCATGCCATGGCTTTCCGTTGTGGTTACCACGAACCATAAGTACCAGGTCCAACTTTCCATCTCCTGAGCGAGCAGAGACAAGGGACATGGAAATGGGTGGGAAAAGAAGATAGGAACGTCGGCCGTCGCCCACCTCTCGGATGAGAAGGTCTCCTTGGTCTCCATGTTGGCTTTGATTGTCTCGGTGCACCAGCTCTACCTGACATTCCAACCTTTGACCGTTGGAGTGGGCAATATCAAGCGAGAAAATATCCTTGGCGCTGACCTGACGGGTTAACTCGATAGTAATGGACTTGGTCGGGCCAAGCGTTCTGAGATCTCGAGCTCTTGTAGTATCTGTGTTGATGGCTTCCTCGTCAATGATTCTAGCAACCTCCTCTCTGTGGCGCCGGCGTGCCTTTTCTTGCAAAGCCTCAAAATCTTTGACTAGCTGGCTGGTATCTGGAGAAGAAAACATTTGGTCGACGCAAACAATTAACCTGGCCATCTGTTTCACGCGGAGCAGCGGCTTCTTCAAAAGGTAGGCAACAGCCACTCGCTCTCCTTGATCATTAACTAGATCGCCGTTTGCGTTTCTAGGCAGGGCACCAAGAAGAGAGTCGTCCCCCTCCGCTACGCCTCGTCGTGGCGCGAGATTAATTATCAAGTCCTGGAAGCCCAGCCTCCAGACACTCAAGTAATTATCATACAGTGGGACAACGCCATGAGCCCAGTTAGCCATCCGACGAATATCTGTAAGGGGGGCTTTGGAATGTGCGGTTTTGAGCTTCTCGAGGGCGACTCCCATGTCGACCACTGACTTGGAAGTGGTGTCGACCTTGACCTTGGGAGAAGCGTTTCCAGAGGTATCGGTCACTACGTGTGAGAGAAGCACGGGTACCACACCATCGACCAAAGTTTTGAGCTCTCGCTGATACAGGTTCTCATCATCGGCAAACTCTTTCAGCAAGTCGTCGGCAGTCACGTCATTGGCCAAACCGCGAGCCTTTCGCAAGCTCGGTCTTGACCTGTTATTCATGATCCCTTGCGGAACATCTTTATCATCAGGCAACGAGAGTACAGAAACCAGGTCAGAGTGCTTTGTTAGCCTTCTCTTGAGCCCTGAGCCTTGCCGCTGTGGGATTCTCGGGTCAGCCGACTTTGTGACTGTCGTTGACCGAGTGAGAGTGGATTCTGTCACATCTGACTCTGTTTCCGAATGGCTAACGCTAGAGCCAGCGGAGAGAATTGTCGAAAGCTCATACTGGCCCTTGGTAGGGGGTCGGAGGCGCGGTCCGGCCATATATGGCGCCCCTCTTGAGCTGTGAACAGATGAGTCCCTATCTGTGCTTGAGCGCGTGTCCGTAGTAACCCAGCTACTCAAATCAGAGTTTGATTGCATGTACTGGGAATCCGCGTCAAGCTCTTCTTCATCCTCTGAAGATTCAAATTCGATTCGCCGCTCTTCGCGGCTCTGGTAGCTCTTTACCGGCTTCGTAAGCTCTGCAGATTCTCCTTGAAAAGCTTCCTTCAGAGCGCCAAGGAACGGCCGCCTTTTGCTTCCTGATTTGGACTGAGACTGCGAATCTCTTGTAGCGCGGCTCCTCCTCAGTCCGTCTGACGATGATGACTTCTTTTTGGAAAGCTCTCTCTCCTTAGATGCCCCAGATTTGGGCGTTGAATTTGCAGAGCCAGGGGCACTCTGAACAGTCTCCTCTGTTTGCGTTGTCTCTACACTGGAAGTAACATTGGAAGTGAGATCAGAGGTGACGTTGGAGACTACACGCGAATCAGACGCCATTGAGCTCTTTGTCTCCGCTGAAGGTTTCCTTTTCGGCGTCGCCGTTTTAGGCGTGGTTTCTTTAGACGAGGTTTCCCTGGACGTGGTTTCCCTAGGTCTGGCTCCCCTAGGTGTGGTATCCCTAGGTCTGGTTCCTCGAGGCGTGGTCTCTCTGGCCGATGTCTCTCTGGCCGATGTCTCTCTGGCCGTTGTCTCTCTGGCCGTTGTCTCTCGAGGCGTGGTCTCTCTGGCCGTTGTCTTTTTTGGTTCTGGCTTTTTGGGCGTGGTCTCTCCGATAGTGACATCGTCATCCTCGTCATCATCCTCGTCAGTCAATGTGGACGTAGGTGACATCGGCCCATTGTCTTTATCATAAGGCTCAACAGTGTTGTTGAGCCACTTTTCGATGCTGGGAGGGTTATTGGGTACAGCATGCCGTGGTGGTTCATTAAGATCTTGAATAATCTTTCTGCCCTCCTCCACCACCTTTTTCAGTACGTTCGGCATGGCTTTCAGGCTCGCTGCTCTATCCATTTTTGAGCGCTTTGGCTGTTGCTTTGGCTTACTCTTGGGAGGGCCCCGTAGAGGCAAATCCAACTCACTAAAGGCAGACTGCCCAAATGGGATATCCCCCGGGATGTCAGCCAAAGATTTGTTTGATAAAGATGTGCCCAAATCTGATTCCAGAATTTCCCTGGCACGGGAACCGACGTCTACTGATTTGGCTCTAACGTTGGGACGCTTTGTTCCACTCCTTTTCACGCCGGCTCGAGGCTTCTGTTGGGTCCCCTGAGGCGGGGTATCAAGGTCTGACATTGATAATTGGGTTGCTTCCTCGACAGCCTTGATCAAGTCATCAATTGTGTGCTTCTTGGGTGCAGCAGCACCTGCAGTTTTGCTTCTCTCGCGTGCTGGTCGTGGCGCCCCAGGCTCCGATCTGGAGTCGGTCATTGGTTTTACCCTGATACCGTCATCCAGGGTTGCAGATGTCGTCGGTTTCATAGGTTTAACTCTGATACCATCATCGTGAGCTGCAGGTGAAGGTTTTACCGGTTTAACTCGGATACCGTCATCCTGGGCTGCAGCTGACGAAGGCTGCATAGGTTTAACGCGGATACCATCATCTGGCTGCCTATCTTGGACTGGAGCAACTCGAATTCCGTCGTCGTCGCCTTGCTTTTGCCGTATTGGACGCACTCGAATCCCATCGTCATCGCCCGTGCTAGGTTTCAAAGGTTTTTTCGCAGTGATTTCAGTTTCTGTTTCTCCATCATCGCTATCTTCCTCGTCGTCCTCGTCGTCCTCAGAGGAAGTCGATAACTCGGAAGATAATGAGCCTCTACGGCTCCGTGGAGGCGGCGTAACGACTTTTTCGGCCCATGCTTTGACTTTACTTTGAAAGGATGGATTGGGTACTGCTCGAAATGCAAAGCCGTTTGGAACTCGGGGTGTCGGGTTGCTGGGCTTCCTAGGGCGCGGCGAGACTTTGCGAACTGAAGGTTTCCTCACAACGGAAGGCTTCCTAACCTTTGGTCTGACCCAGTTATCGTCGCTAACGATCCTCTTCTTAGGAGGGGGCAGAGGTGATTTTTCCGGCTCTTTGCCATTGTTGCTGTTATGGACGACTACTTTTTTGGGTGGTCTCTTCTTCTGCCTCATTTTGATTCGTACCCGATCCTCCTCTGTGACACTTTCCACCTCTTCTCCAGCAAACGCAAGCTCCGTTGGCTCCGTGGCCAGATCTTCTGGGTCGGCATCCGCCATGGCGGAGGCATTGGCCTTTTGCCATGCTTTGACCCTGTCATTGACACCACTTGGTTGCTGTAACTTTCGTACCATGGTCTGCTTCATATCATGTCGGATGTCTGACCTGACTGTCCCAGTGCTTTGTCGTCGCTTGCGGTCTGCTTCGAGTCTCGCCGGGGAGGGCCGCCCTAAAAGGAAGTCGTGGAGTAATGAAGGGGGCTCCGGCTTCTTCGTTGTATTTGCCCGAGGACGATTTCCCGCCGCCGCCGCCGCCGCCGAAGGCCTGGGGGCTTCTCCAGGAGTGGCATTGTCGTCTGCCACTTTGCCATCTTCGGCGGTATTAGGGATATCGTTTGGATTCGTAGGGTCGGATGGCGCGCTGCTATCGCTACTGGAATCGGTTGGCGAGGTCATAGTCTATTAATCTGCTCGACATCTACACTATTAATTCCAATCCCACGAGAAGATAGAAGACAGAGACAAGATTGGCCAATGCAGCAATCCAGGCGTGGACGCGAAGATGGAAGCGGAGCTGCCCAAGCTGCCCAAAATGCTTCAGCTATTCGCAATGGACCTTGTCCCCAGGGAAAATGGGCTGATGCGCGAGGTCACAAGCCGCAAACTGTCACTGCGCTACTCACTTCATTTGAGCAACATTCTATTCGCATCGAGGGTTGGAGATTCTTTGTTCGACGTGGTATCGCGTTGGCCGTTGCACATGACAGCCGAGCTCGACAGCTCGAAGCTTCCAGACCAGCTGTATCAGCCTCGTGGGCGCTTCTGGGTAAGGCAGAAGGAGATAAAAGAGAAAAGGAGAAAGCTGAGCGTCGCGAGAAAAATCGACCGATTGAAGCTGAGTTGGAGGATATCAACAGGGCGGAATAGGGAGCGCGGGGAGCAAAATGAGCGACAGTGGGAGGACGGAGATGGTGACGTTGACGTCGGGCCACACGACGTGTGCGACTCTGTATGTACAGGTGCGAGTCCGAGTCAATCGCTGCTGTGAATTATGATTGCCGCGCTGCTTATGCTTACGCTGCTTGCCATGGCCGTGGCACCTCCATCGTCCAAGCTTCGAAATTGCTGCTCCAAAGCGCCTGCTGGGTGCCGCAGTAACCAGCGGGGTCGCCTCTAATAACAGCCCGCTGTAAACAATTCGGAACAGCTCGAGCGTCACTGAAAAGCCACTGATGGCGCTGGGAGGGCCGGGCCGTGGCCAATGAGAGGTGGCCTTGCATTTTCGCAGGACACCACTACGGGCTTTGTGGTTAGTGCTGCTAACGCCAAATGGGCTGGTGGCTATTTTTGTAGCTGATGGGACCCACGAGCATGATGGCCGGGATCGCCCTGCCTTGATTTGGATTGTTTTTGTTTTCGTGGTTGTTGTTTTTCTTTACCTGAAAATAATCTGGCCTATCTAAATGACGAGATTGATGGCATGGATCTTGGCGCGACATGAGAATCATTGAAGTTTTCCGCTAGATTGCGAGATTGAGGCAGTTTATCTATCGTACAGTCTGGCTGCGTTGATCGACGCATAAGATTCGCTCTAACAGACTTTCAGCATCAAACACAAGAATACATTTCCACAGAATAAGTGGCACTGTTATATACCCAGAGATAGAAAGTAAAAGCATGGAAACTTTTCTTTTTGAACAACAAACAGTATCTTCAAACGAGGCTGAGCTTTGATACAGCTTTAGGGAGGATTAAAAATGCTGTGAAATGAAAAGCCGCGCGATAGGAGCTGTTGATTGGTTTAAAAAAAAAACCTTAGTAATAATAGTGATACTCTCTTGCCTGGGGGAGGGTTAAATTTGCTGTGAACTAAAGTTGGCAAAGATAGCCATGAATCCTTCGACGCAGAAATAGGTACCCAGGCAGCGTAGAAGACTACTACATCTCGGTAAGTGGTTTAGCACAATGAACAAATACCAGGAAGTTTTATAAAACACTCTTCTATGTTGCATCGCATCAATACCATAAACTTCTATGCCTCATTTACGCTCTTTGTATGTCCAAATTGTAACAATCACACTGGGGAGCCAACGTTAATGCTGCAGACCTCATGAATCTCAAATAGCTTTTCTCATTGCTACTACTGAAAGATATTTGTAGGTAATAGTGATACTTATTGTTTGGGGAGGGTTGAAATTTTCCTGAAGCAGCTTCCATTTTGCTCTCATGACTCCTTGCAAAGGCTTGGCGTATGTATGAGGAAGCAAAATAAGTAGATGGCGCTTTTATAGAAGACTGTTATCTCGATAAGTGGTTTAGCACAATAGAAAATAAGTACAGCATGGACACACCCAAACCCCACGGAAAATGGCTACAGAGCGCAACCATCTCCATCAATCATCTGATATGCTCACGTTTCCCAGCCATGAATCTGTTTCCTTTCCTTTTCTCAGCAATTCATGTCAAATTGGAATGATCGCATTTCCCAGCGTTACAACGTCAGGAACCTCTCATAACCCCTCCTCCAACGTCTCACCTCCCCCACATGCACATTCGTATGAAGAGCTCCAACCCCTGGCACAAGTGATCGTGCCAGATAGTCACACGATGCAATCGGACCCTCCACACTCTCACTCACACACACTCTTACACACATGCTGTTTCTCTTTCCCATTCTTTCTTCGTATGCACAAGTCGTTCGATTGTTTGTCTCTTCCCCAAACTCAATCCCCTCGTACACCAAAAGAGGCCACTTTGTCAAGATCTTCCACTCCACTCCTCTCATTTTCTCGCTCATCCATAACCGATTCTCACCTTGAACAAGCACAATCAAATGTCACAAATCATCTCATCACTTCTCATCAATAAGCGCCCTCTCTCTTACTCCTTCTCACCATTTTCTCACCGAAGCTCCCGGATCATTTATTCCTGCTTTCTCTCCCTCACAGCCTCTCTCCACAGCCCGCACGGCTCACTCACGCACCATTCTCTCAGCCGTGAACATGCATCTGCATTACATCCAAAAGTCCAGCTGATCATCCCAGGCCCCACAGCGATAACCTCCCCCCATGTCCGCAGTCCAATAAAGCGCGCAAGGATTGTGCGATCCAAGTTCCGATGACAGATCACGTCGCAAAGGGAAAAAATCATGGATGCGCAGGTCTTATATGGGGCGCAAATCATGACCGTATGCGGAGGGGGCATGCAGGTCTCAGTTGAGGTTACCCAGGCATTTGTTAGTGCTACACTGGCTTATCAGCCTGCTTTTTGGAATAGAGCTGTCTTTGGTTTGCGATGGTGGCGATAACCTTTCGCGCTCTAATCTCTGATGGATGGAATTATCTGCTAGCTATAGCATCTTAATCCGATATGGTGTAGTGGCTAACATCGCTCGCTCTCAACTTACAGTTGAAGTACCGAGCAGCCCTGGGTTCGATTCCCAGTATCGGAGAGTTAAATTCTTTTTGGTCTCTTCTGCAAGATTTCATTCATGATCTGGGTGTCTTCGCCTTCATTTTTTTTTTTAATTGTGGAAATGTAAGATAATGAGAAGAGTCAATTGGTAGTAAATACGCGTAGCACATAAAAGGTACTAATAATCAAAAAGCCTCCAACTCCATCCAAATCATGCCTCCAGGTGGTATATATGTGTGTGTAAGTGCAATGAACAAAAATCACAAAAGCCCACCTCCGTCCATGTATTAGGTAATATGCCTTGCTTCCACCGGATGTCCCAGCTCACGATGGTCAAGCATGAACAATCCAAAACAAAAACGAAACAGAAAAGACAGAGAACCTCCCTCCATAAGATATGCGTCAAAATAGCAATAAGCCGCCCAAACGCCTCCTGTCAGGATGCTATACCAAGTAGCAAAGAGAGCCAATGTAGAAATCAAAAGAACCTCCGAACCAAGATATGAGTGTGAAAAGATGAAAAAGAAGAAAGAATTCAGACCGCCTTTTAACGCCAACTCCAATGCATGATGGATGATGGTAGATGGATGGTGGATGATGGATGATGGTGGTTAATTAATGCAGGATGAAGGGATGATGGAGATGCTTCGCATCATTACTGGTTGACCGGGAGCACGAAGCGCACTCTCTTCTTTGGCTTTGCAGCCGCAATGTCTACACCACCGTCGCTCATCAACTCCTCTTCAGTCTCCTCTTCAATGGACCACACGTCGGGACTGGGTTCCCTCCAGAGGTGGTTCTCTCGCACGCGAGCAGAGAGGCTCCTGGTCTGCAGGCGGGGTGATGCGCGGTTGTTTGTCCTGCCCCTGCCCCTGCTGCTGGTGGGTGCCGGGAAGGAGTTGGGAGAGAGCAGGGCATTGGTAGTGAGACCGAAGACGGGCGTCTTTGCTCTGAAGCGAAGGCTCTCCATGGCAAGATCGCGCAGTGGCGAGAGCATCGACGAGGGCGATGCCGGGGAGAAGCGAATGTATTCCTCTTCGTCGTCGTCATCGGTGGTGAGGGCATCCGAGTCGGACTCTGGGGTGGCCGGGCGATTGCTGTCGGGCTTGCGAAGGCCCTCGAGAGAGGAAGGGCTGACGCTGCGGACAGCCTCGCGGGGCTGGCTGGCGTCTTCGATACCAGCGTCAAAGTCCATCATGTCCACGTCCAAGTCCAGGTCCATCATCATCTCATCATCCTCATCGTCGTCGGGGATGGGAGTGAGGAAGTAGGTGAGAGGGTTGTCATCAATGTCCTCAAGCAGCGGTCGAGGCTCAATGCTGGATCGCTTCTTGATAGACATCTTTGTGGGAGTCAAGCGGATCTGGGTTGGTGGCCAGTATTCTCGGCGAGAGGAGAAGACGGATTCCATGGGCATTGCCGGAATAAAAAACCACTTTGCCTGGGGAAGAGGCCGAGTTTTGACAGAGGGCAGGATATGCAGGGGTTTTAAATAGGACTTGTAGGGCAGGCAGAACCGGCACTAATAGGACTTTATGTTGATGCCTTCACGCTGCAACCTTATTGGGTGACTCAGACGGTGGGTGTAATTATGAGCAAGCCTCTTGGGATAAGCCCTTATTTATCCACGTGTGGTTGGAACCGATAATAAAAAGTGACAGAAAATGAGGAAAAAACGAGGGATAGGTGTCAGTGGCTGGGGCGGCGCCGCCGACGGGATGATGGTGAACAGCCACGGAGAGCGAAGAGACGAAATCCTTCACAATGGACCAACGAACAACGCTGTCCAGAATATTCAAAAGAAGCCTTGGTGATGACAGCCAAAAGAAAGCGAGTGAGCCTGGAGTTGAGGCAGCGAGATCAGCCGCAGACTATATATGCAATGCAGGGCAGCGGGTATGCCGACTGGACAAGGTGAGCAACTGAGATATCCCAACCGGGACTAAAACGTCACCAATGCAGCTCATAGTCGCTCATAGTGCCGGTTGGACTGGGGTGGTGGGCGTGGCCTTGTGAGGCCCAGATGCCCTTTGACGGTCATCAGCAGGCTGGAGATGAGGAAGCGCTGCGCCCACGTGAAGGCGGCCTATGGAGGAGGGATGTGTCTGGGGCCATCCACAGATGGTGTGCGGCCCTATCACATCTCACAAATCGCCGTGGGAGACACCATGTTGAGCTGCTCGCCCGGGTCGAGTCATGAGAGACGAATCAAGGGCAGAAGCTGAAGGCCGTTGGTGGTGTGAGGAGAGCCAATATTTGCCGCATGAGGCATGCAACTATGGACCGATTCGAAGCCATCAACGACAAAAAAACGGTGTGGCCCGAGCTAAAGCATTCCAAGAATTGCGCAGCGTCCAAGTGAGAAAACGAGCTTGAGAGGTTTGGGCTGGGCTGGGCTAGAAGGCGGCGAATGAGCGGCCCGTGTTGGACAAGCAGACAAGCTCCAACGACAAAGCCAGAAAAAGATTGACGCGGGGACGACAGGAAAAAAGAGGCTTCAATGTTGCGGGGCTTGTCAAAATGGCAGAAGCGTCTCGTAAGCTGAGACTAGGGCACACCACCAGGCAAGCCATATGACTCTTTTGGCCAAGATGATGCTCGCGACAATCGTCCACTTACACGCCGTGGATGCAATCTGCGGTGGGGTTTTGGAGCCCCAGGGTCATGCTGCTCCGAAAGCCGAGCATGAAATTCCATCTGCATGATTTGCATTTCAACCACTCCGATCGAGCTTTTCTTTGCTGGATCGGCCAGGGGCCTGGGCAAATCAGGCGCGCATGCTGCTAGAACTAACAAAACGAGAGGGGGCATAATGGGAGAAAAAAAAAAGAAGCCAGGAGAAAGAAGAAATGCCCCATCTTGGTGATGCATGGTTCCTTGCATGATGCACTCACTTGCCGGGAAGGGTGGGCTGCCGCAACTCAGATTCACAGTCTTCTTTTGCTCGTCTTTCTTTTTTTTGCGCAGATGCCGCGTTGTCGATCAAAAGGGCGATCATCCAGCAGATAACGCGGATAAGAAGGAGGAGGGAGGGTAAAAATGGAAACTTCCGTGGAGTATCTGCGCGACAGCCGTGCCGGGCGGGAGCTTCGGCGGGCCTAGAGATAGATGCCCTCGAAGACGAGGTCGAGCTCGTAATCGTTTACCTCGGGAGAGGGATTGATGATGCTACTATCACGGCAACATACAATGGGTGTATTATTAGATGGACTTCCATTTACGGCCGCCCTACCACGCCATTGCCATATCGTACCGTACCGTCCGCATGGAAGCTACAAAGCCATAGACTACTAGTAATACTAGTACTATCTTGCGCTATGGGCATGCTACTGCTGCTAGATCCAGCACCATCGTCAGCCCTTTTTTTCGAGCGGTGGGTCGGCTGATTTGCTCCAAGCCTCTCTCTGCCGCGACAGATGCGGCCGTTGCTGAGCTGAAGGAAGCTGGCGTCGATGGATCTAAACGTTATCAGACGCCCCGTTCAGCTCAATAATCAATAACTCTGGCTATTAGTGCGGGCAAAATAAAATAAAAAAAAGTCATTCACGATTCAAGCATTTGAAGCTACTGAATGGAATGGAGGAGCAGGTTATCGAAAAAAAAAAGATAGAAAAAGAGCTGCCACACCCACGATATCTAATAAAGTTGCCCGGCTTCTTTGGCATGTAACCTCTCCCACTTATCGCGATGTTTTATCTTGCAGACCGCCGGAGATCACCAAAAATCTCTGACTCTCATGAGACCCGGTGAGAAATGTCGCGTTGTGGTTCTACCCGGTAGTCTGTTGGAAAAAAATGGTGACTTTGTGCCTGATGCCCCTGCCGAGCACAGAAATTCACTCAACCGAAGGATGAATGGACCGTTAAAAAAACCCTGTACGTCATAGAAGCTGGGCAAAGAGATCACACCCTTTTGTAGAGGCCTGAATAGTTCGATATTCTTTAATATACAGCATGGTTTTGCACGAGCAGCATGACCAAGACACCGCGCCGCGCCATAGACCAGTGCACTTTTATGATCATGCTGGGCCTCAAGTCTAGTCAATTCCATCTTCACGGAGTAATAGCTCCAGAGACAATGCTGAGACATGTCTAACCACCTCCCCCCTTCATTCGCCAACTTGGTTCTCATTGTCTCTGCTCCTCCATATTTTTTTCTTATAATGCGCCAAGAAACCCCATCGCAAGTCGCAGGACCCAGGCACATGATCGGGCTCGTTTGATTTTTCTCTCCCCCTCTTTATGTCTGCCCTCTTCAGTCTCGTCGTAGAGTAAACGACCCCTGCTCGACTGCGGCGCTTGCTGCGGCCCAGCCATTCGAGGGAACAATACCGATGACGCCATGTCGGCTTGATCGGAGACCCTGAGCAGAGCGGGGGGGAGAGCTCATGCTTGCTGCAGGGTCGCGATTGAGCTTCGAGGATATTCTCCGTGACCCCGACATTCGTCCTGCGATGCGCGGCAGATGCCGACTCGTGGTGGTTGGTGATTGCCCGCACATAGACTTGGACGTATATGCTCGTGTACCTGCATCGAGAAATGCATCGCTTGGAGCGCCAAATTTACGTTATCATTTAGAGCCAATAAACGAAGTAGTAGTGGTATCAGTACTAATACTAAAGAGTTGTCTCCTTTCCTTTATTTGCTTTGAGGCCTCGTTCTCTCTCTGCAATCCTAGCTAGTATCTTCACCCTGCATTACTGTATACAACATCTCAACCTCAGCCTGCCAACAACGGGACGGACAACCGAGCTTGCGCGGCGATTGCGTATCCCATCACTGCCCCAGCCCGCTAGATGCGTGTCTAGGCAAAGCTCGCTCTTATCCTGGCCATGGCAAGACACTATCCTACTATCATGTTAGAAGCTCCGACCGCTAATCGACCCAAGCTTTCCCTCACACAACCGCCAACTTGATGCTGTCTCTGTCTCCAGGCAGTCGTACATGGATGACCTAAGCCACGGCCTTTGCTACGTAATACACCTCCGCGCCACGTGCATCGTCCGTGCGGCCGGCTTCAGATGTGCCGGAGGACGAGCCAGAAGCCACCAAAAAGCGCTTGGCACAAGCTTCGTCTAAGCACGAAAACAGCTCTAGCTGGGCCGCCCAGCCCGTAGAGCTCCCCAGGCGGCCTATCAGCGCGCAGAAACGCCGCACGGAACACGCAAATGGCCTTGACCGGTAGCACAAGCAGCTTTTGCCAATTGAAGCAAGATAAGAGACGGCCAAAGAAAAAGCTGGCCGGCAATAGGTATGTGGACGGGGTCAATCTCCTCGCACCGTCGTACGAGCGCTCGATGCCGAACGTCGTAGAGCCAGTAAGCGGTCCGCGCCAAGGACATGCCATGGCATGTCTCGCTGTTTTTCTCCTCTAAAAACCCAGACCCTTGTCTCTCGGTCCCTTGGCTTGCATTTCGCCCGGCCCGCACGGAACTATAGTCTGGTTTTGTGACGACGTCGACGACTTTACACGCTTTTGGCTATTTGCTTCCGTGCTGCAAAAAGTCAAAGTAAGCCCGCCGGATCCCCGGATTAGCAAGCAAGAGAAAAAAAAAAGGGCCTCGCTTCCACCGTAGAAACGAGAGAGAAGAAGCAAGAACTTCCGAAGCAACTAGGCCAATCATTATATAGACCCAGTGCGCCGCATCGTAGCTTAACTGGAAGCCTCTTTTTTATTTCTTTGCTCTCCCCCCACCTCTCTCTCCCAATCCACGAATTGCTTATCGTCCCTCGTGGTGGATTCTCGCTCTTCTACCGGCTTCTCTCGACTGCCCTTTTCGGGTTCCTAATAGCCTCCGAGAACTGCAAGCATCTCAATCCCCCCACGTGACAAATAGTATCGCTCCGATTGATCCCCGGATTCATCCATTTTCACAAGGATTTGAAAAATAAAACAGAGAGAGAGTCACCTGGATTAGAGAGCTTAAAAGAGCTTCGGTGCCCACCCATTGGTGTGACCGGCGTCCCTTTTTAATTTTTTGGCCTCTTATATGGTAAACGCGGGATTCACAGCCAGCCGCCGAGCGTTGCGGTCGTCAATCATGTTTCGATCCATTCTTGGTGGATGCCTCCTGTTCTGCGCCCTGGTTGCTTGGAGCGGCACTCTCTTCTACTTACAGGGCGACTCTCTGACGGCCTGGTTCGACTCGGCCGGCAGCCGGAGCTCCGGAATCATGTCCATGTCCCACGACGAGCCGCAGCAGGAGCTGGATTACGAGCCCACGCGGGTCGACATCACGACGCTCACCCCGCGGATGCCGCTGAGAATCGTCTCCTTCAACGTCCGATACGCCACGTCAAGCCCGGTCCGGGGCGAGAAGCCGTGGAGCGTGCGAGGATCCAAGCTGATCAACGAGCTCAACTTCATCACCGCCGGCCATGAAAACGCCTTTCTCTGCTTCCAGGAGGTCCTGTACGACCAGCTCCAGGATATCCGACACGGCCTGGGCCCCTCATGGGCCTCCATCGGCAGAGGCCGCGACGACGGCGAGAAGAAGGGCGAGTTCTCCCCCGTCTTCTACCGCTCCGACGTCTGGCGCCTCGAGCGCTCCCAGACGCGCTGGCTGAGCGAGACGCCCGAGAAGCCCTCGTACGGCTGGGGCGCGAGCCACCGCAGAGTCGTCGTCATGGGCGAGTTCTCCCACAAGGTCACCGGCACCAAAGTCGTCGTCATGAGCACGCACTTCGACTACGAGCACAAAAAGGCCCGCCAGCACAGCGCCGAGCACCTCCTGCAGTACGCCCGCGATTGGAGCTCCGGCAACGACACCTCGGCCGTGCTCATTGGCGGCGACTTCAACAGCACGCCTGATGACGTGGCCTACAAGCTCATGACGGCGCCGGGATCTGGCATGTACGACATTTCGGATCTACTGCCCGAGGAGAAGCACCACGGGAACCGCTTGACGTACACCAGCTTTGGCGAGCCCAACGAGTGGCCGCAGCGAATCGACTTCCTCTTCATCCAGGAGCCGGTTACCGCTCTTGTCAAGACGTTTAGCGTGGTGGAGAACGTCTTTGACGACCGGATCCGCGTGTCTGATCACAGGCCCGTTGTGTCGGACTTGGAAATTGTTGTCGACCCTTCAGCGTGAAAAGATGGATGATGGAAAAAGGGATGTGAAATGTGATGTTTTCTTTTTATTGTGTGATGACTCAACGTCTCGTTTTTTTTTGGTCGGAGAGATTTTAACAAAGATACCCGGAGCGTGCTTTTTGAGAGGCATAGTCTCTAAGCAAAGGAGTTATGAGCTTATACCCTCTAACGATATTATAAATAACAATAACAACATCAATAAAAAAAATAGTTATGACCACTACTATCAGCCAACAAAAGCAAAGGCTCAACTCCTACCGTGAAGACTATGGTTACGTCTGAGCATATGGACAATGTCCTGAGGTATACAAGCTTCATAAAGAATTATGGGACAAGAATATCACCTCGACGATGAATAGTTATGAATCGCTCGCGCCCACGATTGGCAGCTCACTTGCATCCATATCCCCATCCCTCAACATATCAATACTACTCTACCACGCCGTCTGTTGCAGCCGTCGCACTCACGCGCGTCGCGTTCACATGTCAGATGGAGAAAAGAGCTGCAGCGCATGAACGGCCGTGATGTGTATTCCTGCAGATTTCAAATACTATTTTATATGGAACCCTGGGACTTGCATCATGCACGCGTTGCTGTTCAGAAGAGGCGGTGAAGAGTGCAGCTGTCTGGATCAAAACAGGTTTGCGTTATATGATAATTCCTGATCCTTTGGATGCTTCTCCCGGGATATAAGTGAATTTGCTTGGACGATGGAAGTGGATGTATCGTAAATAGGATATGATGAATATGTAACGACCTCTTTTTATATACTTTCACCTGTTCCATACGCAGTGTTAACCTGTCTGAGAATTCCTACGTGGCCTGCATGCGGTATTTGATTCATGGTCTTTTGTTGCCTGATGATAAGGATAACTCAACATGTCGTGAATCCTCGCATAGAACCATTCCTGTGGGAAACGCGGCATAATAAAGCAGGGTGATTTATTGGAAGCTGCAAGACGAACGTTGCCACGTCGCAAATGTCGGGGAAGAGTTCTCCTGCGGAACTTTGCGGGCCGCATAATATCCTGACAAGAGGAACAGAACCATTAGAAAGAAAATATGGATATGCTCGAAGCTGAGATTTTCCCCCTTCATTGGCAGTTTGTGCTTCCATGAAGTTGAAGCCAAGGCGTCCGAGTACAGATACGCTGGCAAGGCTTACCGCAGCTAAGGAATACAAATATGCAGCACCGTCTCCCTACATTATGAGCTGACTGACCGGCTGCATGATTGCATGCAATGCAATGCACTTCCGGACGGGAGCTTATTCACAAAAATAAATCATAACATGAGGCATCTCACTTCTATGCGTATAAGCTCACGGGAAACACACGCATTCAGTACACGGCATGATAAATCCAAGGGAATCTTACATACAGGACACACTCCCGTATAAGCTCGCAAAAAAAAAAGGAGGTCTAGTAAATCTCATGCACGGACGACATCTTCTGGCCCCCAAACCTTTACCAGATATTACTAAATACTAATAGAATGACGCCGTCTGTATATTATTCGCTGTAGTCTGAGACAAGCAGAAAAAGAGCCCATACCTCTTGTACCTTGTCCGAGAGAATCTCCACTTCGATGTGGCCGATGAAGACGGCAAAGGCGTCCATGTAGAGAATTACATTTCATTCTCTCCCATATTTTATCTTCATTTGCTTAACCTGGTTGGCGATCTTTTAATGTTGTACACCCACAGATTACTGTGAGACAGCATGAAATATTGAAAAAAAAAAGACGGGTTCCCGGTATCGGTATCATCGCCACGACTGCCACGCATCTCACTTACACACGCCAAAATCTTGGAATTTATGATGTGTTACACTTCCAAAATTTGCCACTGGAGAAAGAGGGCCTAGAGCGTTCCCATCTTCTCTCACGGAGGAAAAGATATAGTGTCTTGGTCAAGCTATACTGCAGCTCAGATGTAGTATCAACGACGCATGTCCGTAGAAAAAAAAGACGGGGGTGGACAGCAAGATTGTGTTGCCTGCCGCGGCTGCCGCCAATCAAAAGAGAGACACTTACCGACCTTGACAATCTTTTGGATCACGAGATTCCAAAAAAGGTGCACCACGAGGTAGCGCGATATACTGTAGTAATACTGCGCTCAACGTGCGGGAAGGAAAATGAAAGACAACCCTGGTGGGAGAATCCAAGCGATAACCGTTACCCGCATTATAGGTATCATATGGCTGGTGGAGGCCGCAGTAGCTGCTGGCTACAATACAGCTATAGTGGAGAAAATGTCTCGCGTGGTCAAGTTGGATGTAACGCTGTTGCATTCCTCTGAAGGGATACGGTATAGAAAAAAAAACATCATCACCACGATTCTTGTGGTTGTCAACGAGCGCCCATGACATATTTGGTAGCAAGGCTTGCCGGCTTGTGAATCCACAAATGGGTATGTGCCGGGCGTATCAGCACTAGCTGCATAGGTGTGCGCAAAGACTGATTTCCAGCGAGCCAAACACTTTGCTTCCATGCGCCAAGCTGAATGTAGAGCGCAGAGATGCTCCCGGTATCCTATCCCAAGGCGTCGATATCGCGGATGGCGCGAGGCAGTGCGGGCAAGGCCGGAAGCCGAGATGCAAAAGTCGGGGGCCGGGAGTGGATCCAGCGTCCGGACCATCACATACGAGCGCGGAGCGTGGCATGTGTGAAGTTGGGTATTCTGGGACTGCGATCACCATGGGCAGGCTCAACTACTAGCAGGAGAGACTCCATCGCACTCGGAGGACCACTTTGCAGCCGCAGCCCGGCTGTGAGCTGCGGGACAGTTATACATGGCTACAGTATGTACAAGTAGGACTTGCCGGCAGCCTAGGAAGTGGACACGGATACCTAGAATTGTGGACAAGGGCGTGTGCAGACAGTGGATCACGCAACTTGCCAGATGCTTTAACAAAGAGTAGCAACTAATAGTAATAGTGTACCGTATAATGGATGTCTCTTGAGTCATCGGTTGAGCAGCGTTTTGGAAATATAGATTTCAACTCAACAAGAATATGACCCGGAAGACAAAAATGAGAAAGGGTGTGCTGCTTGCTGCTTAGCCCAGCAACCGTCGACCTATGAGCAGCCGTAAAGCTTGCATGACAGCGAACGGCGACGATTAGGCCTCAATGACAAATGGGGAGCCGGTGTGAGCTAGCATCAACGGAACATCCGATCCACATGCGCCCCTCCTGCAACCAGATCAGGCAGAGCAGGCCCCCGGACACTCCTCTCCACGTCTTTACATCAGCAACTAGGGATCGCCAGCCTTTGGAGACGACATCCTCGGCCGTCGCATCGTGAGAAATGGATGCAAGACGGAACGAAATGGCTAGAGACTTCTTCTCTCTCTCTTTTCCCACCGCTCAACGGGCGCTATAAGAGGCCAAGATGGAGATTCATGCTCTTGCCCGCTGCCCTTTTGCAGTTGATACCCAACAAAGGCCTAAAGAGAAATTTCCGCCAAGTTGGGCAGAGCAAGGAGACAGAAAAAGGAGGTAGCGTCAGTTGCAACAGGAGCTTAATGGTGGTCGTAGTAAGTCGTCGCAATAGTACGGCCATAGTGGACGTTGTTTGAGGCTGGGAGGTGTACATGTAATGATGCAGACCCCCATATTGTGCTCTGCGCTTCTCTGCCATTGCTACCGCGATGAGGCTACGCGTAATACTTGGCGTGTCATTAGTTCCATCGAGGCTGCCGCCAGCCAGACCGTATAAGAAAGTTTTTTTCTTCTCTTCAATACTTCTGGGGAAAAAAAGACAGCTGGCAGTCCAACTAGACGCTGCTGTCCAACCTTGAGCTGTCCATGGCCCCACGGTGGCAATGTTTAGGAAAACATACCGAACGCAAAAAAAAAGGCAGCAGTTTCAGCCAGACACCGTGTTTCACAATTCACATTGATCCAGACGTCGAGAAAAAGACGGGCGATCCAATGTGGCGGGGCGCCATCAACGGGCAGAGACGAGCCGCGCAGCCTGGCCCCGTTGCATCTCCACAGTTGGGCGTGAGTGCTTTTTTCCCATCTGCCATTCTCGACATCCTATTTGGTGGCGGCTCTTCCCGGAGCAGCTCTTGGACGCTAGATTCTTTGGTGTTTCCACACGTGCTGGAATCGGATATGGCAGAGAAATGGAAATGGAAGGTTTCTCGCTGCTTGGGTTGCCATCTCACCATGTCTCTTCCAACCCTTGTCCGAACCGATGGGATTGGTGTTGGGAGCATCGGAGCATCGGTGACGTCGTTTCCAGCTGCACGGAGCAAAATTTTTTGTTCTTCGTTGGGCGCCCCTCCAGACATGATTCCAACGCTGCGGTCGTCGTCACCGTCGTCGGCCAGGATCAGGAGCTGTGCAGGCGGATGAGAAGCTGCATTGCCGCGTGCAGGTCTCCATCCGTCATTGAGAATAGGCGAGATGGGGATATTTTTATCTGGAGTGAAGAATGCTGGAGGGCCTTCTCAGGCGACTAAGAGGAGGACCACCCCCCCTTGGTTCGATCAAAGTATGAAGATCCCTGTTCGAACCTCTTTGCTTCCCACCGCATTGCATCGTCCCGCATTGCTATCTTTGGCGAGCGCTTGCTGCGACAGACAATCATACCGGCGGCACCCCGTACAATCTACAGCATGTGTTGGTTTCTCTCATGCTTCGTAGTGGCAGTACCTGGGTAGTAGTAACAGCAGCCGCTCTCTTGAACTGCGAGACTCACGATGCTCGCAACTCGCCCGGCATCCCATTCGCCAGCGTCCATCGTGCTCGACAGCAAAAGGTGGTGCCGCACCTCCGCCCTCGGCCACTCGTCGAGACGGGGCTAAGCAGCAACTGGAGGGTCAGGCGGTGCCAGCTGCCGATGCACTGTGCAGCGCTGCAGGCCTGAGACTGGCTGACGACCCACGAAGAGTCGAGACGGCGACGTGAGCTGTCTGGTGTATCGCGTTGCCGTAGCTCAAACGAAGGAAGCACCGGCTTTCTGGACGGTGGGGGAGAGTTTGAGAGTGTCGTGTGTGGAGAGAGCCTGGCAGCCCGGCCATTCGGGAGCCATCCATGGCAGATACTTGATCCGTAGCGAGCAGAGATCGCGCAAGCACCGCTGTATCTGTACTGTATGTAGCACGGGTTGATGCTTCGTGGATTCAAGGACGGCTTGAGCATCTGCAAGATTTGTGAGAGCACATCAGAGAAGCCCGTGAATGATCTTACATACATGCCTGTGCATGAGGTGGCGTCTCTACATGTATGCAGTCTGCAGGCAGCATCCAGCATCCAGCATCCAGCCGCGCGATATTGTGTCTCGTCGAACATCAAAACACACCACCATCTGCTCAGTGCACCTGTACCAGTATTTGCAAGCACAAGCAATAGTCGCCCCGTCCCTTTGCCCGTCCAAATAGTTCGTTGTTCATTCTTTCTTTTTCACTTCTTAATCTCCCCTTTTGCTCGCACAGACCCTGAACACAGAGACAACATTGGTGCTCCCATTCTTTCTCGCTGCCCAAGCTCAAAGCTCGGACGCTCTCCCTTGCCATCAGCTGCTGCCAGCATCCGCGCAGTCATCAAATCATCAAACCACTGCGCGCTGGCACAGCAAGCACAGCAAAGCAAAGCAAAGCAAGCAGCACAGCACAGTACCACCTGTATTCTGCGCACAGCCGGCAGACAGCCAGCGCATAAACCTCCCTGGAGCACGCCCCCTCCGCCCCTCTAGGCCCCTCCCTAGCGCACCCCCTCCCCCCGCTCCATGCCACACAACCTGAACCTTCGCACCCCTCAATTCCCGCCCTCGTAGCGCTGCTCTGGCTGCTGCCCTGCACACACTTCTGGCCATTGGATCAGCGACAACGGGCGATTAAAACCTCGCTGCTGCGCTGTCAGTTGGGTCTGCATCCTGTCAACAAAGCGCCGCCCTCCAGTCATTTTGCTGCAGCTGCTGCAGGTTGGGAAAAAAAAAAAAATCTGCTGCGTGGTGTCATCCTTTATTATCCTGCGCTGCCCGTCACTCTGAGAGGAGGGGCTCATACTCATTCACACCACGGCTCTCACTCACCTGCACTCCGCCTCTACTCTTCATACAGCACCGTACATCATTCGCTCCATTTCAGCACTCACCGCATTGCTAGCATCGACATTTCTGCTCCAAGCGCTGATCCGACACGAGACCGGCTGTACGCCCGACTGAACTAGCACCCCATCGCTGCCTAAGACCCAGCCGGCCGCTCTTAACGGCGACTCAACGACCCAGATTCCCCGCCCTAGTGGCATCTCTCTTCTACTTCATAACCATCTGGCGATTTCTTTGCCATTTATTAACTTGCTCCCTCCCGGGGCGATTCACATTTCCATCTAGCCATCATGTTCTCCTCCAAGAAGTCAATGGTAGGCTACGTGGAGGACGTTGACGAGGATATCAGCAGCACTATTGGCCTGGAGGGCACTCGACGATACGCCAGATCTGATTACGCCCGATCTGAAGCGCCCAGAAGCCCTGAGCGTTCCAACACCAGCAAGCCCCGCAACGATAGAGGTTACTCAGACTCCGAGAGTGAAGAGTCAGCATCCAGCGTCAGCAGCGCTTCTTATTCTGAAGACGAGACACACACACCTCCCAAGAGAGAGAAGATGAGGCCTGTTGCTGCCGATCCCCGGCGCCCCATGCACCCAGACCGCCAGCCTCGCCGCGATCCTCGGGAGCCTCGAGACCCTCGAGACCCTCGCGGCCCGCGAGAGGTCAGAGACCGCCAGAGGATGGAGAGGAAGCCCAGAGAGGATGATGAGCCGAGAAGGATGAGGCCCGAGCCCAAAGACAGAGACGCCAGAGCCCCGCGAGAGCCCCGAGGTCCCAAGAAGACTCGGCCTGGCCCTCCCAAGCACGCCGCCTCTCAGCCTGTTGTCAACCAAGCTGGCTACCGACGAGGACAGTTCGAGGACCCGGCTGCCTACGGAGTCCAACAGCCTGCTGCCTCCACCCAGCGACCTCGAGCCCATACTCGTCCTGCAAGCTACTATGCAGGCCAGCCGCCCCCACCGCTTCCTCCTCTGGACGTTTGGAATGGGCCTCAACCTCCGCCATACGGCATGCCCGGCTTTCAGCCCCCGCCCATGTTTTCTCCTCTTGGCCCTGGCCCTCCTGGCGGACCTCCAATGCATCCCAACATGCCACCTCAGTCCCCTATGGGCATGCCACCACCGGGATCTTTCTTCCCTTTCGACCCTATGGGGCCACCTGGACCACACGGTCCGCCTGGGCCGCCTCCTCCGGGCGAGCAGCTAAGGCACCGCTTTGATGGACGCCCCTCATCTGCTCTTGGCTTTGGCTCTCCTCAAGAGGCCTTGGAGTACTTTCCTGAGGAGTATGATGGCTATGTCGAAGAGCCGTCCCAGAAAGTTGCCCGCCGTCCCTCGCGACCCAAGAAGCAGCCGATGCCAGAAGAGCGCAAGAAGATGCCTCCTCCGGAATATGCTCCAAAGCGTACCCAGTCAGCAAGGCCAACCGCAGGCGCCTACAAGCCGCCCATGGCACCGCGTGAGCCTCTACGGGAGCAACCGCGAGAACATCTGCGAGAGCAAGCACGGGAGCAGGCACGGGAGCACATGCGTGACCAGCGTGAGCGCGCACAATCACGACCGGCTCAGCAGCGACCACCGCCAGCCCACCGGAGGTCTGTTGGCTTCGTGGACACGCATGGCTTCGAAGACGACGAGTACCTGGGCGGTGAGGTGGATCTCTACCAAGAAGTTCCCCCCAACCAGCGCCGCAATGCCCTTACTCGGCCTCGACGCAGCCAGTCTGTCGCCTATGACCAAAACGGCTATGACATTGTCCCCGCTGGTAATCGGGGCCGTCGCGGGTCCATGTATGGACCTGGGCCTCACGATTCTTTTGGTGGCGCCAGCCTTGAGGACGACAACAGGTACTTTGATGCTTTGCGGTACCAGGAGGATGTCAGCGGAGGCACACCGATGCCCTTGACTGCCGAGTCGCTGCGCAAGGCATCCAAGCGTGGAGAGTTGGCCAGCAGCCGATCAACCAGGAGCAGCGGAAGCCATGACGAGAGTGACTATAGGCGAAGCCACACCACTGGCCACACCACTCAATCTTCTGCCGCACACGATGACTTCACCATCAAGGTTTCTGGGCAAGCAGTTGTCAAGATGCCCGGTGCTCAGATTGAATGCGATGGAGGCGAAATCACCTTTAGCAGCGGCCGAAACGGACCCTCTGGTTCAGGACCACCAGGCGCTTCTCGTGCTGGCAGCGACAAGGAGAGCACCGTCTACCAGCTTGACGATGCACGTAGCTCTCGCATGGACCGCAAGGCGCTGCCTCATCGCCCACGCGCAACCAGCCAGTCTGATGTCCACAGCCGTATCTATGCTCCGCTGCGCGGCCCATACGAGCACGCACCGTATGAGCATATTCCCTATGAACCATATGATTCGTATGGCTCGCATGAGCGCATTACTTATGAACACGCACCCTACGACCCATCCCTCGCTGCTCACGACTATTAATGATTACGACCAAAACATCATGTTTGATGAATAAAATACATCTACGAAACAAAATTCACGATTAATGACATGATAAACAAAAATATGCAGCATTTTCTTTTATCCTTGTTATCGACTTCAATTTGCCGAAGCAAGCGTCTTTGCTCCCTTTGGGGGCTGCCTGCTGACGGATTTTGTTTCTTGCTTTTCACTTTTCATTTCTATCTGTGTTTCTATTTACAAGCTTTTCTTTTCTTCTCTTCTTTACTGCCTTCACATCTTGCGCTTGTCTTGGTGGTTCATATACCCTGCCGCCATTCTACGGCGGTAAACCATTCTGATACCCCCAAAAAATCGTTGGCGATGGAAGGATATTGTGCTTTGGTTTCTATTTGGCGGACACGTTGATACATGCGGAAGGAATCTTGTCTCATTTCATCTCATTTTACCTCATCTCATTTCACTTTATTGTTTCTTTCCTTCCTCTTTCTTTGCGAGTCGTGCTGCCTGCAGAGTGTCGGTGAGATAATTGAGCTCGATTGGGCGAGCTGAGCGAAGCTGGTCTGACTGCTCTCCCGACCTTGCCGCATGGGAAATGGCGCCATCTCCGAGGAGGGCTGTTTCCTGCTGGGCATGATCCATCATCCCGACATGCCATCACCCACCTCTCAAAGGCATTCCCTCGGTCAGCACGATGTGGAAAACGTACTGGATCAAAGTCGATTTTTTTTCTTGTTTAATTTCTGGTTGTGGAACACATTCAGTCTATTACTTTAGCGGCCCTTTATGTGTTAAGAGGAGGAAGTTATCGAATTATTTGATCTTATTCATGTCTCATCAAATGTTACCAAAACGATAGAATGTATGAGCAACGGGGGTTCGCACCCCCTTCACTCCCTCTGCCAATACACGCGGGGCTCTTTTTGTTTCTCAACTGGCATTCCAACCTGCTTCTCCCGTGCTCCTCTCTCTCGCTTCCCCCCCTTCTTGTCCTTTCATCCTTCGAAAAAGATAAGAGTGCTGTGATTGGCGACCACGTGCATTCGAGCCGGACTCAATACCCCTCACGGCTTACCCTTGTGGGCTAGCACGCATAATGCGAGGAGTGCTACGTGCATGCATGGCTCAAGGAGGACGTGATATTAGGTGCAAAATGGATTAGAGAGGATTGCTTGCTGCAGGGAAAGCGAGTCTTTTTCTTCTTCTTTGATTATGCGGTGATGGCGAAGGGGTGTTTGGATAGCAATGCGCAAGCTGGGAGGTATGGAGAGGGATTGATTGATTGGTTTGATGACTTCTTTCATAACCTGGCGATGAACTAAAAGTGTTTTTATTCTATTTCGTTTGTTGTTTCATTTATCACTGCTTCTTATTTAAGGATGCGTGTTTGTGGTTTAGCTCAAGCCTTGCTTTTTCCAATTTTCTAATTTAATAGCCTCTGGGGCCTTTCTTTTCCGGCTGTACAGTACTAAGCGTACCAAATGTGACCGATTTCTTTGCTGCAAAGTACCGATCTGATGGATCCCAAGGCACTTTGATGGAATGGAGCAAAAATACGCCCAACTCCATAGTAATTTTACCAGTCCATTATGCAGGGAGGCCGGACCTAGCGGTGAATCGCGAAATAGCTGGGAAGCCACCACGTAGGTTCAAGTGTGGATCAGCAAGTGTGTTTGTCTTTTGTGTCTCGTCATGCAACGACTCGCAAGTATACTCCATAGCAGCACGGAACTTTCTGTGTATCCACTATGGAATACAGGTGGAAGGAGTTGAATGCGGTGTATCTACTCCGTGAAAGTTTTGTTGAGCTTGATCTTGGGCGTCTACCTAGTAGGCCGAGAGAGCGGATGGCTTTGGAGAGTGGGCATGATTGGATCGATCGATCGTGTGGGGCGTTGCTGGGCCAGCGAGCTGGGCGGCTTACTTTACGCTTAATGCTGTCACTAGAGGCTATTTTTGGGTTATCAGTAATGAGGTGTCTGAGATTGATGGCGTAGCTTACTCAGTCATTTTTGAAATTGTGTGAAAAAATTCAATAAATTGTTTGGTTTTATAGATGGATGCTCTACAAAGATGAAGACAAGATATTCCAATTTTTTGCTTCGTTTTTATCTTTTCGTGGTAGTGCATAACACTGTAGAGCAAACAAAGTTAGCTGATTGGCCTGCTGCGGACGAGAGTGGTCGTCAGCGCCAAAAAACTCCACGTCCACCCCAGCCCCCTGGTTTCTGGAGGAACAACACCGGCTGCAGGATTCTGCCCAGCTAACTGCACGCACACGCTCTGTTTTCGTTAGCGCTTTTTACCACTCTTCAACCTCGACTTTTGTTGTTGTTGATAACGTCACGGCGATTTTGCAAGAGCGAGATACCCATCGCCTCTTGTTTTGACTAAGCGCACAGCCAGGGCTCTTTCGGAGAGGCTTTGGCTGGCTGATACGACCGCGATTGGCGCTTTCGTAGCTTACCCGCGTTTCACTCAACCCGAGAGACACTCCGCATTCCAGCAACTTTACATCAACCATCCATCAATATGGCGCCGGCGCTGGCGAGTGCCGGACAGGCCCTCACCGGCACGCAGACTGTCGATGTTATCGACACCGACGTCTTCCCCAGCGCTGCGGATGGCCCCCTCGCTGAGGGAGCCCGCATCTTTGCTCGCCTCGCCAAACGAACCAACGATCCGTCCAAGGGCGTGCTCGACCCCCATGACATCAACAATGCCGGCTTCTTCTTTCTTTTCGCGCTCATTGGCGTTGCCTTTGTCGTAACGGGCATCTGGTTCTTCTTCTGGGCCAAGAACGGCGGCATCCACTTCAAGGACGACGATTGGGACGACTACAAATCCACGGTTATGCGTCGCAAGGGACCCAATGGAACGATTCTCTCCAACGCTACCCGCTCGACGAATCTGGGCGGTGGAAGTGTCTACAAGCGCTATGACGACCACGAGGATGACGGCCACACTGTAATCACGGAAAGCACTGCTCTGAGCGGCATCACTGCCGGCGCGAGTGACATTTTTGCTCGCGAGAAGCGCAAGAAGAAGAGGGAAGCCCGAGAGGCTGAGCGCAGAAAGCGACGCGGTGAAAAGGGCAAAAGCACCAGCTCCAACGAATTCGAGGGCGTCGTGGATGAAAAGGCAGAGCGAGATGCCAAGAAGTTTCTGCGCAACTACCGTCACGAAAAGCCCGCCCGCGTCGGCGGAATCAACAAAGACGCTGAAGGCTCGGAATGGGAAGGATCCACAAACGCGGGTGAATCTTCTGTCGGCGCAACGTCCGAACTACTTGCTAACCAGGAACCAACACCTACTTCTGATCCTCCTCCCAAGTCTGAACCTCCCAAGACCAGGAGCGGCGGTATTCGAAAGGTGTACTCGACTGCGGACCGGAGAGAGAACAGGGAATCCGAGAAACTGCGTGCCGAGGCTCGACGAGCGAGAGCAGCTGACAAGGTGGCCCAACGAGACTTTGCTTACCAGCGAGCTACCGGCGCGGCTACTGACAGCCAGTTGAGCGAGAGTTTGCTGTCTGGCACTGCTAGTGGCAGCGGTGGTTCAACTACTCTTGGTGAGAGTATCCCTGAGGAGGGCGAGAGTGAGGTCGGCACCAAGAGCTACCACCACCCGTTGCCTGAGCTGAAGGAGCAGAGGAGGAGAGAGCGAGAGGAGCGCAGGGCGAGACGTACTAAGAGCGGTTATCGACGCACAAACACCGATGAGAATTCCGAGATTTGAAAGGAGGAAGAAGAGTTATTGTTATGATATGGGACGTCTTTACGCGAGGGTTGGCAAATGTGGAATAATTGAATGCTTTTTGGCTCGCTGTCGTTATGGGTTACTTTTTCGATGGGGATTTTGGGAGGTGGGGGGTATGAAATGTCTCTTTTTTTTTGTCTTTCTTTCTTTTGTTTTATGCAGATCGGACACGGCTGTTATACACAACGCAACGATGAATGAGAGCTGTGGTTTGAGATATATAGTTATTCCCCCAGTTTTATAAATAAACAATGATTACACCTCGAATTTGTGGAATGTCTTTCTTATTTTTGAATTACGTTAGATATATGTAACACTACGCACAGTAAATCGAGTAATTGCCAAATAAAATATAAATGGAGCTATAGTTACAATACAATCTCTTCCAATCTCTTTGATAACCATATTACATCCTGGGAATTAGCCCCCGAAACCTGAAAGAGGCCTTCGTGCGCACGGAGATAATACTGCCTAGTATCTTGCAACTGGCCTTGTTTGAAGCAGATATTTCCAAGGTTTACAAGGCAGTCCAGCCTCAGTTCGGTGGCCGTGCTAACACTTGATCCATCCTCCAGCTCCTGCACTTTCTCAAACCCTCGAAGTGCCCGTTCATACATGGCTTTGGCTTCGTCGAGCTGGTCTTGCTGGAAATAGAGGCCTCCCAGATTGTATACTGCAGTAAGAGTTGATTTCTCCTCTGGTCCACATGCCTTTTCAAGCACTTCAATTACCCACTCAAACAGCGATGTAGCTTCGTGGAATCGGTCTTGGCCAGCAAAGAGGGCAGCCAAAGCATGCATTAGCCCCAACTCTTGTCTTTGTATATCCACAATCTCGATGGCATCACAGCATCGATCTGCATGTTTTAGGAGCCGTCGTTGCTTGGACCACCAAAGCTCAGGCTGTTCTTCGGCTGGCGCGTGAGAGCCTACGCAGTGAAACGCTGCTCGAGCCATCTCCTCGCAAGAGCCCCCGTCATGAATTTTTCGTACCCAACCGTGGACCAATTCGCCCATGCTATACCCGGCTGACTCTGCATGATCGAATGTATCAGGTGTATCAGGCGCATTGGCCTGCACAAATCCATAATCAGATAAAAGCCTCATTGTAGTATGAAAGGTGTTGGGGTCTTTTGTTAATTCTCGAAGCCATTCTGGTTTGTACTCGCCATCCTGTAGTAACTCATACCACAGATCTTTACAGTCAAAATATACCCATTGGCGGAGAAGAAGAGCCGCGTTTGCATTCTGCTTCTCAATGTGTGCAAGTGAGATATTCCATATTGCGTAAAAGCTAGTAATCAGCCATGGATTATGCAGTTCTGGATTGGTTTCGTGCAGTTGTGCCAAGGTCGTTTCATAAAGTTGAAGGTATTCGGTGCATGTTATAGACACTTGCTTAAAGTAAGCTCCCGCCGATGCAAGGGCCAGAGGATGCCCATTGAACCGTTGTATAAGTTCGACTGCTGATTCGTCTATCCAAAAAAAAAAAAGTTATTTAGCCTCCTATTCTCGTAGATGGATATGACAGCTTACCTTGTCTTAGATCCTCTCGACAAGAGAAAGACGATAGAAGTTCCAGGCTATCTTCGGCAAGCTGAAATACTCCAATCGATCTGTAATCTCGTAGATTATCTAATAATAGCCCGGAAGTTACGATGACGGCACCATGGTTTGACTCTGGTATGTATTTGCGAATATCATATGACCTCCGTCTCGCTACTCGTCTGTGGCTTTGATAGTTGGAGCGAGAAGCATTCTCTTTGAGAACAAGTGAGGTGTTCGCAGCCTTAGTACTGACACTGCTTGCATCTGCACGGCGATGACCATCGTAGATAATCAGCCAAGAATTATTGGCGGGTTCATCAAACCACGTTTTGACTGCAGTCACAATTTGTTCTTGATTTTTGCTTTGAACCGCATCAGAGACGCAACTTGCTGATTGGTCATAGTTAATGATCCATATTGCCAAGCGAGCAAAGCTTTGGTTTATCGCCAGTTCATCTCTCGCATCTATCCAAACGATTGCCGAGTAATCTTCACGGTGACGCTGAGCGTATTCGATGGCTAGCCGAGTCTTGCCCCTTCCCTTAATTCCGTGGAGGACGACGACACGACGATGTTGAACTGCGCCCCTGAGAGCCTCTTGCATTGTTGTAAGCTCTACTTCTCCTCCAACAAACTTTAAGCCTCTACTGTTCTCAGGCAAATAGAACGGGAGAGTAAAAGCGATTGGAGTAGATTGGCTATTAATTAATCTTGCGTGAAGAGTAAGCTGTATATCCAAGAGACTAGAATCCGCCACGAATGTTATGCTTACCCTTGTGTTGATTCGAGGGGCAGGTGGAAGCATAACTGCCTCGCATAAGCGGCTGCGGCCGCCGCTGCAAACCCGTCCCAGATGTCGTTCTTGTGGGAATCGCAATAATTGGAAATGCCTCGAATGACCAGACAAGGGAAATCGTTAAGAGCTCCCGCTGCCTCCATGTCAAAGCATAGAATTCCGTGCTGCTTCGCCAGGTCATCTCTCTGCTTGGCATCTCTAAGTGACAGCTCTCCAGACGCTATATTGCCTCTATGCACAACAACAAAAGCCTCGTCGTCATCCTCATCAACTGGTCTCGAGATTCGCTGCTCTGGACTGCAGCCTCCTTTCTCGCAAGACACTCCCTGCTGCTGATGGATATACTCTGGCTGGTACAGATGATCGTTTGCGATTCCTGGGAACTTGAACCGTCGCAGCCCTCGGCGTTCAGTCTTGAACCTTTGCGTATCTTTCCAAACGGGATCATAATCCATCCGGGCCCTTTGGACAGCCAAGAGTTGTGCGGCGTTGAGAAGCACAGCTGGCGGAGGCATAACAGAGCCGGTGCGTTCAAAGACGCCATCCCTTGTTTTGCCGTGGTCGTATTGGACCACTCCAGAGTGTTCCCCAGCTGGCTTGCTGACCACAACATGGCCCAGCCGGATCATCCCATCGTCTGTCTCTACCGGCACGCCACCTCCAATGCCAACCAGCAAACCGTATCGGAGGTTCTTGAATGTCATCCTCATCTGTGTGACGACTGTGGTCGCAGGGCAATTGCCTATCTGATGGAGGCCGGCAATCACAACATTGTGGCCGTTTATGCTGCCGAGCTTGTAAACGTTGTGATCCGTAAAGGGTTGCGCGATAGGCATGTGCTCTTCATCCAGCATCTCCAACGCTGCGATCTGTTCTAATTCTGAAGGACAAATCCACCCCACTCGATAGCTGTCGGACGTGAGCCTTTTCGATGACATTGCTGATATGATTAAACAATATAATAGGTTAAACAACACTTAAGGTAGGTTAGAGCACAGGAGCAGGCGAGCACTTGATGATAATGAGATAACTAGGAAGAATAACTGGAACTTCTATTTGTAAATTCAGACGCATCTTATTATGGATTGGGTCATTTCCTGCCGCGCTTTATTAAGCGCCAGCCTCGTGAGAGGTGCATGTCGAGTGCATATCGCCGGCCAATCAGACACATGGTGTTACCTTGATGCATGGGTATTCTGAGCCAGGAAGTGGGGTAAGAAAACTGTGTATGTATATAAATATCATTTATTGAGAGAAGAGCCGTATATCCACGTTGATAAGCGTTTGTTTGGTAATAATATTGAAGTCTTGAGCAAGAGAACTTGACTCATGGCGGCGCTTGGCCGGCCGGATTAGATTGAGGAGATCCCGCTTGTCCACGGCGAGAGTCACATCGGGGTTGTGCCTCAGCAACGATTAATACCACTTATTTGGGTATTGTATTTCTAGTTCAAAAGAGCTTACAATGAATGGCAGTTGACTAATAATGCCGGTCAAACTTCATAATTGCTTACAAGACATTTCCATTTTTGGCTTGTACGAGTGTTACATTTTGTACAAGTAGGACCTGATAGCACAACTGGGCAATCAGAAGATAGGAGCAGAAACGTAAAGGGAAGTATACTGCCAATATTATGTATACCGTATGCTTAAGAAAAATACCAGGCACTATTTTAAAGATCTTACGTGTGTGTGTTATGCGGAGATGAAGTCAGGAACCAGAGCCAGAACATTTGGATGGCGGCGGTGGTCTCACAGTGTCCGCCCTTACGCCGCGCATGTTATATCTCTCTGTGCTTATGGAAATCGAGTAGTTCGGCCTTGTTTAGCTAGATACCTACTGAGGACATATCTCAATGCTTCTCTAGATACATGTGATATATGCCTATTTCTGATACGGGGTAGCGTTATGAGATAGTAGTAGCAGTGTTACTTTAGATTCTTACCTGAGATGCTAGCTGAGCGGCTGTGTGCTATTCATAGCAGCAATTGACACAATCAGAGCCCCTGGGCAAATGGCACGCATAAGCCCGCATTGACAGGCCGATACAGCGAGCAAGCGGCTTGAAACCCGGGCTGTGTGGGTGAAACTACAGGGGCCGGAGCTGGTCAAAGCTCAATGCTGTGAATTAGACGCCGGGTCGTCCGAAGGGGTCCAGCTGGGAATGCGAGGGAAAGAAAACATAATTACAGGTATTTGATTTTGTTCTTATACGCAGTTTGTACAAGCAAATGCGGCGGCGTGTATGGAATTACTGCTAATTCCATGCCCCAGCGCTCCGGGGCTGAGCTGATTATTCGCTGCGCGCTCACGAGGCTGCGCCCATACGCAAAGCATTGCGTCACACGATCCACCGGCCCAAGAGCGAAAAAAAAGAAGCGCAGCTGGCACGATGTCACCGGTACCCGGCCAGGGAACGCAGCCTGGAGCTGCCGCCGGTACTTTAGCGCCCCCGCTGCCCAGATAGACGCTGCCACGGGGCCACCACGCAAAACCCTATCCGCCGCATCGATGCCTGCTTGTACTTCTCCGCGCCGGCGATCACGCGCGAGGAATGCGCCGCAGCTTGTACCCTGTACCCGCCCCGTCCCTTGGCCTGATATTCCACTTTTTTCCCTTTCCTCCTCTGCTCGTCCCAGCCTTCGCCCAACTTGGAACGCAAACTCTCTAGATCGAATCCTTTGTCTTCTCTTCTGTTTCTCGCGTGTTGTCGTACAAGCTGCGAATCATTGTTTCTTTTTTCATTCTTCCCTTATTGTTCTCATACAGGTGTTTTTACATTTTTTGAACCTCTACAGGCATTGTCTCCTTTGTTTCTCCCAAGTCTTTCCCCCTTTCCCTTGTGTATTTTATTTTGCGCACGCTGGCATCGGACGCTTCTCACCATCCAATCCATTCGATACATATCTTTCAGCCTTTAGCCCGTATTCCTCTAGGCCTCTTTTTGCTCTGGGCCCCTGCCAGAAGCCCGCCGCTGGTTGGGTCTTACGGCTGCGCTGCTCACAGGCATTCGCCGCTATAGCTTTAGTGCCCGCCACTGCCTGCGCTCAAAAACAAGCACGTCGCCGGTACTCGCTACAGACGCCTCGCAGCCCGTTCCAGGCCACCCTTCTGAGTCGCTCTCCCTCCAAGAGTGGCGACCCAAAACGCAAACTCTCTTCCATCAACCTTCAACTTTTTTTGTGCCCTCTGGTAGCGGCAGCTCCGGAACGGTCCGATACAGCATTCTTGTTTTGCTCTTGCTTCGAACGTGCGGGCGACGACACTCTTCGATTTTTGGCAACGAGCCCGGGATCTGCACCTTTGCGCCCAACGTTTCTGGCCCTCGACGCTGCAGATCGACCTTTGGAGCATCATCCCCGCAGCCTCCTCACCACCGCAAGTCAACGCTCACAGCGCTGCGACTGTCGCGGCGGAGACGCCGTGTCGTCCTTTGGACTCTTCGGAGTCTATCTTTGTTTTCGCTACGAGCGAATGCTAGATTGTGACTTCACTTGCCGCACCGACTCGACGGCTTGATTTGAAATACTCCGCCATCATGGCGTCGTCACCATCCTCCGCCTTGACGGGCGTCATCATCGGTCTGGTGTCCTCATTTGGCTCCATCGTCCTCATCTTCCTCATTGTATTCATCTTCTGGGCATCTGGATGCGCTGGCTCAGGCCGAATCATTCTCGACCGCATCGGCCGACCCGGTGAATATGACGATGAGCAGGCATTTGCAAGGGAAGAGGCTGAGGCCTTGGAGAATATGGACGACATGTCCAGGACCGAGTATCTGAGGGCTAAAGGTGTGCTACGCAGTCCATGCAGTATTACTGCAATATAGACCATATGCTGACCATTTGAAATCCAGCATTTGTTACTGCGAACCCTCCCGAATCCGCGCAAACAGACATCTCGCTCTCACAGTACCTTGCTATTCAAGAAAAGGGTGTCTCTGCCTGGGAATTTGAACCCGAACTGGAAATTGCGAATTGCTTCGTCGAGGCCCGAACCGAAATTGAATTCTTCGACTCCGAATGCACCGTCATGAGCAATTTGCCTGTGCCCAAGCAGAATGACGTCTACTACTGGGAAGCCAAGGTTTACGACAAGCCCGAAAACACACTGATTGCCATCGGTATGGCCACCAAGCCATACCCTCTCTTTAGATTACCAGGTATGTTTTCATTTCTATTTTGTATAATCTGCGCCTCGCGATCTGACAACGGTTGTAGGCTACCACAAGTATTCTGTCGCCTATCATTCAAACGGCTCGCGTCACTACAACCAGCCATTCAGCCGAACTCCATATGGTCCCCACATTGTCACCGGCGATGTTATTGGTGTCGGATACAGACCACGGACAGGCGTCATCTTCTTCACACGCAACGGGAAGAAGCTCGAAGAGGTTGTTCATGGCTTAAAGTCCCAAAACTTCTTCCCAGCCATCGGAGCAAACGGCCCCGCTTCAGTCCACGTCAATTTCGGTCAATCTGGTTTCGTCTTCATCGAGGCAAATGTCAAGAAATGGGGCCTGGCCCCTGTCACGGGCAGTTTGGCTCCTCCGCCTCCGTACGGTTCTGAGCAAGGCAGCATTCTCCTGGAAACTGGTACCAAAGACGGCTTTTCGTATTCACAAGGTCGCGCTCATCGACACTCCGTGAGCGGCACACCGTACAACGTCCGAGCTGCCGAAAATGACTTGAACCTGAACGTACAGCACGGTCGATCACGGAGCGGAAATTTCAGAGTTCTTCCTCCAACTAGCCCCGGTCCCGTCCGAAGTCCAACCGATATCTCCCTTGCCCAACTCGTACCATCGGATGAGCATGGTGAGCCTAGTAGCAGCAGCACGAATCTCGCCGATGAGCAACATTTGGATCAGAATCCCCTCCATCTCCATCTTGAAGACGCCACCAACCCGCCGCCCGATTACTCAAGTCCAAGGCTCCATCAGGGCCGTAATCGACAATACAGCAGCGACAGTGAAGAGGAGGAATACACCCCTCTCATCCATGTTATGAACCGCAGTAGAGGCGAATCATCCGCGACAATACGGCCTGCAGGACACGGCCAACCGGCTTTACCCGAGGATCCGGTTCCAAGCTACAGCGACGCGATACAACAGGGGGCGAGCCCACTACGCCGTGAAAGAAGCGACAGTTCTGAATCTGACGGCTCAAATCACAGCTCGAATAGCGGAACTTCATCAAGCTAAGATAGACTTGTTCAATTTTCAGCAAACGATTTCATGAAAACAGAGATACCAAAAGTTAAGATCTCGAAACCACCGCTACCCTCCGACCTAAATACCAATTCGACATCAGGGTGAGAGGTATACACGGAGCCACTAAGCATTGCTCTCATCCCAACATTCATACATACCACATACTCACACAATACCATCTTGCACATTTTTATATATCTTTCGCACGGGCGCCTTGGAGTTTGTATAGCATTGGGATTCACCGCCACGGCGGCAACACGTCGACCCAGTGGGTCTTTTTTTTTGTCTTTATATGTGGCACTGCCTCCTCTCCTCAGACCTTAGAATAGGCCTCTTATTCTTCTTTTCTGCCATGAATGGAAACATTTGCACGGAATACCTGGAGGGCCATGACACGATACCAACCTCTTTGAAGGCCTTGGCGAACTGCGACTACTTGGATTTTTTTCTTTTGTCTCTTCTGCAAACTCTGAGCGGGCTGAGCTTTTGGGGTAGCATGAGTTGTAGATAGCTGATTCAATAGTATAAGGGCTTCAATTTGGCAGTAACTTTTGGTCTCTTCGTGATTTTGCTCTCGATAACTGTGAGACCCCTAGCTAAATCTCACAGAGCTCAAGTATGTTTTGTTAGTAGCTGACTTACTAGTAGTCATCGACAAATTGTTTTTAGCACTGTGAATCGTACATGTTCAGATGGGTATAGTAGCCATGAATAAATCAAATGTCTTCAGCTAAATATCATTTTGCTAGCTAGAAGTATTAGAATATAATTTCACTGGCCAGACCCACTAGATCTCAGGTCTCAGTCCAGCTCAGATGCCACTGCGTCGCCCGCTTCGATACTTTCAGTCCGTAATGTAATCATGAGTTTCGTAACGCTAAACAAGTTTGTCCAAAGCCAAAGCCAAAGCCATTCTTTTAGGGAAGAGCTCAATATCCAGCAGCAGTAGCAGCAGTAGCCTCAGCTACATGATGCTGGATAACTTTTCCCTTCTTCTATCCCACCACTTCAAAGTCATATCCTAATTCCTCCACTATGGCGTCAAACTCAGCACTCTCCTCTTCCTCAGGCTTTTTTATCTCATCCTCAGGCCTCCTTTTTTCTGCCTCAGGCTCATCCATGCCTCCTAGAAAAGGTTCCGAATTTCCCTCCACAGCTCTCTCCACCATTTCGGGCCAGTAGTCGAATCCATCTCGAACTGTAAAGCCGCTCTTGTTGCCGAGGAACATTCGCCCTAGCTTTGCCCTCGTGCCCTCCACCTTCTCGAGCCGCACGAGCCTGTACCCTAGGAAGATGATGGTCTCTTCCTCGTAACACGCTGAGTATCCCTTTTCGCGATGGACCTGAAAGCGGCCGCCGGCACCGACGTTGAGATTGAAGCTAGGATCTACAGGGACCTTGACTTCTGCGCCAACACCCGATGTGCGGCCTGTGGAATCGCTGATTTCCATATTTGTGAGGGTAACGATGTCGGTGATGAAGTAGCCTTGCCCGTGATTATCCCGTAATAGGTCGAAGAGCTCCTCGAAATACTGTGTGTTCTTCAAGAGCTGCTTGAACTTCTCGCCCGGCGAATCCATATGCCACACCCGCGCCACAGTAGCCATCTTCTCGCTGGTGTCCTCCTTGGCCCGATCGACAAAGGCGTCGAGAATCTCATTGAGCTTCGCCGAGACGCCGGCGTCTTTGATTCGACGTGTCCAGAACTTGACGTCGCGGACTTGTACTGGCTTAGGGTCGAGGTTGGGGACTAGTTCTCGGGGCATTTTTGTGCCCTCGCGGTAGGGGATGTGGCGCTCGGTGGGGAGATCTGGGTATTTGACGACGCTGCCGATGAGCTTGTCGCGATACTCGCCGGCGTCGAGGCGTGGCTGGACGAGCCAGAGCGGCTTCGTCTCGTGGGCGTGAGGCATCGCGGGGGCGGCGAGGGGTTCACTGATATGTCGTGAAGGTGTGTCGATGGGCAGACGTTGAGTAAAGGGATGTGGATGGGGGTTTAGGACAGCGGCCGTTGGCATAGTAGGTATTATATGTGGAATTGAGAAAAAAGGAAGAAGAAAATTAGGAAGGAAACGGGTATAGGTCGAGAGGATAGTGGCAGTGAGACGATCGACTAAATGGATCTTCAGCTAGGTAGGTAGGTGTCAATGCTGGTTTGTTGCCGTAGCTGTTCTTGCAGGAAGGAGAAAATTTGAGCACCTTCAGAGAATTTACAGGGAAATATATACATCTCAATTAATGAATCAGCTATTTCTATTTCATTTAGCAGTCACCTAGGTGTGACCAAATCCTCGAGAGGCTTCGCCGACGACCATATACGGCCGATGACAGCCTTGTGTGGCATGTGACGATGCTGTTCCTGGCAGGGCAGAGAGGCCGCCACCAGCACCTGCTTAGCACCAAAGTCAGGGTTAGGCTGCGCCACAGCCGGCCGGTCGCCTGTGATTCAGCGTACCCTAGCTGCGCCACATAAACGAGCTTGCTGCGGGTTGGGCTATTGTAGAGGTCGGCCAATATGCGAAAGGTTTAGCGGTTATTCAAGGGATGTGCTTCACAGAACGTAAATTACATGAGTCACTAGTATTATATGAATAGGGTTGGTGTGGTAGAAAGTTGCGGAAAGGAACGGCATCTTTGCTAATGTTTACATCAGAGACGTTCAACTTACACCAGTTGAGATAGCAGAAAAGCCAAAGCCCTCAATCTATCGGTCCGCCATCAGCTGACTGTTCAATGCTGCGCAGCTAGGTATTCAGCAACAAAGAATACTACTTCACGTTGTGTGTTCATGGAAAAGTAGATGAATACAAGCGTTACATCCCGACATCTGGCGGAAAATCCAGTAATGTTGGGAGCTCTAGAACAAGTGGAGATCAATCTGGGCTGTTCCTGGCAACGTATCGCCACCTGAACTGTAAAAATTGTCGTTCAATGCAACAATGCCCGCCGCCTTCTCTTTCACCAACAAAATACAATTAAAGGCTCTTTCATTTCAAGAGTCACAGCCTTGATCACCGTTGTCATGGCCCAGACCTACCAGCCTGGCTTATGAGGCGTCCGTTGCCTTAGGTGCCTAGGCCTATTAGATAGCGTTGGCCACGGGATGGCTATAGCCGGCACCAAGTCTCGCGCCACCTGCGGAACAACAGTGTCAGCCCAGAATCAGCCCTACAAGTGAAAAGGCAGTGAACTGTCAAAGCTGTTGTTGTACCGGTATAACACACCATGTTGGCAGGAAAGGAAAGGGAACTGTAATTTAGGCGTTCTTTGTATAAATTGGCATTGCTCGCCGTATACTCCATGGCTTGCAACCACATGCTGACATTTCAGCCCGCTAGCACTTTTATGCCCAAAGCAGGGAAGTCGCCTTTGGACTTCCTGACACCTGCACCAGCCACATAGCCTCTCTCATTCTCTCCCACTCATCACTCATCCTTCATCCTTCGTTTCGCTCCCAAACTTGACGCTTTTATCTTTTAATCTCTGGGCAAGCAAGCTTCATGTTTGCGCATCATTTCTCATCGACTCTAGAATACCAAGCGGAGACAGCATTTGTCCATACCATACGACAGCCTTTGCATAGCCCCTGTGCGCATGTATCCGAGCCAAATGACGGGCCTATTCCAGCGCGTACGAGGGGCAGTAACGCGGCAAAGGAGCTCAGACTTGAGCGGTTTGAAGGTTGTGAAGGACCCCGAGGATGCAGATATAGAGTGAGTTTAACAGCTTTGGAGTCGTATTGTAATGATCCCCAGAACATTAAACTAACCCCTGGACAGCATTGTAGCGGTCCATGGACTTGGTGGGCAAGGCTTTAGATCATGGATTTCATTCGAGGGTGGCAAATCCAAGTTCTGGCTAGAAGACCTTCTTGCAGAAGATATTCCCAATGCGAGGATCATGACATATGGGTATGTTTCCGATGGGCCTAATTATCGATACCTAGTGCACAATGTGCTATATGGCAGAGCCTTGGATTTGGTCAAGGAGTTAGGGAGTCAACGAGACCGGGATGGAACGAGCAGGCGCCCTCTCTTCTTCATCGCGCATTCCCTAGGGGGGTGGATCGTCAAACGCGCACTCATCATCTCCAGCGAAGCCGTAGACGCAGAGATCAAGAACATCGAGCTGTCGACTTGTGGAGTGGCTTTTCTGGGAACGCTGTCTCCTGGTAGGCCTCAATCTCCAACGCCACTAGCGCATGTAATTCGAAGAACGACATCAGGACTCGATGAAATTCCAGATCGCAATGCTTCTCGGACGTCCTCCATGCAGCCCAAGGCTAGTGATTTTGAATGGCTGGAGAACCAAATGGAAGCCTTCAAGGCAATCACAGAAAACTTGCCGCAGATATCCTTTTACGAGACAAAACAAACGGCGGATGGATTTGTTGTCGAGCAACGGCATTCCATGTTTGGCTCCGACGGAGTACAGATTGGGTTATCCGCCACTCATTCGGGCTTGATTCAATTTCAAGGTCGTGACGCAAACTACAAGACATTCGTCAATAGATTTCGAGAACTAATTCATAAGGCTAAAGCCACTAATCTATTAGAGACGAAACGGAAGACATTTGACGTCGCTACAGGTAAGAAACGACCTTGAGGCCTACGTGGTAATATCACTGACTCGAATCTAGATCAACAACTAGGGTACCTGAAAGATAATTTTGATATTCCGTACAAGCTACCTGGTGAGTCTTGCACAATTATACGCAGAACAAGCCAGCTCGAGCTGCTCGAAGCCAGCTTCAAGCCACCCCACGATCCGCAAACTTTGCATATCAGCATTGCCGGTCTATGGGGAGACGCTGGCGCCGGTAAAACTACCTTGGCAAGAGACTACGCCGAAATAAACAGGGATAAGCTTTCCTTTATTTTCTGGATTTGGGCTGAGAGTTGGGAGACGGCTGTGACAAGTTATCTGGAGTTTGCCAACAATCTTGTTCAATACTACTCCAAGGACGTGTCCCGAATCCAAGTAGAAAACGATCTTGGACTCACTGGAGTTGAGGATATGCTCAAGGTAAAGAGCATCCAGGAGCTGGATGCGTCAAGAGTCAAGTCTGTGGTCCGAGCCGTTAAGGACTGGCTTATGAGGCCCGATAATGACAAATGGCTCCTCATCTTCGATAACGTGGAGCCGTCCTTTGATATATTCAACTTTATTCCTCTGACTCTCACTGGTAAGATCATCTTAACTGCGAGAGAGAGCAGTAGCTGTATTTGGGGGACAAAGCTACGTGTTGGGCCAATGCTGGATGGAGAAGCAGTAGAGCTCCTTCGTTCAGTAGTAGGAGATAACTCTCTACAGAATGACGGTGAAGGTATGAAAACATTCTTCAATACTTATTTAAGATCAGCACATAACTAACGACTGCGATTAGTGGAAGCGGCCTACAAGCTGGTGCGCCAGCTCAAATGTCATGCTCAGTCAGTAGCCCTTGCAGCCTCCACGATTAGCAAGAAAAGCCTTGTCGTGTCTCATTTTCAGAGCCAGCTCCAGTCCAATATGCCGCTCAGGCTATTAGGCTCGACTCTTGACCAGTCTTCCGTAACAAGGACAGTGCTTCGTGTTAGCGCAATGCTTTCATATACAGTTATCCCAGTGGCTCTCTTCAGTCCATCGAAAGAACCAAAGAATATCCCAACGCGATTTGCCGATGCTTTTGCGGAAATCAAAGGTTCGTTATCACGGCTATTATTATGGCAAAGTGGTACTAATTTTGATCTAGCATTCCAAGGTGCAAACAGGCTTGATGACGTCTTGCAGTACCTCTTTGATCAAAATTTTATACAGACTTCATCTAGTGAGTCACCGCCAGCATCAGCAACTTCATCGCCGAGCTCGCCTTCTGCGTCGCAAGATACAAACTCCTCTACAACGTCCTTTGAAACGTTCATACTTGACCCTGCAGCTCGCGAACACGTGCGTGCTACTCTCAAAGATGGTGAACAGAAAGAAAACGCATGGCTAGCTTGTAACATCTGTGTAGACGGAATTCGGGAACAAGAAACGACTTCTTCATACTTGCGGGAAATTCATGGCTTTGGAAGAATCATGGCTCCTCATGCGAAAGCTTGCTACGACGACTGGTCTAGAATCCTGGAGCATGACGAGGACGATGTTGCCTGGCATGTCTTGGGGAATGTCTGCATGACACAAGGTGCCCTGGAGCAAGCTATTGGATGCTTCGAGCTCTCTCTGCAGCAGAAATCGAACGTTGATGCCGGTGAGAGGATCCAGACCTCTCTATCACTTGCATCGCTGCTTCAGCAAACAGGGCAGCACGAAAAAAGCACAGAAGTCTTGAAGAATATTGACTTGGCATCCATTGACAAAGCGCTTGGATTTAGAGTTGCTCTGGCCAAAGTTTCGGCAGCGACTGCGCAGGGGGATTTCGATTATGCGGAAGACCAATATGGTGTTATTGAACATGCACAGGAAGAAGAGCTTGGGCCCACAGATGCGACAACTGTGAGCACTGTGCAAAAGCTCGCGTCTACATGGGAACAGCTGGGGAAGATGGAAGAAGCTCAGGCGCTCTACCGTCGTGTATACATCTCTTACCTGAGAATGTTTAACCAGAGCCACCCCCTGACGCTTGAAGCTCTCGATGACCTTGCGCACGTATCAAAGGCTAGCAACGCCATTGACGAGGCTGAGACACTTTACAAGAAATCACTAGAGATCAAAACCAGGGTGCTTGGAGCAGAACACCCCAACACTGCTGACGCTATGCAGAAGCTTGCCGTTATTGACGATATGCGGTGCCGTTATGAAGATGCCAAAGTCAAGTATCAAAAAGCCTTGGATATCATGGCTGCCTCGATAGGCAAAGCCCATCCGCTTTACACAACCACATTGGAGAATCTAGCATTAAGCAGTCGTCTACGTGCTAATGCATTGGGTGAGGAAGATGATACGAGATCAATACTCTCTGCAGAGAGTGGTACCGGCAGTCGTACTTTTCGTCACCGCGCCCGCCGTCGCCTCACAGCAAACTCAATGGCTACCATTACTCGAGAAAGCTATGCTGCAAATAAATCCAAAGAAGAGGCCGTGCTTCGCGATGCCTCTCGCCAGCGCGCTTTTGCCGAGGCAGAGAAACTCTATCTCGATGCTCTAGGCATCAAGAAATCTGCGGTTCTGCTGTACCGCGAGGAAGAGGTTGTTGAGACAGCGTCGAAGTTACGGGAGATGTATGAGAATGAAGCCTTCTATGAGGACTGTCGAGATGAAAAAGTTTTGGCCTTGATGAGCCTCTTGAGAGAGATGAAGAGGAGAGGGACATTGTAATGGTTTCTTTCTCTTACACCTTGACTTCCTGTGATGTTGCAGGCTATAACAATGGTTTCGTGGATTTGAGACAACAAGAGAAAACAGGCCGTGTGGCTCAATGGCAGAGCGTCTGACTACGATTAAGTATATCAGGAGGTTGCAGGTTCGACCCCTGTCTCGGTCAATCTTTTTAATCTTTTTTGGTGGCGTTTGCTTGGTTATGCGCTAATATCCACCAAGTCTCGTATGGTCTCTTTTTATGTTTTATCTTGCTTGTATGTTATCTTTTCTGTTTAAGGAGTTGAGCGAGGTGTTTGTTTCGTTATGTTTAGTTTCAGGTTGTCATTGTTAGGAGTGACTAGGGATGAATTTCCGGGTGGGCATATCTTATTTCTTTTGGGTTGGCGATTTGTTGTATTTTGGAGTTGAAATTCGTCATAGCTATAGTAAAAGACATCCTGGGTTATGTAGGACTTGAGACAAGAGGCTGTAGAAGGCCAACACAATGAAAAATGTTTGTATTTCAATGATGTAATAAACAAAAACACGTTTTGATCTCATAACAGAAAATACTTGGTATCATTTGTGTGGAGATACGTACGATACTTGCAACTAACTACAGTATACATTGTCGAACTCCAGCCATATCCAGCGCCAAGTCATATAATGCTATCGTCCCATCCAATATACCTTGATTCGAAGGCTGATCCCTCGTCCATCTGTAGTAAAAAGAGGCCCGTAAGTATACTCAGCCGTAGCCAACGGGTGAGGGAAACTCTCTATTCACTCTCTTTAATCCTTAAGGAAAAGATTTTAATAAAAGATGTCATAATCTTCCATATAAATATCTAGCTTGTCGCTTATACTCTCTTGCCCTCCTCTATTTCTGCTGCTGCTGCTGCTGCTCTTGCTGCGGCTGTTCCTCAGGAGGCGGCGGCGGCGGCGCGAAATACGCCTTTCCAGCATCCACAAGAACCTGCTGGTCAATACGGGCCTCGGTCTCACCGTACTCGACCCTCTTCCACGTCGTGATGCGCGCCTCCTCGGTGTCGACCTCGAACATGCGCAGGCGGCGGACGTAGCCGTCGTAGCCGGCGTAGCCACCGAAGCCGATGCCGCCGGAGTAGCACATCCACATCGCGGGGACACGGGGGACTTCGTCCTCGGGCTTCGTTTCGGACTGGAGGGGCAGTTTTTCTTCCCAGCCTGGGAGGAAGGATTTTGTTTCGTCGCCGTGGCGGGAGAGGGAGCAGTAGTCGTTGACGTGGTCACTTTTGAGGGATGATTAGTATATAGATGGAAATAAAGGGGAGGGGGGGCATCTTACTGTCCGGCGCTGACCATGACAACACCTTGCTCAACGAGGGCATCGTGGAATCCAGTGTTGTATACGGGGGCTGTGACGCCCTCTTTCCATTCTCCGACGCGGGGCTTATCCCAATCCGCGTATTCTATCAAGGGAATATGTATAAAGGCAATATCCATGTGTCGATGGGTGTATCCATCGTGGTTCTTCTTCAAGTTCGCATGGGTCTTTTTAAACCAGTCAATCTGATTGGGCTTGACCCAGTCATAGCCCGGATAATGACGTTCATCGGGGGAGTATGAATGCGTGTCGAGGAGGTAGATTGTCAAGGCAGAGTGGTCGTTGTGGCCACGAGCCAGGACTTCGATGTAGTAGTTGCCGACGCCGTCGACGTCTGCGGGGCCGGCTTGCGATAGAGAGTAGGGAAGGGTTTCCATGAGAGCCATTTGGGCTTCTCGCGACATGGACTTTTCGTCGTCGTGGTTGCCGAAGATGGCGGCATATGGTATTTTGCGCTCGATGAGGAGAGAAGCGTACTTGTATATAGCCTATCATTTGATTTCATCCAAGGTCAGTTCATGCATGCTCCGATTCCAACTGAAGAGAAAAAGGGGTGTATCATCATACCGAAGGGGCATCGGGGGCCGAATCGCCGTTAACCTGATCGCCGCTCAAGATGACCAAGTCGGGCTTCTCCTCATCCAGCATCTTGGTGAGGAAATCAAGCGTCCTGGGATCGGCCTCGCATTTGCCTCCCTTGTAGCCGTCGGGAACAGCCTCTCGGCACTCGCCCACGCCGGTGCTGAGGTGCAAGTCTCCCACTTGCATAATCTTAAGCCGTCCGTTGTCGGGGATCCTAGGCTGCGGCTTCTTCAGCTCGTGATGCGCGCCTCTCTTGACAGTCAAGTGGGCGCTGAGGAAATTCGAGCCGGTATCGAGATGTAGAGGTCTGCCGACAATGCCCCAGCCGTCGCGAGCCTCGGTTGCGTCATCGCCAAAGACGACGTCCACGTCCGTCACGGCAGCATCAGAGTCGCTTGATTTCTTATTTCTGGACCGCTTCAGCCAGATGCCGCCAGGTCTCGGCTCCCAGTGCTCGCCCTCGCCCGTCGAGACGTCTCCGGGATTCAGCGATCCCACCGAGACGCCGACAACAACCTCGTCTTCGTCGGTCAGGTTCTCTTCGTGCTTGCGGCGCACGTGGAGGTATGCGCTGGACGTCCAGGCCTTGCCCAGGTAGAGCTCTTTTTCGATGCGATGCCATTCGTTCGGGTTCAGCTCGCAGGAGGAGAAGGGCTTGAGGGAGGAGCAGGTCGTGATGGTGATGTCGGTGACCACGAGGCCGGGATGGTGGGTTGGCATGTAGTTGTGGAGGGCATTAGGCAGGACCCTGTAGTTTCGGTCGAGGAAGAATATGAGGATAGTGGTGAGGAACGCTACGGCGCCCAGCTGGGTGAGCGTGCGAACCTATGAGTCGAAGCGACAAGTCAGTGATCAAGAATTTGGAGTTGCGGCAAACAGGGTGGCGGCCAACGTACAATGCGTCGCGTCATCGTGAAGGGCGCCAGAAAGGGAATGTAAGCTGAGTATCAAACACGAGGATCGGTTCTCAGTGATGCGCCGTGCAGCAAAGTCCGCTCAGTGTCGCGTTGTTCGCATCTTCAGAAGAAAAATCGCATGGCGGATGATGTAGACAAGCGAAGATGTGTGTAGATGCGTATCCTATAACAATGCCCGCCACCAGATAAACAGGCCTCGGCTTCTGGCTGCTGACCGCCAGCAACTAGCGGCAATTCGCGCTCCTATAGAGATCCTCTAGATGAGGTTATTGGAGGCCAAAGTTTCGGAGAGCTTCACGTTGAGTCGAGTCTCGAAGATGCGTTGATGCGTTTTGCATGTGTCAACTTTTGCTGTGTCGCACTGGATAAGGCCACCGATATATCGATCCAAGGGGTCAATGCCGGGATCAGCGAGATGAGCTGCCGCGATTGGTCCAAATGCCGCTCCTAGTGCAGCGAAGCCAAGTCTTGGCTCTAAAGATTCCATGGCTCCAGTGGGGTAGGTTGTTGAGCTGTAGCGAGCTCTGGGGCCTGTAGCAGTCGCTAATGCCATAGGATCATGCATTTAGATTATTGCAGATTCATTTCATAATGAACAAGTCACCATCGTAAGGCATCATAAGTATACCAAATCTTATAACGGCTTGTCAAATACCCAAGCTATTATAAAGAATGAGCCTTTAGCAACATCAACGCTAATGTGATCCTAGTGGAGCACCACAGCTGCATCGACTCTTACAGATAGACGAGCTCTACCCATGTCGTTGATGCAGAGCTTACCAGTCATCTAATCATGGGCATCTTCCTATTACATATCATCTTCTCCCATGTTAGCCCTTGCTCAAAAAGCACATCTCTTTTACTAAAAGGTAAATATTTAGGGTTGCATAGCTCGAGCTCCATTTTCGTATTCAGTAGGAGGCAGACTAATACAGATTTTAGTTACGGATCTTTGCATGAAGCGAGAATTTGTAGAAGTTTGCTGTGAGTCTGTGTACTATCCTCTGGCATTTTCTTCTATACATCACATAATTCTGTAGTCCAATTCATTATATCGCAACGCCATCAAGGCCGTGCAGCCTATCAAGTAGAGGGCACTGCCACGATACACTGAGCTTTCTCTAGTATCTTAACCTTCTCCCCGTGAGCCTTGGTGTGTTTAATTAGAGCTCCAAAGACTGGGAACGCAAAATCTCCCGCCGTATCCGGAATATGAGGGATTTCTCCAATTGCTTCATATCGATCTTCCAACCCCTTCAGCTGGCATTCTGGAGAAACGTAGCATTCAAAAGGCTCTAGTGAGTTGCGCATTAGAAGTCGGAGAGCCCGAGCCTCTCTGCAAAGCTCTCGATAACCATTTCTCAGCTTCTCAAGCTGTTGTGGCGTCGCTTTCTGAGAGAGCAAACATTTAAAGTAATTAAACATTGCGTCCCCATATATGACACCAACGTCACCTCCCCCTAGGCCAGCAGACTCAATACATTTGAATGTAGATAATCTCCAGCTGACCAACATGTCGTCATTAACTTTTTTTTCTATTAGCTTAAACTGCAAATCGGGTGCTTAAACGACATTTTCAAGGTTTTCTTACCAGCGCAATCGCTAATCACTCGCTCAAAGAAGCCTAAAGGTGGACCTAAAGTTGTAAAGGGGTTGCCAAGTTGTGCTAAATATGGGCTCGCTTTCTCGTCGTTGATGTCAAAAAGCAGTTTATCCAGAATGTTGTTATGCAACAACTGGAACAGAAGACTCCGCAAGATAGCCAGCCGGCCTGACTTTGATGATACGCGCCATAAAGCTGCGATGTATATGTGCTCAAACCATGTTCCATCCAATGTAATAGTTTGGAACTCTTCTATATTATAGGCTTTGCTTGAAGCAATTCTCTGTATGCGCTGACGTAGCTGCGTAAACCTCTCGCACACGTCTCTATCGCTAACGATTTGGTTATGGTTATTTTCAATGAGGAAATCCCGCATGCTTCGTTCTTTGTCTTGCAATCTTGAGACTTCAGATTGAGAAGCCTGCAGTTCGGCTTGACAATGGTGTACCGAGTCGTTGAGTTGACGCACCTCACTGTGGGCTCGGTGTAGTTGGCCATTGGCTTGTAGCAGCTCACTTTTGGCTTGTTGTAGCTCGTCATGAGTTTTCTGTAGTGAATGAGCTAAGCGACTATAGTCGGCAGTGAGCTGATTGAGCTCCCTATTAGTCCTCGGAATAGTCCATGTTGGTAATATAGTATGTATCAAGCCTCTCATCGTGCCAGCAGCTTCTCTCTCTGTATTTTTTGCTCTCGCAGGTTGACGTAGAACTTGAAACGCTTTGGAGGCTGATGAATGCTCTCCGTCCGGGGCTACAATTTGATTGGCGCTTTGGGCTGGATCAAAGGAATTGACGCTGTTTGATTCGTGATAGCCGGAATTGCAAGCAGTATTTACTGATGACCTCCAACACGCCAGAAAGCAGTCGCATATCCCAAACATTAGATACGCATTATTATGAAGCTCGTGGCGAGGGATAAAAAGAATCGTGAGTTATATGGAGATGTTATTCATAATACAGTTGAATAGGTTCAAGAAGACAACAGAAGTTGGTTCAATAAAAGCTGTATTGTTCAATGACTGGATGGATATGGACATCCAAAAGTAATAAGGTTCAGCCAGCTTGGCCTTCAAAGTCATAGCCAGATTGTTTACCGTGGTTTAACACGACTTGTGCTTCTTACTGATAGAATTCTAGAAACATATAGAGCGTTGGTGACGTGATAATAACTTGTTAATTTGTAGCTTGGCTTCGATTTTGGGCGCCAAATTTGTGCCACTGGATCATAGCATACCAGTCAATTGTCGCCTACTCGGTAGGTATGCGAATAACTGTATCGTAATTAAATTAGCTTCGATCTCAAACCTTGGTATTATGGACATTGACGAAATCTCCAGATTGAATCGCAGTCTATACCTACTTCCGGCATAGATTAAAAGCACAATTATTGATATGTAGAGACTAGGCAGTATGCAAACTTCCCATTCCGGCGTGTCGCTATTGATATGAGTGAGCTCAACAAATAACTCCCTATGAGGAGAAAAGACGCATCGTTCCAGCTGAGAACGCCATCCTGTATCTCAATTGTCATTCTGAAGTCAAGATTGATGCATTCATCAATTAGTTCCTCGCTGTATCGAGCAATTTAGATTATCCACGGAGCTTTTTGCATTGGATCATTGAGTTGAATCGTGGTTCTTGAGAGTTAAATTTTATTCAATTTCCAAGGAATCATCAAGGGTTTATATGACTAGAGCTTTAGAGCTGGCTTCCGTATAGTTGGCTTCCTCATTGCGTCGTTGTGTGCGGCGAAGAGTTTTATCTTCAGCAGGGAGCTTTATCTTGAACCTTATTGTTAAGCGATCTAGACGATCTGACTTTGTTTGGCCTTGATGGCTAACCTGGCTGAACCTTATTACTTTTGGATGTCCTCGCCAGCCCATTTTTTCACCGACCTTTGCAGGTTTTTGAACCTATATAACTGCGATGTATACAAAATCTCTGTTTCCGAATTAGTGTTTGGCCTACGTGAATATGCATAGATATATAGTAGTTTCATACCTAACACAGTCGACATCGCGAACCTAGTTCTGTGATCAACACCATATTCATTATACAAGTATCTGACGGTCACTTTCTTCTTCATTCCAGTATACTTGAAAAAGACAAATCCATCCAGCATGGACGATAGGCTCATTATTGCTGTGGATTTTGGCACCACTTACTCTGGGATTGCTTATTGTTTTGCTGATCAGCGTAACAGTTCTCCCATTCCCATCGATAACTGGCCTGGTAAGCTGATTTCTGTCTCTGCCATTGTTAAGATCAAAATCTCACAAACTTAATCTCAGGAGCCAATGGCATTGATGTGCCAAAAATCCCCACTGTCATTTGCTACGACAAACGAAATTCTAACAAGTTTGCCTGGGGAGGGAGCGTAGAGCCCCAGGCTGACAGCATATCTGGATTCAAATTGTTACTTGACCCATCGCAACTAAGGCCAGATTACGTTCCCGGAATTCACGTTGCGCAAGAACTTCAACAGCTACCAAAAACGCCTATTCAGATTACTGCTGATTTCATTGGCGCCATACATAGCCATGCAATTGAAGAGATTGCCAAAAAGTTTCCCAAGGACTATGTCCAGTTGTGCCGCAAGGAATATTTGTTTTCTGGTATGTTGCTGACAGCGACCGGAGTACATGAGTATGTCTTCTAACAATGTTCATAGTACCGGCTGTATGGTCTGATGCTGCTAAACACGCTACATTAAAGGTAAGCTCTGGGTAATTGACACCATAGTAAGATTAAAGGCTTATACTTATGTTTTACTTTTTGTCTACAGGCCGCTGAGATGGCGGGACTTAGCCCTGTCCGACTGATCAAAGAACCCGAAGCTGCGGCATTATGGACAACTAAGAAGCTTGATGTTGCTCTCAACTCTGGTGACGTCTTTGTTGTATGCGATGCCGGTGGTGGTACAGTTGATTTGGTATCGTATGAAGTCGAGACCACCAGTCCCAAGCTGCAAGTCAAAGAAGTGGTTCCTGGCACAGGTTAGGCAATTATCTACCGAGCTGCGCTTTACGAGGTTGCAATACCAAGCTAATGTTTTCAACGCACTATCATAGGCGGAATGGCCGGATCTCTCAATCTGAACAAGCGTTTTGAAAGCGCTGTCAGGAAGCTTGTTGGCGACAAGCAGTGGAGCATGTTACACTCCAGCAAAGGCTTCCAGCTTGCATTGTCACTCTTTGAGAAGGAGATTAAGAAGGCATTCAAAGGGGATTCCGATGACGACTGCTTCGACGACGAGGAATTCTACGTTAATTTCTACCCGGCAAGACTGGCGGATGACCCTGACCGCGGCCTGGAGTCAAATACGTGGACAATGGTCAAGTACGTGGACAACTACGTGAACGAAATAATTTCATCGAACGACTAGGTAGTCATGCTCACATTTTGTCAGGGACGACTTGATGGATATATTCAATCCAGTTATTGATGACATTCTTAAACTAGTCGACGAACAGGTCAAGAATGTTGAGATCAAGATGGGAGGACAAGGGCCAAAGGTATAGTTCACATTTGTTATTGATCATGGGGTTTCAGAGCCAAAACTAACTACTTACAGTATATCTTCTTGGTTGGCGGCTTTGGTAGCAATCAATATCTGATGAAACGAATCATGAACAAATATCCAGATATTGAGATTTTACAGCCGCCTGATGCCTGGGCTGCAATTGCCAAGTAAGTCATCCCATATCTTAAGAGTAAGAGACTTTCTAATTGTCAAACTAAGGGGTGCCGCGCTCTCTGGAATGTCAACCGAGGTAACAAGAACAACTGTTACAAGTATTTCAGCTACTCGCCATTATGGTACCGAAGTTTTTGGCCGCTATGATGTGATTCAAGACCATGGAAGGCCCTTCCACGTGGCTCTTGATGACGATCTTGTAACTGAAAAGGTCAGTACCTCTGTAACTACCTACCTTCTTAGGTAGGTAGGTAGGCATATACTTGACCCGACTAATCAAAACGCAGATGAAATGGTATATACATAGAGGAGACGACCTTTCGAAAAATACTCGTATTCCATTTACGTTACAAGGTCACTATACTCAACATCAATATGATACAGAAGATCTTTGGTTACACAGCCAGCTGTTTGAATCTCAAGAAGAGTATGTATAAGCAAGCTTTTGGACGCTCATTTCCCTTGATGATAGAGTTATTGACTGGAATCAGAATTGCGCCTCGATATCCCTCAGAAGAAGAGATGGTCTGTATCAATTGCAAATTGATCTGCAATCTCTCCAAGGTGCCAAAACACCTATTTAAGAAATGCATTAGTGAGTGATGAGCACACTTATGTATCGAATGTTACCTAGCTAATCATGGTCGCATCGAAAGACAAACGTCAACAAACATAGTAAGCCCAATCTCCCCCCCTTTTTTTTTCCATTTCATGCTTCAGTAACGGTATTGACATATCGTGTAGCTATGCACTTACGTTGAAGTTAGTTATGACACTTGAAGGCCCGCTCATGAGATTTTCTCTGGAAGTTGATGGAGTTTTGTATGATTCGGTTGAAGCCAAGTATAGCCCATGTGTCCAAGGGTATGTACCTAACGATGAAAAACCGCTATTTGGCGCTCGGTTTCTAGACATGTAAAGAACTTATATCTGCCTCTGCAGATTAGACATAATTCGTAATGTTTTTGAGTGGAGTTTTATATGAAACGGAGGACTGCTAGCAGTAGTTGTGATGACTAGATCTGCTCTGTTGACGTGTCTTACGTGATGCTTCGTCTCATTGACGTTAGTGGAAATTGTGCCGTGGCCCTGCACTGACATGGAATTGTTTGGTCGAAAAATTGGCATCGTGAAGCTGTTTCAGGATTTATATAGAGAAATCACTTGATAAAATCTAGACATTTTTGACCCTCTCTCACACCATTCTTTGAAAAATTCCTTGTATTACCGGGTAGGTGGAGGCGAAAACAGACCAGCTTGGTACGTGTAAATCCAAACACAAGCTTGTAGTAACGATGAGCTGCACCTCCATCTCGAATGCCTTTTTATCGAGATAATGACGAGCTCTTAGCACCATAATATTGAATGCAATGTAAGCAATTGAGTAAAAAACATACGAGCTGCTGTTCTTATGACAAGCTTCATTGTGGTGATATAGAGTCAGCGGAGAGCTTCCAGAGCTCAGTGCTCTCCAAGGCTTACTTGGCCCGTGCGCTGCAGCTCAACGGGCTGGTGCATCTCATAATAGCGGCCCGGATCGCCGCCGCCGTGCACCGCGTCTGTCTCCCAGGCTGTCTCTCGTTTTCTTTGACCATTTCGTCACTTCCATTCATCCAACGCCCACTTCCTCTTCTTCTTCTTCTTCTTCTTCTTCTTCTTCGCTTCTCGCGCACTCGCAGCTTTTCCATTCACCATCAATTGCATGCGCCCGTAACGACCGCGTGGTGCCTCCCCTATTTATTCACCCTTTTTTTCTTCCAATACCGCTACCACATATTTTACTGCTACTCCAGCCGCTGCCTACCTAGGTACCTTGTAGCGCTGCTTCTTCTTCCGCTCCCTTGAGCCCAAATTTAATTTCGTCACCGCCAACTGCGCGCCATTCTTTTCATCCCGACCCAATTTTCCATCATCGTCTTTTTTTTCCCTCTTTTCAAATCCAACAAGATGTCCGACTATGCATCCCTCAAAGTGCCGGAGCTGAAGAAGCTCCTGGCTGAGAAGAAGCTGTCGCAGACCGGCAACAAGGCCGATCTGATTGCGCGCCTGCAAGAGGCCGACAAGAAGGACGCCACCGCGTCGGGGGAAGACAGCAAGCCTGGTATGTATAGCGACTGCACATTTCTATTTTCTTGTTATACATGATCGACAATTGAGTCTGATTGGCAAACGCCTTTTGTCGCGCTTGGCATGTTTTCAATGGGAAAAGCGACGCTAACGTTGGAACCTGCGCAGCCGAGAACAAAGAAGACGAAATCAACTACAGCGATGACGAAGCGACTGGCGCGGCCGCCTCAAAACCTGAACAGGCAAAGGCAGCAGAGCAACCCGTAGAGACGCCCGCCGAAGCGCCCGCCGCCGCCGCCGCCGAAACCGCAGAAGAACAGGAGGACGCAGTGAAGCCTGCTGAAGAAGAAAAGCCCGCTGCCGAGGAAGAGGCCAAGGAGCCCGCCCCGTCCTTCGCCATGGGTCTCTCGTCCTCCACCGCCGACGAAGAGCTCAAGAAGCGCGCCGAACGAGCCAAGCGCTTCGGCACTGAGCTCGACGACGAGACGACGAAACTGGCCGAGCGAGCCAAACGCTTTGGCATCAATGATAAGGAATTGGCCAGCGGATTGGACGCAGCTCTGCCCGAGCGATCGCTGAAGCGTGGCCGCGGCCGCAACGAGGGCGATGGCAACAGGCCCGGCAAGAAGCGCAGCCAGGACCGTAAGGGACCTTCTGGCAACGAGAGGCGCAGCGGCCGCAACAACAACAAGACTCAGGGTGGCAATGCCTCGGGCAAGCCCAAGTTCGGCAGCATCATAGAAGATCCTTCTGAGCGAGCCAAGGCCGAGAAGCGAGCTGCCCGATTTGCTGCGGCGTAAGTGGCTCAGTTCACAGGTAGCTACTGGCGCTTGAAGAATGTTGATTTAGCTGGACTGAAGCTCAAGAAAGCTGAAGGAGTAAGGAAAAAAAATCTTGAAGATCTAGGGTCTATAATGAGTACGTCTGGAAGGGAACGGAAAGTGGGATAGGATGAAATGGCATGTGTATCATACGAAAGCGCTTTTTTCTAATAAGAGGCAAAAAACGGCGTTTTCTGGGTTTTGAGACGATTGCTGCAATTTGCCTTGGTGCCGCTACTGTCTGTTACGGCTCTGTGAAGATGCAAATTGGCTGCCCATACCAGCTCTGAGACTGCGTTTGAACAAGTTGGCTCATGTTACTATGAACCTCGTAAAAGGAAATGATGTCGGCCCCGATGCCAATATACACGAAGAAACGAGCCTACGGCAGTACTAATGCTAAAGAGGTTAATAAGCTTCAGGGTCTGAGCAAAGCTCATCTGCCAGCTTCTCATGTAGATGAACTGCTCTAAATATCCATCAATCAGGTAATTACCCTCTCATTAGCAAAGAACATTTCCTTTTAATCTACCGGACAAGAAGGTAGGTACTTTTGTAAAATAAAAAAAGGTCCATAATAGGCCCTTCTCATCACGCTTCGGCTTGCCCTCTCAACCAACAGCAAATGTGACGTCTCCGTCTTTATCCAAGCCTACCGAGGGTGGAAAAAAAAAAGAACGCAGTAAAAGTTATACCTCAAAAGAGAGGTGTGATGAAAAAGGGGAAAAAAAAAAAGAGCGCACATTTTTATTCTGGCATGTAGGTATCATCACAGTCATATCACGATATATCCTCCTCCCTTATCCGTAACGTAACGCGAGAAGATCAAGAAAAAATTACATGTGCAAAGAGATCTTAAGCCTATATCAAATCACAATCACATTTGACTAAAAACCCGTGATCTCCGCTATATGTCCACATCCTGGCTCTCATCACACATATCACATCGCTTTTCCCCGCTCGACGGAGAGGAGCAGAAGCGAGAGAGAGAGAAGAAAAAGAGCGAAATGAGATGGGACAAGGGGTTAGGGGAATTTGTCCGTGACGGGTAGTCAAGCACGCCATCTGGGTTTCGTGCATTTTGTTCCAAATGTGATGTGTCGTCTTTAACACGTTGTGTGCAAGTATATCGTGATATCGTGATGTATATTTACTCTACCTACTAAGTAGTACTAGATACCCGTCGACGATGGTGCTGTTTAGCAGCGCTACTTTTTACGGGAGCCAAATATAGTGTTAACGCTAGTATTTGCTTTATGGGTCGCTGTGTTTATGAATAATCATCCCCTCTAGCAAAAAGAGAATGCTTACGCGCCCGGGGAATGTAGGTTGAAGGATTTAGCAGTAGCTGCTAGTACTACTATTGGAGAGCGGCTTGGCAGAAAGCCAATAGCGGGGATGAGATGTTGGAGATGTTGCTATAAGTATATCCGCAGGCTGCGGTGGGTATTCTCGGGAGAACGTCAAAGCGTTTAAGAGCAATAAAAGGGTCAAAGGAGGGGATGCTAGACGTTTCTCCTCAGCTGAGCCACTCGACTTGAGGTTGGTTGTACGGACGATACGACGGTGATTCATCGTGTATCGCTCTCTACTGAGAGGAAAATGAAAAGGATTCCGTGCACGCCTGCTACCTTCGAGCTCTTATTAGATCTTCTTCTGCAGACTAAGGAAGGGTGTTGATCCATTGTTTGAACAGACCAAGCTGATGTCTCGGACGACACATCGAACAAAGCAGCAGAGGTCTGCCACAAGATATGCAGAAAAGACAAAGAATAGTTTAGTTCAGCACGTAGTCAGAAATCAGCCGCTGCGTTGAAGTAGAATAGAGGCCAATCACTCAACGGAACGCACAACACCTTCAAGCCCGCTGCTCAGTTGATATGTCATATGGATCGCCCAACAGGACAAAAGATCCGTTTGAAGGCTCTGAAAAGACCAACGCGCTAATCCCGCAGTTTGAGCAATAAACGGCTGCCTGTGTCTGCTCCCACTTCTGCCGTAAATCATGGAAGCGCTCCAACCATCAATCACACCAAGGAGCCAGCTCTAGCGGCGGTGGTCGTCGGACGTCGCTTTGGGAGGTGAGACGAAGCAGAAATTTCGCCTCGGCGAGCCAACATGCCAGGCTTGCTCCCCACGTGCAGACCCGTCGGTAGCATGATTCAGCGCTGAAGAGCTGGAGTGGTTGGATGGCCTTCATGACTGAAGCTCCTCGGGGCCACCCTCCGTCACGTTACTTGGAGACCTTCAAATTCGGGAACCAATGGCGGCCTCGAAACCCTTGCTGAGCTAAACGAGATGGGGCCCTCACCTGGCGTCTCGATATGGATACAGTAGATGGGCAGAGGGGTGTGAAGTTGTGGAAAGAGGACGGACGTGGCTTGATTCGCTACTGCTGCCCCGGGATTTTCTTTCTTGGTTTCAATAGCAGCCTGCGATACTCCATCCATACTACCTACATATAGTAGCAGCAGAAGTATAGGTATACCGAATTTGGTAAGTAGCCGTGCTTTTGCCTGCTAATCTTATGCCTTGCTAAGCCGACCAAAGGAGAGCGTCGTCAAGCCTCGGGTCCGGCCGGGAGTCCAAAGCACCCGGATCTTGGGCCCAAGTGATCAAGTGACTCCGGCACAAAGAAGAATATAGGGGAAAGAAGCCTGACGACGTGTTCAATGCATCACCATCCACGTGTGGGCAAAAAGAAGAACAACAAAGAATATGCTTACCGCGCCACAGGCCAGCCAAAAGCAGATTGCCGCCAGCAAGAACGGCATCGGCGGCGACCGCAGATCGGGCGATTCGATTCGGCACCCAGCCACAGGCCACCAGCCCCACCAAGCCGAAGCCACTGCGGGAACGGCCACTGCGGGACGTGCCACGTCAACAAGCCTCACTTTGTTCCAACTGTGGCCATGTGTGGCGAAGCAGCTGCGGCACTTCAATGCACGTTGACGACAGCGCAGGTATTCTTAGCACGCAGGTTCCCTCCCATCTGACTTCGTGATATCGCTTGAGCATGAGTCTTTTGCCTCAGCAGATGCCCAACAGGTCGCATAGATGGCGCTGCGTCAGCAAAACAGTCGGCAATTGATAGACTTGGACATGGCCAACACCTCCTGTCGCCACTAGCTTCCAATGCCAAGGGATGTGGTGTTCAGCTCCGTTGTGCTCCCCGAGCTGTTGGGTCAACGGAGCACGGTCTGGTCATCCCAATGCGCTGACAATTCCGGTATCTGCCGTGCTGTGTAGCGTCATGCTGGGGCCGGATCAAGGCCTGTTGTTGCTATTCTTGTCATTTGCATTCGGAGACTCTGATTTTGATTCCTTATGAGGTAGGGTGTAGTATGGAATAGGTAGACCTCGCAGTTGCTGTCTGCCTTGCGGGCAAACAAACAACACACTAACCCCTGGAGAGTACGCTGCCCATTGAGCGGATTAGCTTGGCAAGTTCAACGTTCCAAATTATCATCCAGAATATCTGTCAACATCTTTGCGATGGCGATTGATATCGAGTCAAGGGTTGCCCGTATATTCCGCGCAGGCTATTCAGCTGAGCACATAGTGTAATTAACATGCTGGGGTATGTTGTTTGTTGCTATGTAGGTGCAAATTAGCGATATGGAACAAGGCGTTCTGGCTATCGGCGTATCCTAGCTCGCAGGGATAGCATGGAGTCGGAATAGCTGAAGAATGTGATTGGGAGAAAATACAAGAGTAGAGGCCAATCAAATCAGAGAGGCAACCGCCATTCCATGTTTTTTGGCGAATGGCCGTTCCTGATTTCTCCAGAGGTACCTTCTCCATAGCGGGGCGTGCGTTCAGGAATAGAAAGTGGGCAAGTGAGCCTCCAGAGCTGGGACTTTGAGAGCCCACTTGAAGCGATAGACCCCTGGCTATTTGGCTTCCGCGGTGTGATAGTGGTGGTGCGACAATTTGCGGCTGGCTTCACCCGGTATTACCTGTAACGTGAGCGCTGTCACCGTGTGATGAAGTCGGAAATAATGAGAGAGAGAAAATTTTTGCCAGGCCCAGTGCTCTGTGGCCGTTACCAGCCTAATTTCCCCTTCTGCCGAAGGCCTGGTCGGAAGCACAGAGCATTTGCGTGTGGCTAGAATGCATGATGATCTGCCAATGCCCCCTCAGCGGGTTACATGCAGATGAGAGATGCAGCAAAGGGCCATGCGGGAGCACCCTCCAAAGGTAAGTAATGGCCGACATCTGTCCGTCTAGGCGTCCGCTTGGAGACCGTCGTTGGATACGGGCGTAGGATTCAGTGCTACACCGGGCACATGTTAAAATCAAGCTGGTGGTGTCTCTGCTCGGGCAGCGGGCTGATTCTTGCCCGTGCCCAGCGATGTTTTGGAAGCGAGAGGACGCGAGAGAGAGACATGCGTACGCAAGGGCAGAGCACTATTCGTACAAAGTCTTATTTGCTTGTCCGGTTGGGGGCCCAGCTGGCCACTGAGAGGCTTCAGCAGATATCCATATGCAGCGATTGTTAGAATCGAAGTGGGTAAACAGCACACTAGGGAAGTTGGGTATGGCACATCTGCCTGTATTTGCACTAGGGATCAAGGCAGACAAGAGTATCACAGGCCCTGAGCAAGAGTTTGAGCACAAAGATGATAGAAAAGACGGCGTGAGATGGAGGGAGATGGATCTATGCGGGGCAGATGGTTATGGACAGATGGAGGCATACTTGAGGTTTAGCATGTGGAAGTCGCTTGCGAGCATGGAGCAAAGGTGTATATGACGAGAGAAAGGTTGGAAGTTGCGGAGTAATACCTCGACGTATGTACTGCTTAGCACTGTCTGCACCTCCAATCTTGCCAGTATACCTGCTGTGAAGGTATCGACTGGTGGTACCTGAGGCAGCACATACGAGGTCCTGCCTTAGTAGCTGCACACCCATTTCTCGCCGGCCCTCACCATCTCTCTCACCATCCATGTCTGCAAAAATTGACGCCCACCACTGACGGCTGCCCACTACGAGAAAGGAAACGGGCTAACGACGCAGATCGTGCGGAATGCTGAGACATGCAGACACCTCTTTCTTGGATCGACCTGTCGGAGTCGACGCAAATGAGACATGCAGGCAAGATATGTCTGAGACATGCATATAGCCTCTTGACCAGCGACAGAGCACAACGCTCGGCTGCGGCTGATGCCTGTTCCCATACGGGCGTAAGCGGCCGGTAAAGGTCGGCGACCACGCCCATGAGCAAGAAAGAGAGAAAGGGGATAGGACGTGGAGAGGTCACTGCCCCAGCTGCCAACTCATCCTCAGCTCTCTTCGCCTTCTGGTGACGATGATAGTGACGATGGCATAGAGTCAACCTTGGGCCTTGATCGGCCAGACCAAGATGGAGAGAGACCATGTGCCAGTCTCTGCTGCTGGGCAATAGCGCTCGTGGTACTTCATGCGATGCAAGCCTCGACCAGGCCAATTGCGTCGCGAGTTCGACGCCGCGCGCCAATGAGTCTTTCGTCCTGCGCTGCGGCCCTGTCGACCTAGTCTTCTCCGCCTGGAGCCATCAGGAACCACCGCAGCCTTTCATCTTCAACGGAGAGGCCTGCCTGGCCCTCAGACCCTCGGTGCCCCACCGCCCCGGGCGCTATGTTGAGGATTTTGGTGCTTGGACTGCCAGGAACAGACGCCGCTCGCCCATTTGCTGCCAGGCCTTGCGTCCAATCGCCGCTTCGCTCTGCCCGGACGGCCTCTGGCGGCATGCAATAGGACGATGGCATCCCAGGCCGCGTTTTCATGCGCATGCGGCGCAGCTCCAGCGAAAGCGCAGTGCCACTGATCTCCCCAAAGCTTCTGGGGACCCTGGTCTGGACGACTTGCCAGTGCATGGGCAGCGCACTGCCTCCGATCGGCCACAATTGACCGCCGCCCAAGCCCGCAGAACATCATTTTCTCTGCTCTGCGCATCTTGCAGTGGGGAGGGCAGAATGGGTCGCCAGACGCCCTAAGGCTTTCCAAGTGCTGCTGGTCGCGGCTGCAGCCGACCACTCACGATGCTCCATCCGGAGGCCTTCATGGCCTGAATAGGCATGCAGCCCACAAGATCCAAATGCTCGCGTTTACAAAGCCTGCGTCTCTCTTCATCCGCCCCAAGTAGCCTCATCCACCAGCGTCCCCGCTCTCGAGGTCCTCTTACAACGACTTCTCGTTGGTGTATCGCCCCGTGCAAGCTGGACTTCGTTTCGCCACTCCACACCTCTTTGCCACGCCCTGTATTCGCACAAGCAGCCAATCGATTCCCAGCTGGCGAAATCCTTTCCACGCCAAACGTCCCCCTGTTGATTGCTACAAGCCAAGTGCCCTCTGGCCTGCTATAGTCAATTTTATCTACTCACAAGCGCTTTCAGCAGCACTAAGCTACTCCGTCCCTAGTCAGCTTATTCCCGTCTCGGGCTGCGTCTCCACTCCTCCGGTCCTCTCTCAGTCTGCCGGTTTCTTTTATACTACCGGCACTCCATCGTTACATTTGCTCTCTTTCCGCGCAGAATAATTTCCTTTTTTCTTCTTCCTCTTCACTTGTTCTCGAACAAGGCACACACGCTCGTTTTGTGAAAATTTTGGCAGAAGCTTCTTTTTCCGCCCTAAAGCTGTTCAATAACAGCTTGTCCTAGCCCGCCTTGAGACGGTGGCCACTGGGTGTATTCCATTGCATACCGTCTGTTACTACTATCAACAGGGAGAAGAAAACAAGTTCCTAGAATATATATTCCAACAAGAGGCGTTGATTTGAGCTTGTAGCCAACGGGGTAAGTTCCTTTTTATTTATTTACTTCTGATGAGTCGACTTTGACTTGGGTTGTTGTCACCAATCTCCATTCTACTTTGCCCTTTGCAGTTACGTTTCATCTGCTAACTCCACTATAGAACAAGCTTCAGCTTTTAGGAAAACGTGTTTGGGCGAGATATGTGTCTCTATATATCATAAAAGGCATGTTTGGAATACTACAGATATCCCACGCGGTTGGAACAGTATGGCATCCCCCAAGGCGGGATACGGGCTACCGGCCAAGCCTACCGACGGCTTTCGAAGACGACCCGAAGACTCGAGAATGCTGAGTGGCATCCCAAAATCTACGTCTCGTGGGAACGAAAGAGAAGCGGACACATCGAGGACAGCAAAGCAGGATCAATCGCAATCCCGCGGGGCCAGTCGGGTCCCTCTTCCATCTGCGCCACGCCGTCCCTCTGCTACCCCAAAACTTATCCCAAAGCTCGCTTCAGACCGGCAATCAAAGTCATGGGGCTCAGCAACCAGCTCTTCTGGCCATTCTCGGTCCCATACGCAGACTGAATCAGGCTCGTCGTCCTCCAGTCGGTCATTCGATGGTGGCTCAAGATTGGGACAAAGTGTGCCGAGACGAAAGAATCCTTCTTTATCATCCGATGCCGCCAGCCTGCTTAGTGATTCTCCCAATCCTGGCTCAACTTCTCCCAAGCGCCGGTCACAAGTTATGATAGACCCGGCACTTGGAATTCAGCTTGATCCAGGTGTCATCACAAGCACCAGCAGCGTTTACAACGAAGAGTCGTCGACCCTGTCCAAGCCCGTTGGCCAATCTCCGGTGTTATACCCTGAGCTAGATCGATATCGCCATCACGTTCCAGTGCACAATGTCTCAAACAGGCAGATCGCGGACATGCCCTACCGCCTGGCTACGCATGACCTACCCCCGCCAACGCCTGGAAGCTTGCTCTTCTCTGCCAACAGCAGCGCTATCAGCGGCAGTCCTTCGACAGGATTTTCTGCATCTCCTGCTCCAGGGCCATATAGCCGAGACACTACGCCGACTTCAATATCTTCGCAATCTCCCGGACTTTTTGTCCCCAGTCGTGGCTTTCCCCTGACTAAGACCCGGCAACACAGTCCTGCTCTTACTCGCCCGCCGGTGACTAGGCGAAGAACTGCGAGTATATCAAATGAAGTCGACTTAATAAGCGTGGACCCCCATGGTCTAGCTGCAGTTAGAGAATCACTGACTTCTTCATCATCAAGTTCTACAGTCAAAGGGAGTGTAGTTAACAGAAGAAAAGAGAAAAAAGTGGGAAAAGTTCTAGCAGCGCCTCCACAGAGCCCACCTCCCCGGAAATCTTCGCAGAGGTTCCGTACGAGCCAAGACGATGAGGAGCTTTCTCCCAGGCAGCGTCTGCAACAGAGAACTCGGCCCATGGAGATGTCGCCCCCAGCAAAGTCCAATATCTCACCTCGCAGCTATCAGTCACCATCGCCACAAGCTATGCCGCCACGCCGACCAAGCCGAGATGGAACTGCTGATCTGAAGTCTCAGCTGTTCACGCCAATTCCCGTCATTCAAAGTAGTTTAGCGCTCCGAGCAGCCAATATGGAGAGACGTGATAGTGACTCTTCAACCCCTCACCCATCTCAGCCTTCAGTTTCGCAGGTCAACAAGAGTGCCTCGACATCAAATCTCCTCACATCTGAGCAACCTATCCCATCAACCAGGTTGACGGGTCGGAGAAAGCTTAGTGTGTCTGGTATTGTCAAGCCAACTGACACATCCACCTCGACTGCCAAGGCTTCGGGCTCTCGATTCCCATTCTTTGGGCGCAAAAAGTCTGCTTCTGAGAGCGTAGCAAATGATAGAGAGAAAAAAGACAAACAGAAAGTACCGAGAAAAGGTCCAGCGGCTGGCACAGGTCATGAAGGGTACGGACGCATCGGTGCCGTTCGACGGCGGAGTGGGATGATTCCGAATCCTCAATCATCAAATGAGAGCCTTGTCAGTGGTGACTCTTTCCTGGCTGACCGCATCAATCCTGTCATTATCTCAGGAGGAGCTATCGTCGAAAATCGAAACGCCAGTGCCGAGCTTCTCAGGTCAGAGAGCAACCTGAGTTTATCAACAAACGAACGTCCAAGCATTGATTCAGTAGCAAATTCCACCATGTCTTCTGCTTCGAGAGATGTGTCAAGAACATCTCTCTGGCCTTCAGCCATCCCTCGCGGACCTCACAATACCCGAAGACCATCTGACAGCACTGATACTAGTAGCGCGACCATGGGATCAACATTGGCATTCCGGCGATCAATTCAACGACTAAAGTCGTTTCCGGATAACCCTCTGCAAATGCCACAACCGATAAACACTAGCGGGGCAATCTCATCGCCAATGACCAGCTTTGATACCAGCATCATGTCTGATGAGTCTTCGCTATTCAATATCCAGCAACGGCCATCTCAGGAGTTGAGCAATGTCCCACCAGCACCAAAAAAGCTGCAAAAGAAGCCTCGATCTCCAAGAAAATGGAACCTGTTTGGTAGATCCAACGCTCAGCCCAAACAGAGAAAAACAAGTGAGACAGTTGCAGTCACAATTCAGCCGGTGGAGAAGAAGCCTGTGGCATTTTATACCATGATGGACTCGCCTGAACAAGAGCCTGTAGACCTACGGGAAATTCTACGGGAAGCCGACGCCTACTCGCGCTCGCCTGCTAAGATGGGTACCCCTGAGCTGCAGGCAGCTGAAGGACAGTCTCCCATCTTATCGCAGTTGCAACCTCCAGCAAACATCACACCGCAGCAACCCTTACCTGGCCATGAATTTCAGGCAATGATACCCGGGCCCACCCTTCCACAAGCTGAAGCAGGAGTGCCTGTTGCTGTGACGCTGAGCTCTGGGAGACCCAGTCGACTACCACAAGTAGGAAGAATCCCCCAGGTGGTGAGCAATCGTCCCGAGCCGGCCTCCCCTCGTAGCTTCTCGCGGCCGTTTGGGCCAAATCAGCCGCTGGCTTTGCATATACCTCCCACACGTGGTGTAGGCATGAACACCAGGGTGCCTAACTTCTCCAAGCCATCCACACCCATCCCGGATGCCAGCGGCGAAGGCTCAACCACCGACGCAGGGACAGAATTTTCCTTCTTTAGCGAGCCTAGACAACACAGATCTCCCGGTCCTCCAACTACACAAGAGTTCTTGGCATTCTCTCCTCGAAAGAACTCTGACTGTACCTCTTCGACTGAATCTTGTGTCTACAGCTACGTAGAAGCGACTGCTATTATCCCAAAGCCTGATGACCCACCTGCGGAAGATGAGGTTTGGGACGAGTACGATGATCTTCTAGGGGAAGAGGCTGTGAAAGACCGACAATCGACTACATCTTCCAAGGGTGTTCCTTTTCATCTCGAAACATATCAAATGAAGCTAATGAAGGGGAAGTCACTTGAGTCTCCAACAATCGTCACTGATAACCGCAAACTGTCGACTCTCTCAGATGCCCCAACAGCTTCCACTTCCTTTAGTGCTGATATGACAGAGAGAATTCGCAAAGCCTTTCAGCCTCATCCTAGCCCTACTGTGCCTTCACCGGTGCCGGAGGATGCAGAGCAATATCTTGGCGGACATTCAAGGAAGCCTAGCGCCGCTGAGACGGCCCGTCACAGTACTGTTTCTTCTCACAGGTCTAGGCAATCGAGCTCATCCAACTCTTCAGAAGAAGGAACACCTCTGGCTCAGGTGAATCTTCGCGTAGGATCTATGACCGTTAGTAAATGGCTTACTTTTGGTCAAGTTCTCTTTAGCGATATTCGCCATGGGCTGGTGCGTGGCCAAGAGTCCCTTGAACGCCCTCAAGTTCTTGTTATCGATGGGCTCGGTAACGACGACTGGTCATTTTACGCTGCGGAAACATACTCAGCCGCCAGCTTCTTCAACCTGTCTCCACGAGCTCCTTTACCTGCTGAAGTACAGAGCTCTCCATCTCGCTATCCCTTGAGCCCACCCAATCATCATCAAGTACAATATCTTTCCCATCTTGACGAGTTTCCCTTTGATCCGCAAACATTCAACTGCGTTGTTTATCGGTTCCCAGCTGCTGCCACGGAAGCGCATTATCAAAACGTTCTTTCCGAAGCCCGTCGTGTGCTCAAGCCGGGCGGATATCTTGAACTATCTATTCTTGACGCCGACCTCAATAACATGGGCAATCGCGGGCGCCGGGCCATTCGCCAGCTTAAGGAACGCATAAACGGAGCGTCTCCAGAAACTAATCTGGCGTCTACTGCCGATCTCATTGTTCGTCTTTTGGGAAAGAGTGGCTTTTCAACGATCAAAGCTGCGCGCGTTGGTGTTCCGGTGGCAAGTTCAATCACTTCCTCAGACGACAACTCTCAAGGCAGAAGCTCAATCGACGCCAAAAAGAAGAAGCCCAGGGATCAACCTAGCCTTGCAGAAATGATGCGAGACCATAGTTCAAATGCAGATGAGGGCATCACCAATATGGTATCCCGAGTGGGTCGCTGGTGGTACTCTCGATGCTATGAGAACGCAGCCAGTCATTCCTCTGGAAAGAGCATCTGGAACGATAAAATTTTACTCAGAGAATGCGAGGATCTGGGCACTAGTCTCAAACTGATGGTTTGTTGTGCTCGTGCGCCTTGAGCAGACCAATAGTGTCTTTGCACATGACAGTTTGTGGTTTTCATTACGACATATACGTATTTGTTTTTTTTATCTTCTTTCTTTTCCTACTTTCCACTGGCATGTGGAAACAAATTGGCATCGGAGAAAACAAAATTCCAAGATTGGAAAATAGGGCGCAAGCCTACCCTCAAGACTGGATCTTCAACGAGCATGATGTTACACTCATTCCTTTTCGTTTTTCTCCGATTGTTTCAAAGAACAACTTCTGGAGCTGGAGCCCTTAATACCCCAAGTTCGATAATCTTTTCACTCTACTCCTTCAGCGAAAGAGTCGCAGACAGCATATATGCATGTAGTGGCTACGAAGCCTCTATCTAGCGAGCATTTGACATTCTCAGCTTCGTTTATGTTGTTGGCTTTCTTCATTCTATTTCTTCTCTTTATTTCGCCGCCGGACGGAAGATCAGCTGCCGAGCGCACAAGACAGTTTTCTTTCTCTCGCTGCTTTCTCTTTTCTCTTTTGCTTTATTACTTTGCTTTATTACTTTGCTTTATTACGGTATCTGCGGCTAAATCTTAATGGAGAGCGCTTCGTTTAGAATGACGTTGAAACAGATGCAATGGCAGGCCGACGCACTCTGTGGATAGTCTTTGAAACGAGTATCAATACTTTAAGCAGTGTTGAGAAGACAAGCGCAGAGAGGGGGGCTATAAAGGAAAAGGAGGCAATGGTAAAGACTGTGTTTTTTCCTATTCATGAAGCGATTATGACGATTATGACGACATACCTAAAAATTGTTTATTCTTAACCTTGTATATAGAGATACCCACCATCAATTTGGTAGATGTTTGAGAAGCGAGAATGAATTTTGGCTGGGACCTTTTATTTCTAAACAACATTGCAGTAGCGAGTGAGAAGCATATTTGACCGAGCTATCAATTTCTTAAATGTTGATGTTCGTTCCCTGTTGATGTCGATATTAGTTTTATATCCTCCAATTTATTCTATCATACGCAGAGAGTAGGAACAGTCTATCAAGAACAAATCATTTGAGATTCAAGCGTTTTATCTCTCACTCCACAGCTATCTTGGCAGGAGGAATTGCCACCGACTGTTAATGACACGTAGTTGAGTAAAGGATTTGCTCTACAGTGATGTTTGACCTTATATGTAGCCGTACAAGTCGGCGGCGCCGCTCTGTGAGGCGTTTATACATCTATCTAATATATACGTATAATAGTGGCATTATATACAAAAATATGGGGAACAAATAGCCAAACGACCGTTCATCTAATATATACAATAATCATATTTCCATGAGAAAGGAAAAAGAATTCTAGTAAAGCGATTTCGAATTCATTCCTCAGTCTCTGCGTCATCATATTTCTGTGTGAAAGAACAGAGACTTTTTGTAAAGCCATTTCGAGCTCACTCCTCAGTCTCTGCTTCTCCAAGGGCATCTTGCGCCGGCTCTTCAGACACGGGCCATCGGCGTAATACAGCCAAAAACCCTCCACCGGCAACTCGCTCTCCTACCCTTGGCCGCATCACCTGTACTGGCTTCTTGTTCCCCTCTTCGCCCTGCTGCGCCCTGGGCACGACTGTTTTCACATCCCAGTGTCGTCCACCGGAGCTGTCGTGCACGCCACCTTCAGAGGCGGTGGTGGCGTATAGCTCAATAACTTTCTCTGTGCGCACTGGCTGCTTTGTCTCTGTGGACCAAGCCTGAAAATCGGCAATTTGGCTGATGGAGGGTTTGAAGAGGATGAGCAGGCCGTTGGGGTGCAGTGCCTTGATCACGAGCTCGGCGTTCTCATGAGCCGAGGGGAGATCGAGAATAGCGCGGGACAGAAAAGGTTGGCCACCTGTCTGCTCAAGTCGGTGGCCCAGAAAGTCGTCTATGGATCCGACGTGGAAGTCTACTGCAGGGAGGTACTGCGCACGTCGAAAGTTGCGAACTAGCTTATACGCAGCTCGGGCATGTTTCGTATTGTGGTCAAGTGTATGCAAGATCGCGCGACGGGAAGATGCATATGCGTCAAAAGCTGATTGGTCTTCGGGAGAGACTTCTAGACATCCTCGTGAGGCGGTAAAGTCGTAATGAGGTTTGTACGGGGCGGAAATGAGGGTTCGTCGTAAAGGAGCTGGGAGCGGCGGGTTTGCGGCGTGCAGGGCGCGAGCAATGTGCAGAGTGAGGCTGCCATGGCCAGTGCCCGCTTCGAAGATTTCGAAAGGGGGGCCTGAATCATCTTGGTCGTCTTCCCCGGGGCGGGATGGGTTCAGGTCGAGTAGGTTGACGATCGTGCTGGCATCGTTCGGATAGATCTGCGATCATCAGCTATGGTCCACTGCCAGTGCAAAAGAGAAAGACAGCGCTTACCGGAGTGGCAAGGCGCTCGCTGTTAATGATGTAGCTCGCAAGAGACGGCTCGTGCAAAACCACAGAGTTGCCGGCGCTATCGCGAACCACATCGAGGATGCGACGGCCGATCAGCTCTGCCGCAGGGACGGTGGCGCCATAAGACAGCTTCACCCGAGATGAAGGCCGCAGGGGAGCCGTGAGGTGCCATTTTGCGTGTTTGACGCCATGCTGACGGAGGAAAAGGACGTCGTGTTCTATGAAGGACGATAGGGGGGGTTTTTGTTTGCTGTTTGTTCTGTGTGCCTTTGGGGCCAAGTTTTTGGTTCTAAGAGCGTAGCGTACCTTGGATTGTGCGGTTTGAGGAGTAGAAGCGGCAAAGGGCTTTGCTACGGCTGGCTATTAGGAGCTGAGGGTGTTTGGAGCTCAATTGGCTACAGAACAGCGACATTGTCGTGTTCGGGCAAAAAGCGAGATGTTGCGATGCTATATGAGGGCGATGTTGTCGATGAGGTCACTGGCAACTTTTTTTTTTCCTCTTGCGCCGGTGATACTTCGGAGAGCCCGCTCACTGCTTCTTTCCGAGATTCATGTACTTGGAAAATGAAAGTGCACAGTAGACGATAAAACTCATTGAAGCAACAACAGTCGGTCCAAAATGCGCAAGTACAATGTCATCATGTCTTGATTCATTACGAAAGATTTAATATAACAGGCAAGTCGATAAGTCGATAGAAAAGAAGGTGCAATGAAAATCAGTGGGCTGCCGCTCCTTCCAGAAGGACGGCCTGGTTCTACCATCTGCATGACAATTGCCTCCTCGTCCGTTCCTGCCATCCAAACTCCAGCCTGCCGTCGCCTTCCCAGATAATGCAGGAAATGCTCGATAAGGTATTTTTCTGCCCAAATCCCATCAACTCCTCCTTTGCCCTCTTTTTTTTGTAAAGCCCAGCCTGGCTTCGTTTCTGCGCCACCACTGCTCCAGACACGTTCACATCCCTCTGTGGTCTCCAGAAACGCACACAACACAAAAGAAGAGCAAAGCACTGCACAAGACCAAAGAAAACGCAAAACTGAACAAGCACACTCTATTATACACGGATGGACATGCATCCAAGATCAAGGCCTCCAAAATAAAAACGCCGGCTCGAGGTGCAGCAACTGCATCAAACAATTCAAAGAAAAAGGGCTCGTCAGCGTCAACAAGATGAGAAAGGAAATTTCACGAGGGTGAAAATATCAGCCGTCCAAAACTCCAGGCTCGACATGAGATGGGAATGAGTCGCTGTGCGCGCCATAGCCCTCTTGATGCTGGGTATCAATCGTTTGCTGAGATATTCGACAATCAATCTCAACAATTCTTGCTCGCCAAAACGCGCATCATAGGCTTTTTTCTTTCTTCCTGAACAAGATAGTCGTCATGAGTAAACGAGTGAGAGAGGTAACATGATACCTGCTATTTGTGCCATTTGGGACATTTCGCTAAATGAAGCCCCAGGACCTATTTGTTGTGCCCATCTGGAGAGCCGCCGCCCACGCATTCTGGGGCTCTTGAGCATGCTCCGTTGTATGAAAGTCCTCTTCGAAATAAGGATGGATTTTCACTCCAACGACCTCTTCCATAATGGTTACGAGTGGGTCGTATCGTCTCCGACACCTTTTTGTCCACGGATCGACCTTAAGCGGACTGTGATAGCAGTAGCTATTCGGACGCGGGTCTCGCATCGGGAACATTGTGTTCATACTCCGCAACGTGTTCCAGTAGTCGTTTGCGGCTTGTTTCGCGATATCAGAACTCGGAGATGCAGCATACAGCAACTGCAAGATGGAGTATCGGATAGCTAGTACCTCGACACTGGTTTCGCCATGCCGCTGCTCGAATTGTTTTTGAAGCGCTCGAAGTTCGATGACCAGCTTTTCGATTCTCTCCGGATTCACCTGGTTATAAAACAGCGCAAGATCGGACCATGTTCGGGCCACATACGGATGGCGGCGTCCGTAGATCGCTTCGAGTTCTTCGGCAATTGTGGAGATGCTAATCCACAAGAGCTCGGAGAGGGTCTTGGCGCCATGCTTCTGTTGCACTTCATATAAACAAGTGAAAATCTGTCGGAGTGGATGTGTGCGTTCAAAGTTTGTCGACGAATACGCTGCCAAATATTTGCAGAGGGCCGTCATCATGCCGGGATCACCGTTAATCATCCCCAAGATTAGCTCCATGATGCCTTGGGGTGAAAGCTTCATCAAATCCACCTCGAGCTGTTTGAAGGCTCGCATCATATAGTCGCCTCCCTGATCTGCATCGCGGGCTTCGAAATGAAAGTTGGCCTCGAGCAAGAGGTCGCTTGATCCAGCCCCCCAAACCATAATTGATGGCCAACTAATTTGGGTATCCGTCTCCATCTCAAATTGCCGGCAGTGCAAAAACGCCTTTCGCATGTTTCCAACGACAAGCTCTTGGGCGCGAAGGAGGTCAGGGGATCGCAGTGCTGGAGGCGGCGTTGGTGTTCTACATCGAATATGAGCTGGCAGATCGGCGGGCAGCTCGAAATCCACCAAATCATATTCCGTCACCCCCTTTCGCTTCAAATAAGTACCCAAGTTAACCACCCTGCCATTTCGGACAAATTCGGAAACCTTGCCCTCGGCGTCTCGCTGAAACTTCATCGACAACAACCGCTTGACCTCTTCTTCTGTGTTATTCTTCACAAAACCCCATTGAGAAAACCGAGTCTTATACATCTTGGGTCTGGAAGGCGAGCCAGGTCAGCGTTCAAGAAACATTAAGAAAAAGGACCAAACAACTTACGTGGCTTGAAAACCATATTGTTCAGACATGATGCTCATGACCTCTTTCAACGGTTTTCTCTCCTCAAGATACAGAGTTCGGATGGTGGACTTATATTGCTCCCAGGCCTCTGCAGGAACCTGTTCCCGTGACGGCCTAGTACCTGCCTGGGCACGAAGAGAAATGGAATCCTTCCGTTGTGCCTGATTCTTTGGTTAGTACCGCTTGGGCCGAGAATTCTTCTGGCTCGTTTTCTATGACTTACAGTAGAAGGGGTGGATGAAGAGGAGGAAAAAGGCGGTTCTGAGGGTCGAGGCGGTTTTGGAGGAGGAGACATTGGCCCTGGAGTTGGAGCAACGGCTGGTACCGGTCTCGGTGTTGGCGCTTGCGCAGGTGTCAGTTCTCGTGCCAAAGCCTGTGTTTGTGTGACGGTAGTAGGCTTCCGTGGAGGCAATCGCGGCCTTGGTGGTTTTGCTGGAGCCTTCCCTTTGGCTGCCTTGGCGGCGCTGGGGTTGAATTCCAAAATGAACTGATTGCCTGTGTTCACAACCGGCTTTGGCGTCGTTGGTACCGGCGGTCTAAAATATCCTGCAAAGTTGGTCGCGTTGGTGAGACCAGAAGGCTCTGGTTTGGACCCCATCGATGGGGGAGGACGCCATATTTCGAATCCAGGGGTGCCAGGGACTGTGGGTGTAGCTTGAGTTGGCGTAGATACTATCGGGCTGGTCACCATAGGCGTCGATATCATCGGACTATTCACACGGGTAGTGTTCATGAATCCATCCATGCTTCCAAACGGCGTTCCAACACCAGGACTGTGCACTTGCTGAGTGTCATGGAAACTGCCAAAGTGCACACTGCCGGAGCGACCCATACTGGTTGCAATCGGGCTGGGAGTTGGCGGCGAATGGATACCGAGAGAGCCATACTGAGATTCACCTGAGCTATTAACGGGACTCGAGATCCTATGCGATTGGGCTACGGAATTCAGACTTCCAAAGTGTGACGAAATTGAGGGACTGGTACCAAGGTGATGTGTTTGGTGTTGCGCGTTATTGATGGGTCTCGGAGGCAGTGGAGGCACATATCCTTTGTTCTCGAATTGCGCGACCAAGCGACTGACTCCTCCTCCTCCTTGAACCGGATTCATACTGCTCATTTCGACATTCTCCGATGGCGACATGGCAACTCCATCGCCGTTGTGGTGGTGAAAGGGTGTGTCAATCTCGGGCGTCCAGTCCATTGCAGATGCTGTGGAATAGGCTCGTCCAGTTCTCTGCACAGGCTGAGGGCCCGGGGGCGGAGGCGATGACATATTGCTGAAGCCATACCGTTCCCAGGCCTGGTTGGCAACAAACCCAAACGGATCATCATCGTAGCCAGAAGCGCGAGGCTTGTCTGGCGGTTGATGGAACATGTCAACGTGCCCACGCCAAGCAGACGGAGCAGTTGGTGCTCAGTCCGCCGGCTATCTGTCTGTCAGTCACTGACGGACCTTGGCAAGTCAAAAGACTCGGCTGGAATAAAATCAGTCTCCAGCGCGATGATTCATCACTCTGCTGGAGTGGCGAGCGAGATTGCTCAATCAAATCAAGGTCGTGAAAGGGAGGCGGGCAAAAGGGCCCATAGTCGCCCAGCGCAGGTGGATGGTAGTAAAGAGAAGAGAAACACAGCGGTAGAAAGGTCTACTAAACGAGCGCCGAGCCCAGTACAAAGTCCAGCTAGGGGCAGATACTAGGTATCAGTATCGTTCCCCAGATATCGGCTGATGTGGGCAATGTCTTGATAGGGCAACAGTTTAATGATTGTGTAGTTTTATTAGGGACAAGCAGCAGTGCAAACTCGCGTGGGAGGAGGAGACCGGGCCAAGCCACGAAGCTCAGAGAGGGCGAGCAAAAGTTCCCTCGTCTAGGCCGCCAAGAATGGAAATCCCATTTGCCGTCGTTCAGTTAAGAAGGCCCCCGCTATGATAAGAGGGAGAGATCCCCCATACACGCTGGAAAGCAGGACGGAGCGGAGAGAGCTGCTACAGTACCTATGCTAGTATGCTTCTACGATTACTAGCACAATTGGATTAAACAGCGACGGGAGAGCCTAGGCACGAGAGCAGGTGGAGAGGGGCTAGCAGCAAAGACAGGCAGGCCAAAGATTGGATTAGAGGGGATGTAACCTAATGCAGGCTGGTGGCTAACGACTATTGCAACAACGATGGCGAAGCAAATAACCAGGCCGGGGAAACAAGTAGGGCTGCCGACCATTGAGCTGGAGTTACCAGGGGGGTCGGCGTGTGGGAATGCCACCATCGGCCAGAAGCAGAAGGTGATATGGATTCAAGCCACCATCCACCAGACAAAACCACCAATCATAGCGCTCTGATACCAACCCCTGGTGCCATACACACGAGAGCACTGTGCTGAGACCATCGATGATGGCATTCGGCTGCTAACGAGGGCCTCAGTTGCACAGCTCGATGTGTCTGTTGGTAGGCAGTTCCAGAAGGATTCTGCATCTTGTGGTGGCTCTGTCGTGCGAATATAGCAAGGCGGTTGTGAGATATGCGAGCCATTCAAACGAGGGGGACGGTGGGAAAAATAAAGCGCCACAAGTTGAACCACCACCACTACAATTCGCACCGGCATAACCGATCACCTCGGACGCCATTACCAGTTCGAAAGGAGTGACCGAGCAAGCGGGCGGGAAGGCTTAGGGCTCACACTATTCCGCCCAGGTCGCCAAATAGAATGTTCTCTGCGCCTGATAGACGTCTTCGCCCTGGTGTATCGCACTGCTTGCAAGATACGGAGGATGTATGGGGTGCTTGGGGGTTGTTACTCCAGCCCCTAGTCTCAGCGCCGTGCGCTAACCAATATAGTTGGACAGATTTGAACAAGAGCAAGTGCCTCGGAGACCGCCAAGAGGTGGCATGCCGCATACCTGGGGGCTTTCTTGCAGCGTTCGATAGCAGCCATCAACCGACAGGACTTTCCGCGGTGATTCTACGAAGAACGTTGACAAGTATGCAATCTATTGGCGCTGTTATGGCTGCCTTGTGTTGGAAGGATCGTCAATACGGAGTCGTAAAATCCGTCGGAATGGCACTCTTCTGATCCATGCGCAACGGACGGTGGGCGTATAAATGACCAGGCGCTGGAGCCGGGCCGACAGTCTCTTGTCCATGGCGATTTTTGCTCTTATTTGGTTTGAACAGAGGCTGATTGCAGCCAAAACACCAAGCCTGGAGACAGCATTGTGGGGCGCAACGCGATTCAGCGGCGTGGCACAGAGTACGGAGTACGGCGCAACATACTGCTGGCGCCTTCGGCCACCGCCGTGGGTCGAAGCAGAAGCCCATCGAGGGTCTGGGGCTGACCCGCGCCGAGACCTGGTGTCAGCAGCTTCTGCGGAACTAGCAAGGATTGCTTGGTGTCAGTGCAGCCCTGAACCCGCTCCCTTGGACACTGTGCTTGCTGCGGTGGGCATCTCACGAGATCTCCAACCAGTCGTCTAATACGAAGTACTCTCGTGCCTACTGTCCGATGCGTTGGTGTTGCAAAAGAAGCTTATCATCGATAAGCACGCTCAGAATCCTGCATCATAGACGACGGCTGCAATGTTCGCCGAGGGCAGCCAACGGCCAGAGCGGCTACACCTCCAGTTGTCGACATTTGCCCCAAGTGGGCAGAGCCTTCATGACCAAGCAATCCAGACCCGCTATCCACGAGCAGCAAGGCTTGCGGCAAAAAATGCGTGCAATTACAAAGTGCGTGCTACATTCTCTGCTGGCGTTATCTCTATTGGCGTCCACCTAGCGCAAGAGCCCCGGCGATATACGCCATCATCAGTTTTTTTTTTTTCTCGCGCCTGCAGGTTGGCAAACGAGCTTCCGAGAATCACGAAATTCCAAATCAGCTAGGGCAGCATAACGCTAATATCAAAACGAAAGGAAAGTGCTAATATCATGTGCAAAGCACTGACTTTTCATGCGCAATATACGATGGCGGCAGTCGCTGAACAGCATGTGAAGAGTACTTGAAAGATGGTATCCTGCTACTTTCACATGACGGAGAAATACTTGTACCTAGGTAACTGCGGCACACGGAATCCCTACCGTGCCAAGTGCTTAGTTTCGTTTACCCGCCTGGCCATCAGACGTTGCTCCCCGAGCCTCGTCCGCCGGCGCGGCTGCTGATAAGAGTTCACTTGGATATGATTAGCTAATTGAGGCGACAAAGGATTCATCACTCGCATATCATAGCCGTGCTGTGCGTGCCGAACGCTTCAGCTCGTCATGGGAATCTGCAGGTTTTTCAATGCAGTGATACGACGGGGCCAGGGTACGTTATGGTACTGGCTCCAGTACCTACTAACTACCACATAGAGCAGCGTGGCTGCTTTGGGGGCAATGCGACAAATACTAGTCGCCGTTGGCCTCGTGCCTCCGTGGCTGATTCCCGAGCCTGAAATGACAACTGAGTGACTGCTAGTCTTGGGAACGAGTAGGTAGTCGTACCGCCAGCCAAAACCCTCTAGGCCAGGGCCTTTCCAGGTCGAGACCAATGACGTTGGGTCGCAGACAAGCGAAGCAGCTGCTTGAGTGGCTTGTCTTAGCAGCATGACGAATCGCAGGGCCTTGAATGGCTGCCAGGATGTTCTCCCGATTCGACGGGGGGGCGTTCTTAAGTTCGGGAGGAAGCCGCTCGCATCATATTCCCCTGAAAACAAGCCTAGCCCCTACAACGAGAATTTGGCTGCTTGGCAATCATATCCTGAGTTGTAGCAAACGAAGTCTACACAGAGACCCTTAAAGGACTATCGAGATGGCGATTGGCTGTCGAGATTTGGATCTAGCCGGGGACACTGCCGAATTATGTGAAGCTATTCGTGCCCCGAGGCCTACCAGTACCCATCTATTAATGCGGGGACTGACAAGCGGAGCTCAGAGTTGCCGCCGAATGCTGGATCATGGAACCTTGCCGAAATGGCCTTGAGGCGATCCACCTGCTCACTGCAATTGCCAGAGACCCAGCCGACGGCACGTCCATGCGAGCTGCAATTCCAGGCCGTCCATCAACCGATGTTGAAACAGCTGCCGGCTGTCGGAGTACTTGCAGCTGCAGGCAGATAGATGGGCTTTGCTCATGACTAAAGAAAGTATCCGAGGCACACAGCGAGCAGCCTGTTTGAGGTGGAGGCTCAGCTTTGTCGCGCAAATTTTTTCGGAGGCGGCTCGGGCACTGTCGGGCTTCTACTGAGTGGTTGCCCCGATTTTGTGCCCTACTACAACTCTTTGCGCTCTGCCGACTGCGGGTTGCTTCCTCACAACCAGCTGCAGAGTTCAATGACAATGCATCTGTGAGTTGAACTTACATCGCGTGGCCGCATCGCATTCCCCCGCAGCCAAGATGACGGGGTTTTATTTCTATTAGTCGTGAGATTCCGAAAAGGTCCTCCAAAGTGGACATTTCCCCAGGAAATGCCATGCTCTCACACCACCAAACAGTGCACGTTGCTTCCCGACGATAGCCGCCGGTCCGTCGTGGCGGTTTCTGGGGACTTTGACCTCCTTTTCTGGGGTAAGGCTGGCCAGCCTCGTTGGAAATCGAACGAATCGAACGAATCGAACAAAAATAGACTGTTCCCTCCCTTCTGCAGAGTGCTTGAAGCCAAGACATGTCAGCATGGTTTATGGTTGTATTGGAGACTATTGGCTTCGAAATTGAATCCTTCCTGTGAACCTAGCGTTGAATGTAAGGAAGCCCATTCTAGAATCCATACACACCACACAACGAATCTGCGGAGAAAGTTTATTTGAGATCCAAACCCAAAGGAACAAACTACGGCTTTTACGAGCCGTTTACCTCATTTGGCTTTTTCCAATGGCATCAGAAGACAGAGTTACCCTCTCGCTGGTTCCTCGTCTAATTTCTCCGCATATCCTTCATACTGTCGAATAGCTACCTCCTTTTGCATCGTCCGAGCTCATCCAGGGGCAAACGATGACGGCTACAGTGTGCGGATGACCCGCCGTCGAATCCAAAGTGACATTCCTTGCAAATCCGTATTGAAAGCGGGCGTCATGTGTTACGCTGCGGTGACGAAACAGACACTGTGGAAACAGGAAAGTGTTTTGAAATACAGGAAAAACTCTTTTTCCATCGCAAGAGACTTGCTTTAGGGGTAGTACTCTACGATGAAGTAGTGTGCCTCTCGCTTCATCTTTTCGAGTGTTGCGTTGTTGGTTGAGCGGTGCTGCTGTTGACCAGCAGATGGTGTCTATTGGCAAAGGCCTGAGCTTGGCGAAGCAACTCTCTTCCCCGCGAATAGTACCACATGCATTCGTGCGTGGTCCTCGGTAGAATATTCACTAGACCGTTGGCCGCAACTAGGCCTCGTATTCTGTGTCTCGGATGGACTGACAACTATTCAGCCCTGTGTCTCTGATCATGGTCACTTGCCTGCTCTGTATCCGCCTGTCAACTGCTTCTCGCCATATGAGTCGATAGTTTCAAGTACGCTACTATGATCTTCGGCAAGTATCGTTGCACAAATATGGATTCGCCCGAAATCCTCCGAGAAATTGTGTTTGCGATGTAGCTTCGTTTGTTCCAGCCTATTCAGCCCAGAGGCACAGCGGGGAAGAAAATAAAGGGGGCAAGCAGCGCGAGAGAAAAGGGACTATGTGTCATGGTAGAAATAGACGGGCTTCAGCTGACGAAGATAAAGAGGGCTTGATTTTACATGTGATGTCCAATTTCTTTCCATCTTTCCCTCTATTTTCCTTTTTTCCGCTAGTGTTGAAGAAAGCCATATGCACGGACTCTTTGGCAGACCGTTGTTGCAGGTGGGAAAGCAGGTGCATTAGTTTGAGTCCTTTAATGGGGAAACTATCTCGTATACCCTGCTGGCACAGCCTCTTTCCTTTTTTTCTCTCTCTCACTGCTGTCATGCATGGGATTTCGAGTCAAGTTTCAGGTTCAGTCTATGAATAGTCCTTCCATGGATGTGCGCATGAGCTGTCTGTCGTGTACCTAAGATGAGACAAAACAGTAATAGGAGAGAGCGGCAGAATTCCGCGTTTAGGGGGTGTGTGATGTTGAGTCATTATGCTTATTTTTTTGAGTGGTATTTTGCCACAAGGGATAGATGGATGGATGGATGGATGAGGTACCTAGAAGAAGTTTTATGATAGGAAAGACGGAATGGGAGGGTTGGGCGTTTCGAGATGGAGGAGTGGTCTTGATATCTTATATATGGGTTATGAAAGGTTTATGTGATGTTGTAATTTAGATGTGGATGAATCATACGAGTGAAGTATATATGCGTTTGGTGATGTAAAAATCAGAAGAGGGAAACAGAGGGATTCTCGCGAAGAGTGTTTGATGATGATATTGAAGGTGATTTCTAGTTAAGATGGATAGGAGGCTTGAACGTAACCTGTAGCCAAAATTGTCTCGTGTAACTATGCTTATACTTTTGCATAGCATGGCTCATCAATCTATGATAAAGTTAGTCGTGATCAATAAAGGGGGGGGGGGGGGGGGTCTCCGTTTGGCACTTTAATGGTCTAGAAACAACCCAATCCTTAATCCCTTGCAGTGATTCTCTCTGCCTTGATGTTAGCCTTTATATAAAACATTTTGTATCGAATCGGATATAGGCATTCAGCCGTAAGTAAATATAAAAATATCATGAGAAAAGTGAGCTTTTTTTTTTAAAAAAAAAAGCAGAGGTGAAGGAATGTGTTTTTTATTTTTGTCTAGTTAGACTAAATAAGAAAGAGTTAGGCAAAAGGACGATTGTAATGTGCTTGATTTGGAATTCTCAAGTTTGTCTCAAAGTCGAGTGGATAGCCGATAGAGCGTAGATCTAGTGAGTAGATGGATCTAAATGCGTAGCGTAGATGAATCTAACAAGATGGACCTAATAAAGTAGATTGATCTAATATCTAACAGAAGAAAACATTTAGATGACGAGATAGTTTATTAGAAGTTATTTCCCCTAAACATAGAATCTCAAAGCAACAACTACCCGCATCTCTTTACACGAGACGTTACATATAGGCCAGAATAGAAAGATAAAGAGGCCAACTACTAATACAATACTACCAATACATACAATCTATCAGACCCCTTATTCAAGTCAAATAGATTGCGAATTTAATCAAGTTGACACAGTGACGGGTCACATTTATTGTCAAAGAAACCAAAGCAGTCCGAGAAAAATACATATCAAAAGGGAAAACCTGATGGTTCCGAACCAAACACCCAAAAATTCTAAAGAAACGCTCTTCCATCGCAACGAGTCAGCCATACGTGACTACTGATTGCCTTGCATAAAACTCTCCCCCTCTAGTTGGAACTTCCTCCACTTTCCTTCCAAAACTGCTCATAGGCCTAGAGCTGTCAAAAAAAACAAATGTGTTGCATGCGGTAGGATCGTTGTCCATCTACCGCCCTTATAACTCCTGTTCGTATGATGGGTATGACCCGTTTTCGTGGTTGGTTTAGTATAGCGTGAATTGAATATAAATGTCAGTTGAGTCCTGCCTGACGTAGCGGATAACGTGGAAAAGCATAATGAGAAAATAGTGGGAAAGGCTCCGAGGTGTATAAGCGTGGGTCGGGCCAAGAGAAAAGATGTATTGTGACGGGTTAGTTGTTTTTGGTAGCCCCAGGGCAGACTTAAAGGTAGCGACTTTCCATCCCAGTACCTCTTCCGAAGAAGGGTCTTTGCTGGAAGTGTGTCTACGTCGTCGTGTTTGAGGGCATGGAGGCAGATGTTGATCTAGGAGTGTCAACCATCATACTTCGACTCCTCCAACTTCTTCTCGAAAGCGTATTCCGCCTTCCACGGTAATTCCAGCTTGCACCCAAGGCGTGCTAAAAACTTGCTGCAACGTCCAGCGGCTTCTGGCACGCTTGAGAAGACCCTCTGTGATGTACATGGAGTCCAAAAGGCCTCTTTCTCTGAAACGGGCCTCGTTACCTTCATGGTCACCGTCGTCGCCCCCGTACTCGATCCAACGCCACTCGCCCCTGGCAATCCGGTGGCTCTTTCGACTTCTCATTTTATGAGAGTCGTTCATGCCGGGAGGAGGATCAAATGGAAGTCGAGACTCCAAAAGAGCGTAAAGAAGCACACCAAGCGACCACGCATCAGTAGCACGCCCGTCGTAAGGCTGACCCATGATGACCTCGGGAGCGGCGTAATCTTCTGATCCGCATCGTGTCTCAAGCTTCTCATCCTCAGCGATTCGTCTTGATAAGCCCAGATCAGCCAAAGCAATCACTGAATGTGGGTATGTGCTCCAATTGACTGATGGGTCTGCAAGCTCGTTTGGTGTGAGATTGACAAGAACGTCTAAAGAAAAGGGGGTGTTAGCGATGCTGCCGCTTCTCTTTGGCTCAAAACAAAAGCCAGTCCAACTTACTTTCTAGCTTGATATCACGATGGACAATCATTTGTTCATGAAGATACTTCACGGCGCCAACCAGCTCAGCGAAAATCCTTCTCAAGAGGGGTGGTGTCAAAAGCTTTCGGTGGGCCGTGGCGACATCAAACAGGTCTCCTCCAGGAGAGTAAGTCAAGACGAGAATGGCCCTCGTGGGTTCTATGCTCCACGCCTTGAGGTCAACCAGGCTAGGATGATGAATGTACTGCATGATTTCCAATTCTCGCTTGAGACTCATCTCAACACGTTCCTCACTGGCTCCCCCTTGAGGACCATGCTCGCACACTTTGATAGCTACCAACGTCTTTCGGTCAAGCGGGGGATCAGTCACGGCAATGTTAGTTCCTGAATCGGCATTGAGATTTTTGGGCTGATCCATCTGACTGGTAGCCAATACGACTCTGCTAAAGGTACCTTGACCCACAGTTCGTACCGAGCGCCAGCGTCTCCGTTTCCGATCATGTCGGTCAAAAGCTTCGAAATACTCGTAGCATGAGGCTGATGAAGCATCTGCCGTGTCCCTTGATGACTCGCTAGGGGGAGGGGTTGGCGGCTTTGTAACACTAGGAGATAGACCGCGTGATTCTGCTAGATTTTGCTCTCTTCTCATCTGAGGACCTTGAGTATCAGGTTTTGCATGAGGGCCAGAGACCGAGACAATCCTCTTAGGAATGGCAGTAGGATCTGGCGCCGTATATTCACTGAGACTTCGATTTCTTGTATGAGGTTGATTTTCAGTTTGATGCTGAAGTTGTTGCGAGAGTTTGGGCAAAGGCTGACTGGCGCCGTCACTTTCGGCTAGGCTTACATATACTTTGCGTCTCGAAGAAGAAGCCGCTGCATTGGAACCCCTCATTGGCCCTGCCGGGGCCGCCATCGAGGGCAAATCCTCGCCAACGCTGCTCAATAAACTGCGATGTTGAGGAGGGGATACAGAGCCCACAGTCAGCTTCTTCCACGGCCCAGGAGATTCTCCCGACAAGAGAGGACTCGGCAAAGGCGTCACGTCTCCCATTGCAGTAATCATAGGGCTTGAAATGACACTGCTAGTACCGCTAGCAGATCCAATTGAATGCGCAAGCGCAGCCCGGAGACTTGGGGTTCGCGTCAGCAGCCGTATACTGCTAGACGATGTCTTGTGGTTCAAAGGCGTGGGGATTCGGATAGGCGATAGGCTTGTGTGGCCAGTAGGAGACTCGCGATGGTATACGGAAGGGGAAGCTGTAGGAGAAGAGGACGATGCAACGTTGGTGGAAATGCGGAGCGACGAAGTGGCATCGTAAGAGGCCCCAGGGTCTAGAGCGGCCCTGCCTTGGTGACCAGCATCTTCAAACAGAGCAGACTGAATTGGAGGCGTTGGAGCAGTAGTTGTGGCCTGGAAGTCGACAAAGTGCATCGGAGGATTGCGGCTGGCAGCTGCGGCAGCGGCTGGGGAAGCAGTTGCAGCGGGCAAAGCTAATTCGTCATCTGGAACAAAAGCTGATCTCTCGTTGCGCTGATTGGCGCCGGATCGGATCTCGGAAGCACAGCCCGAGCTCGGGGTCATCAGATTCTCAGAGCTCGATGTCGAGGGAGCTTGGGAGCCATCGTCGTGAGGAGTCGAGGTCGAAGTTGACGGCGGGAAAAAAGAAGCGTTGCTCATGGCTGGACAGTTTGTCAGAAGCCCTGTGTCGAAGATGAGTATCCATCAATCGGACTGTGCAGCGAGAGCCCAGGCATACCCAAGGCTTGTCACGTACGTCAAGTCGAGCGCAGAACAGAGGCTGGAGCGGCCGCCTTGGAGGTTCAATGGCGCTGCAGACTGGGAGATCGGCAGATGGTCGAGGCTAGAAGTGAAGAGGAATAGAGGAACCGTCCCGAGCACGCAGAAAGGCACGCGGTCCAGCCAAAGCGAGGGCGGCGCGAGGGAGACGGGACGTCGCGGGCGGAATGAGGGGTTTGGCACAGCGAATCAGGCGCTGCGCTCTCCTATAAGGACGCCGAGGACATGCAGGGCTGCGGCGGCGAGGCGAAGCGGCGATGCGACAGCGCACAATGGGCGCTGGAGAAGGCTGAAGAGCAGAGGCAGAGGCTGTGAGTCGAGATCGTTGCCGCGAAGGAGTCAAAAGGCTTCCGACGACGTTGGCCCAGTCCGATCCAACGGCAAGCGCCAGGCTGGACGTCCCGGGTACAAGCGAAGCGCATGACATGCGGCGGGCCTGCCCCCTGTGCATGTACAGCAGCGAGTAGCAGGTACAAGCGCCCAACCGCAGGCCGTAGGGCGAGCACCAGGTGGGAGGTACATGGGGCTACAGGGCCTGCGCTAGCCCCAAGCAGCGCGGGCGGTACGTTACATAAAAGTACTTGACCGAGGGGCACGGCTGCAGGCCCAATCAAAGCGCTGGTGCTGCCCCAGCCCGATTTAATGAAATGAAATCGATGGACGTGCAGGCCTCTTCCTGGTTGTGCTGCTGTGCTTTTTTTTTTTTTCTATGCTAAAAAGGTGGCCCGGAAAGAAGTTTGTCTAGGAAAGGGGGGCTATTGATTCATGCGGGTAGCAAGAGAGAGAGCTTCGAATGACAGCAACAAGCAATGGCACATATCTTAGCACATGAATAGAGTGCTGCGTGTAAGTACTGATAGGTCACTCCATTACTGAGCTCCCAAACACAAATACCATCGCTCTCACAATAACGTCATACAGCTCACAAAGGCCAGAACGTGCATCGGCTTTGGCGAACAAGTGGACTCGTGGGAAAAGCGGGGTCTCGATGGATGTGAGCCACTATCAAGACTATCAAAACGCTGGCAGGGATTGGTTTCCTTATTCGCTCGTTTCATCTCTTGAGTGGCTTTAGCGGCATGCTCTTCCACGTGACAAGATCCCGGCCGTGTGGCTCAATGGCAGAGCGTCTGACTACGAATAGTATATCAGGAGGTTGCAGGTTCGACCCCTGTCTCGGTCAACGATATAGTCGATCCGCCACTACCAGAAGTGGCTTCTCTTTTTGGAGTATTCGACTCTGTCTCAGGAAGCTGTAACATTCTTGAGGCACTTGGGCCTGGCTCTCAACCACAATTCAAGGGCCGTGTGGCTCAATGGCAGAGCGTCTGACTACGATCAAGTACATCAGGAGGTTGCAGGTTCGACCCCTGTCTCGGTCACGAGATCGATCCCAATTCTGCGGAAGGGGATTTAATTTCTTTTTTGTTTCGCCTTTTCGCCTCTGTCGTGGAATGTTCCGTGGTGGGCTGCCTGTTTTGGTTACGAGTTCGTGTTCTAGCCGGGTTATGCCTTTGGTCACCGGTTCAAAGAGCCCAGCGCTAGATATTACGATAAGCTCTGAAGACAGGCAAGCGACATTGGCCAATGTCATGTAGAGAGCAGCGTCTTACAAGGCTAATTACTGATTGCCAGCACCCATGTCTTGAAGCCGTTTGTGGGATGCTGCATCTCACAGGTACCTAGCATTGGCTTCTTAACGGCACGCTGTAGTGCGGCAAGCCGTAATGCTTGGCATAGAGCACTTATAGAATTCTAATGTTCCAAGGTTTGAGAGTTGAATAAACAAGGGTCTTTTGGAGTGCACGTGAGATCTAACAAGGGCTAGGTATCTCTCTATAGGCGGTTCAAGGCCAGCCAAAGATGTCACGATAAAGCGCAGGTGAGAACGGCAACCAAAGTTAAACTAGCCAATTGCCTAGATGTCCTGATATATTGGCTGACATGAACGTAGGCAGTAGTCATTAGGACAGTGTCGCTGTATAAGCAAAGTTGATATACTTGTAGCACTTGTAGCTGTAAGGGTCATGCTCTAGTAAATGACGAGTCGCCTTTAATCCTAGGTGAACAATTGGATAATCAATGGTGGGTGGCAGGTGGGTGGCAGGGCCTAGGTTCCCTGTATCTATAGTATCGCTGCGCGTTAGTGTTGGCGCAACACAAGTACAGACACTAAATGCGACGAGCTTAATTGATTTTGAGCTGCCCCACGTCTCAACGCGTCAAGTCGCGTCTCTCCACTCAGTCTGTGATTCACGACACATATCCACCAGCTTCAACACAGCAGCTGGGCATCTAAAACAGCACAGCTTTTCAGCATACCGACAGCAGCCATGATGCGCCACGACCACAACAGAATCGACCCCAAGCGGCGAAACGTTGTCGACCACCGCAAGAAGCAGTTTGCAACGCCCCAGTTCAAGGACACGCAGTATCCCCACCGCCTGAACTTTTACGCAGATGCGCCCACAGCAGATATTACGCTCGAGCAGTTCGAGCAATGGGCCATTGATCGACTTAGAGGTGACGGAAGGCTGCTTTCGCTCAAGATTACACGCAGCTTCTAACATGGAATAGTTCTGGCCGAACTCGAGGCCTGCTCCTTTCGCAATCGATCGCCAGCCGAGACGGCATCCCACATGAAGTCCATTCTCGACAAATATCTTCCACTCGACTCCAACAGCTCCAGCAACACAAAGATCTTCTCACAGCGGCAGAAGGACCACTACAGCCATTTCATCCTGAGACTAGCCTTCTCTTCTACGGAAGACCTACGGCGGAGATTCTCTCGAGTTGAGACGATGCTCTTCCGGATGCGATTCAATAGCGATGATTTGAACGAACGGTCTGCATTCGTATCTGGCTTGGATCTCGACTGGTGGGAGCCGGTGACGGAGGATGAAAAGGTTCGATATGGCGTCGAACTCGCGGCCATGGTCAGCGGAAAGAAGATGAATAGCGAAGACAACACTTGGTTTAAAGTGGACTGGGAGCGAGTGCCTGACTTGGTAGAGAGCAGACGAGTATTCTTGAAGGCTGGAAAGGCATATGTGCCCGGGCGAGAACAGTCGAGTATGGTAGTAGCGGAATTCACGAGCCGGCTTGACAGGCAACTAGAGGTAAGCAGGATGCATTGTGGGGGCGGGGTTTGCTGCGAGAGCAAAACAACGAGTCGATTATAGCTAACGTTGGATGTTTCTTTGCAATCAGCTTACGGCGCGAGCTCTGCCGCGGCTAGACGAAGACGACAGGTTAACGCCAATTCTAAACCATCTCTCCAAAAACTTCATCACTCCCGACTCGGCTTACATGTCTGGATCAACGGCACCCGCTGGAGCTCAGATCTCGGCTGCCAACATTGATAACCTTTCACAGCATTTCCCCGCCTGCATGTCCAACTTGCATCGATCATTGCGTCGCGATGCTCATCTCAAGCACTACGGCCGTCTTCAGTACACTCTATTCCTCAAGGGCATTGGCCTAAACTTGGAAGAGTGCCTCATGTTTTGGCGGAGTGGCTTCCACAAGGTCACAGACGACACATTCAACAAGGAATACCGATACAATATTCGCCACGCTTACGGCGAAGTGGGCGGAGATTCAAATCGACGAGGTGGCGGCTACAGTCCGTTTAGCTGTCAGAAGATTCTTACTGAGCACCCCCCTGGGCCTGGCGAGGCTCACGGCTGCCCGTATCGGCATTTCAATTTGGACAATTTGAATGCTTTGGTGCAGGCCATGGGGGTATCAGATCGGTCGGTGCTGCAGGGGGTAAAAGAGGATAAAGATAACCAAAAGTTCCACATGGCATGCAACCGGTAAGCTATTCCAACATTCAAGTCTTATGTGTAATCATTGCAGAGAACTAATTCGGCTGCCTAGGGTATTTGAACACTTGCACAAGGCCGAGATAAAAAAGGCCAAGGACGAGGGTGTTATGACGTCCAATCAGCTTGAGACGATTGTCCACCCCAACGAGTACTTCAAAAGAAGCTACCTGCTGAAGAATCTTGGCAAAGAGACTGATGTGAAGATGGAGGGCTAATTGGTGTATTTTTGCGTTGGCATTCTATACAAATATTGCATTTGGAGGAGAAAACCATGCAAATGATTACATGATTGGTATGGGTGATGTGGGGTGATATGAATCACGGCATCGTGCTTTCTTGAGCTACGTAAATTTTTGAGTAAATGGGCAAGATACATTTAAAGAGATGACGTTATTGGCGTTTATCTTTTCTTGAGCTACCTATATTGAATGACAGAGGGATAGAGGAATTATATCAAGAGAATAAATTTTGGAAATTGTACGTAGCATGGCAAGATTTGCTAACTTAATGGCCTCTTGAAAATATTAATGAACAAGGTAGTGAATGAACTGCCAATAGCTTTCCTATTCTATATTATGGCAGCGGTGTTGAAACATAGCTATTTATGGCCGCAAAATCTAACAGACTAATTGATGCGAGCCCATGATCTTCGTCTCAGGCAACTACTTAGGCCTACCTACACGAGCAAGTTCCGAGCCGTTGTTTCTCGCGCAAACATGTAATCTCTATTATTTTAACCTCGAGGAGGATTAATATCATAAAAATAAAGAAAACTCAGAGTGCCAATGTCACCAGCTACTCCGGCGCAGCCATCCCTTCCTCCACAGTATACAGTATACAGGATTTGACACCAGTGATTACAAGTCCACGTCCAATATATGACTTTAGATTTGCATAACAAATATCCAGTAGATAGAAGACATGACCCAGCATGCTATAAGCTTCAATCTATCGTCCTCTGGAGAATGGTTCTCTTTGATACCGTATCCAGAATCACGTCTTATATTTAGCCGTCTCATGATAGAAACAATGGCTTAGTTTTGTGTCTTGTACATCCATCATAGCCTGAAGCTGCTCAAATTCGTTGGGACATGTGCAAAACTAGTCGAAAAATAGGGCTCAATAATTTCTGTAAATAGTGGACGGCTTTTACATATCTTGTCACAATTGTTCAACGGCGTCATTTATGAGGTTCTCAACGCTGATGGATACATTTGATGAGATGTCAACTTCGGTTATGATGTGTTTGGGCATTTTGGACAAAGTATTGGCTGATCTGAAGTCACATGCATAAGCCTTTTTCATGTCCGCTGCGCTTCAACCAATGCAGCCGCCTCCTCTCGCTGCTTACTACCAAGATCAAGCATAGTTTCCAGTTTCTAGGTTATCTTCTACTTACAATTATGCTTTACTACATGAAGAGCAATATTTCGACGCCATGCCAGTGTTAATAGCGTAGATCGCCTTACTAGAAGCCAGTTGCTATCTTCTCTTCATCTTAACTCACAGCCCATAATTTCACAATAGGCTCGATTTATAAGGCCTGACGCGATTATAACTCGTGGTTGCTCTTTACTCTCTACTTTTGTTTCGTTTTGTTAATTGCGCACTGCTGCAATTGGTGTGTGGTGCGGGTTCTCTTAGAGGCATTATACAATAGAGTAGGTAGACGCGGTTACCAGCTATTGACTACATGAGTATGAATATAAGAATCAGATAAGCGCTCTTGTAATAACTATCACATATATTTCGAATGAAGTGGTATGCCATCTGAGGAGTAGTCAACTCTATAGCGAAGCCCTTGCTAATAAAGAGCCATCTAAAAACACCCCTCGTGCGTAGTCGTGCCTTATGCAAACGCCCGTGTAGATAATGTATGTAAGATAATGTATGTAAGAGTATGTACCCTAGCATCGGTAATGTTCCAGCTTGAACTACGTAAAAGTCTAATGAAGTCATTGGAGGGTTTGTCTAACTGAATTAACAGTTGCATCGGGCCCTTATTCAACCACCACTTACACGCCATTGATGTCAAGTAACCGCGGCTATGAACCCTGCCCATTCACTACAACGTCACCGGCATCATAGCCATGTAACTCCAACTCTTATCTCAACTACACTGGTCGCCTAAACCCCCATCTCAGATCCCACCACAACCTCCAAAGCCCAACGTACCCTCCCAATCACCCACGCCCCTCTCCTCCGCTCGAACCCCTACCCAAGCTAAGGCAAGCGACCCGTTCGCGGAAACGCTGCTATACTCAAATGTCGTAGGCGTTTGGTTCATGCACGCACAAGCCGGTTTTTGTTTTTCCAAGTTGGGCTCTTACTCGCGGTACCTACATATATACAGACAGACCTTCATGCAACATCTCATCATGATCGACAGAGGGGATACCCTTGGCATCGGAAGATTAAACCCGCGTAGACGTACGCCCTGATGTGTGCGATTTTGTGTGAAAAACCCCGATTGAAAGATCAGACAAGCTGTGTTTATGTTTTGGGATGGTGGATATACGTGTAGCTTTGTCTACCAGTCTAAATGGTGGAGGTGAACGGGGAAAGTAGACATTGGAGAGCCGGAGATAGTTCGTAGTCTAGTCGTTTTGCTTATAGTATAAACTACGTCCATACGAGTCATTCGAACATAGCTACAGTAAGATCTAGGAGCTTGATCGGCCGACGAATGCGATGCTGAGGCGGTCAGCGGTTGTGAAAATGGAATCATAGCGGAACTATCCGGCCTCCATACGAAGATTCGAGTATCCATTCTGCAAAAATTTTAGCTCTTCTACGCAGCAAGGTTGATGTTTATTCACCTTTTTGATATACCCTCGGTTATTTTTCTCGTCGGTCCGTTTCTCATCTAACCGTCCGTCCTAAACGGGCTTAAAATAGCATTACAGCTACTAATCCGTTAAACAAGCAAAAGCGGGTGTGCTAAATCCCTGTACAAAGGTGCCATCAGATTAAGATATATAAAGATATATGCACAAGCAAAGCCTCTATGCGTGTAATTAAGACGAGCAGCAATAAAAACACTGCCCGTTTATTGCAATACGACGCAATGCAACGACCTTTACATCCTTCCTTCTTAACGGACCATCCATCAACTTTTCACGCTATCGTGGGAGAAAAAGAAGGTAGAATAAAAAAGAGTCGGACAAGGGTCTAAAAGCATCAGGCTAAAACCAAACCAAAATCTGCTGCATGATGATATCACCGCTACGCAGGAGGGCGTGCGCGGGTTGGAAAAAAGAGCAAAAGAAAAAAAAAAGCGCGGGATAAAGGTGCAAGGGTAAGGAAGCGATGACGACACTAGGCATGTAGGATGGCCGGGGGCAGAGGAGAAGGGTCTCTCGTTAATTTTCTTTTTTCTTTTTTCTTTCTTGCAGGGAGCTATTGCGCTAGTTTGTCTGTTATATGGGATATGTGAATGCGTTTCTATTTTTTCTGAAACTGGTGATTTGCTTCCGATGGGTAAAATGAGACAAGACGTGAGGCTATTCCCGCGGGGAAGCCAGAAACGAGACTGGGGTATAAGTGCCCACTATAAGAGATGCCACTACCGCTACAGTATGATCGTCATCGCTTGATGCGACAGATATTGCAAGCGTTATGAATTACAACGAAGCGCGAATATCAGGACTCAGAGAGGAAGGCAAGAGAAAGAAGATGGTCATCGAAATCTGGCCAGACGCTGAGACACGGTGCGACGGTTGGAGGATGTGCCGATGGGCTTCGATCACGATCGACTAGGGCCGTAGTGCATGACGCTCGCATTTGGGCGTGCGTGCTCGTTATCAGCATCTCGATGACAGACAGAAGAGGGGGGGCATGTCTACTGTAATTCCGTGTAACCACCAGCCATGTAATCTATCTGTCGATATTGATTCCTGCGGACAGAAACAGAAAAGGGGGAGAGAAGGCGTCTTCACGCGGGTTTGTGTTTTGTCTTCAATCAGCTCATACAACCCATGCGCAAAGCTGAACAGAGCTGCTGCGCTTTGCAAGGCACTGCATTGCATCAAATAATAAGCAGCCGTGGTGGTTCGGGGTTAGCAAACCCGTCTGGGGTTTTCGAGCAGGGCTATCACACAGAGGAGGCTGTCGCTGCTTATCGGCCAATGGCAGTCGGCAAACTCGTCTCTCCTTGGGTAAATCATTATCAAGACAAGACACTCGGCCAGGGGGGGTCACCTCACCTCACCCCGGGCTGCGGGCTGGACAGCAGCTGAGCGCGCGATGGAGCTGAAGGCGCTGCATTTTCGTTGCCAGGCCGCACATCGAGGTCAGCAGCGCCCACGATGCTGGTTTAGCGGCTCACAGGATTTTGCATTCAGCCTTGCTCGAACAAGGAGTCTGGTTTCCAGGCCGTCGGTAAATAGGCGATAACGCACAGCCAGGAGTTTACGAGTTATACTAGGTAGGTAGGTAGGTACTGCAAGCTTCACGATCCTAGCAGTCTAAGCGAATACTCGGTGTGCAACTGCTTGACATGGAGGCAGTCCCAATGCGGCCAGGCTCTGAGTCGTACCATACATAGGCAGGTAGGTCGTACATTGTAATCCCCCGCCCATGTGAAGGAGGTCATCGTGAGAGCCGTCGACGCGATGTGACGTGTATTGGGCCACCTGGGGGACCGCCAAGATGCGGGGGAGTTGCATATGGCTGCGACCCAAGGGGAACCGCAACAGCAGAGCATGCAATAATAGGGTCTTGGGGGACCCGTCCCTGCTCCGAATACTACTCCATCCAATGTTGGAGATTCAGTCGGGCTGCCTACGTAGGTATGAAGTCTACGCAGCCTGAGGTCAAGTGCAGCGCCAAACTTGCTCAGCGACTTACATGCACACTCCACCCCATAACGCTACGATATGATGTGTGTACATACTTGCGCTTCTTGAAATAGTACTCATCATCCAAAAGCAAATCTATGCAATGCATCAGCGTCATGTTCTCGCGTTCTCATGTGTTCACTCCCTCTCGAATCATTTCTCGACCTTCATCCACCGTGTCATATTCCTTCTTCTCCTGCTTCTCCTCCACAAGTAAAACCCCCTCATACATCAATCACCGCATCTCAGTCCCCCATGAACACGGCACGACAATTTCAAGGGGGGAGACAACAAGAGCGCCAACTGCTACCGTCTTTTTGGAAAATGATTGCTCTTTTTGGAAAATGATTGCTCTCAGATAAGCATTAAAAAGCGGC